CGTGGGATGAAAAAAGAAGCGGCTGAACATGTTTTCACATGTCTGGTATGTCAGAAAGTTAAGGCAGAACATCAAGCTCCCGTGGGAAAACTGCAACCACTTCCAATTCCAGAATGGAAGTGGGAAAGAATCACAATGGATTTTGTATATGGTCTCCCATCATCAAGGGGAAAAGATGCAGTATGGGTTATTGTGGACCGACTAACCAAATCGGCTCACTTTTTACCCATTAGATGGAAACCATCACTGGAGATTTTGTCTCAACTATATATTAAGGAGATCGTCAGATTGCATGGTGTGCCAATTTCTATTGTCTCTGATCGAGACCCGAGCTTCACATCTCGGTTTTGGCAAAGTTTACATGATGCCTTGGGAACTAAACTGCATTTTACTTCAGCTTATCATCCTCAAACAGATGGGCAGAGTGAACGAACCATCCTAACCTTGGAGGAATTACTTCGATCATGTGTAATGCAATGGGAAGAATCATGGATTGACCATTTGCCCTTGATTGAGTTTGCTTACAACAATTAGTACCATAGTAGCTTGGGTGTTCCACCATATGAAGCACTTTATGGGAGGAAGTGTAGAACACCATTATGTTGGGATGTAGAAGGAGCAAGGCAAATCTCAGGGCCAGAGATAGTTCAGATCACAGTTGATAAGGTCAAGGAAATCAGGGAGCGTTTGAGGGTGGCTCAAGATCGACAGAAAGTTTATGTTGACACGAATAGGCGTGAAGTTAATTTCGAAGTGGGTGAGAAAGTATTTCTCAAAGTGTCACCATGGAAAGGGGTGATGAGATTTGGTAAGAAAGGGAAACTTGCACCTCGGTATATTGGACCCTATGAAATCACAGAGAAGATTGGACCCGTGGCATATAAACTAGCATTGCCTCCAGAGTTATCCCAAATCCACAATGTATTTCATGTTAGTATGCTGAAGAGGTACAAAGTGGATCCTTCCCATGTCATACAACCAGAAGAGATCGAGTTGGGTACAGATTTAACATTTGAAGAAGTCCCAGTGAGATTGTTGATTTTCAGATTAAGACTCTTCGTAGGAAGGAAATTCCAATGTTGAAGGTTGTGTGGAGGAATCAAGAAAGTGAGAGTGCTACCTGGGAGACTGAAGCAAGTATGCGAGAGAAGTACCCTGAGCTGGTAGCGACATACTTTACAGGTTAACAATCTTGCTTAGTAAGCTATGTTTTGAACTTGCTGATGTGCTTTGGTTGTGATAGCCCAGTATAGGTTTTTGAAACCTAAACATGGGAACTTGAGGTGTTATGTGTTACTCTTTATGTTATGAATCGCCTAACCTAAGAGTTAGGTAATGACTTTATGTATGATAGACCATGTTAAGGGTAAGTAAGAGGAGTTAGAGTACGACTCAAGGTTAGATTTCGGGGACGAAATCTTTTAAGGAGGGGAGAATTGTAACATCCCGTTTCGGCTAAAATCGTATTTCGATCGCTAGAAAGTTCGCGATTTAAAATCGAGCATTTCGACACTTTTTCGACGAAAATCGGATTATTGATCGATCGGATAAGTATACGTATTAATTATATATATTATATATATTATATATATATATATATATATATAAATGCAGTCGGCATATAATTCCCATCCATTTCTTCATCTTCTTTCTTTTCGGACGAGAGTAACGAGAAGCAGAGGCGCACAGGGCATCGCGGGGGAAAATTTCTGTAGCTCGATTCTTGAGCTACACTGATCCAAAAATCCCGTAAGTAATGCCTAATTCATCTATTCATCGTGATTTATCGATTTAGAGTTTTAAAACGGGATTTTGGTTCAGGAATTTCTTGAATTCCCGATAAGCCAAATTAGGGTTTCGGAGTATCCGGAAGCCGGATTGAGCCCAAATTTCATATACGAGCTTCTTGCAGCGAGGTAATCAATCCCCTAGTTCTAATTCCTGATTTTCGGCTGTTATTTAGGCCGGGGTCCAAACCGCTGAATTTAGCTCCGGCCAGGGTTTGATGTGTTTCTATCGAGAATTTGACCCGGAGCCTAGAACTAATATTGACGGGGATACTGCAGGGGATATTAGGACGGTCTCGGATTTTAATTCGGGGTTCGTTCCTGAAATTGACGTTTTAGTACGGGAAGGTTAAACCGGTGTTTGAACGACCAGAACTGGTGAGGGATTAGCACGGCATACCGGGTTTGTCGTATCACGATAATTATATTAATGCTTAGAATTGACCTAGGTGAACTAGAATGGCATGATTAGGGGTGTATGGACTTTTGTGCTATATGATAAACCCTGGACTGTTGTATGATATTATTGACTTGCCCTAATCGATATGAACCTTGTTTATGTTGATGATTGCATACATGTTGCCATTTGTGGCTTAACCGTTGTTATGAATTCATGGTTGTTCGATCAGGTGTTTTGATATGATGTGATATTGTGGTTGTATTTGGATTCACAAGTGGGGGAAATAAACTTCCCAAGGTGATATTATGATGTTTAAGGAGGATGACTTGCACGAGGGTTTATCCCGAGGAAGTGCAATTATACGACTCCTGATTTACCTATGTTGAGCCAATTATGGTCAGGTCAAGTACATGTGTAAGTAATGAATTATGGTTAAGCAAGATGAGATATGAATCATGTACAGGGATACCAAATATGAATGTTGTGGTCTCATGGTCAATTACGTAGTAATTAGGGCTCCCTATGCTATTACTCTATTATGATATGTATGATAGTCACACCTCTCATGTGGTGGTGACTGAAGAATTCTTATGAGATATGACCACACCCAGAGCGGTGTCGGGGTATGACTACACCCATAGTGGTGTGGGGTATGTATGACCACATCCGACGGGATGTTGGGGTATGTATGACTACATCCGACGGGATGTGGGGTATGTTTCCCGGGAGAGTTATTAGCATGGGAGTAGCCAGGCGCCTATGATTAAAACATGATAAGATGCATATGCATAAGTCAAGGTGGTTGAGTCTTTTGCCTATTGGGATATGAGGATGGCTGAGGTCTGATCCTAGTGTTTTGGTTTGATTGTTAGATGTATGATAGGGGTATGCTCTGTTATGAACTCACGATGCTATGATTATCTCACTCAGCTATGAGCTGACCCTCTTTTATTCTTCTTCTCTGCTTATGCTATGTGTAAGCAGATCATCAGCAGCAGCAGTAGATAAGTGTTAGGTGGGAGAGGAGCTAGAGTTGAAGCCAGGATGAGGTATGGTCTTCAACTATTCTGTGCTTGGACTACTACTTGGGATTTTGGCCAGTGATCCACACCTTTTTGTAAAAATGTTTTGAGAACATTTTCATGTGCATACTAGCTTCGAGTGTAGTGTGAGATATCCACAGGTGTGGAAAGTTAATGATATGTGTATATGTTGTGTAACTGTGTAAGTTGTGACGATTATGGTATGTATAAGTATGGTATGCAGTTAGGAAGTATGAAAAGTGTGACTATGGCTAAGAAAAGCCAATGCATATGGTTGTGAGTATATATGTTTGTGATGAATTATTTTGCAGGTTAAGTTGCAAGAACTGTTAGCCCATTACGCGAGTTATTCATGTCGAAATTTTATTTAGGTAAATTTTGATAATTAATGTAACGCCCGAGATTAATTCCGCTGCAATTGTATAAACAATATGATTAGGCAAAACGTATAGGGTAGGGTGTTACATGTAGCCTCTGGAATCGAAAGAAAATGGCATTTCGGATAAATCGCCCGAAATCTGTGATGGTACCCCTTTGGAATCTGCCAAAAATTGACCAGGAATAAATCCGCCGAAATCGGTGCTTAATGGACTCAATCATCGTTGGAGAATATTCTCAGGCCGAATCCGTGATCTGTAGCCTTCAATATCCAAAGAAAATGGCCTTTCGTCGCCAAAGAAATTACGAAAATGCCATTCGAAAATAAATTGGCCCAAATCGATGCTTAACGGACTTATCATCCGTGGAGAATAGGATCAATAGACTTCATTATCGGTGGAGAATAGCCTTGGCCTGATTTCGTGATCTGTACCCTCCAGAATCGAAAGAAAATGGCAATTCGGATATATCGCCCGAAATCTGTGATGGTACCCCTTTGGAATCTGCCAAAAAATGACCCGGAATAAATCCGCCCAAATCGGTGCTTAATGGACTCAATCATCTTTGGAGAATAGCCTCAGGTCGAATCCGTGATCTGTAGCCTTCAATATTCAAAGAAATCGGCATGTCGTCGCCCAAGAAATTACAAAAATGCCATTCGAAAATAAATTGGCCCAAATCGATGCTTAACGGACTTATCATCCGTGGAGAATAGAATCAATAGACTTCATTATCGGTGGAGAATAGCCTCGGCCTGATTCCGTGATCTGTAGCCCCCGGAATCGAAAGAAAATGGTATTTCGAATAAATCGCCTGAAATCTGTGATGGTGCCCCTTTGGAATCTGCCAAAAATTGACCCGGAATAAATCCGCCCAAATAGGTGCTTAATGGACTCAATCATCGTTGGAGAATATTCTCAGGCCGAATCCGTGATCTGTAGCCTTCAATATCCAAAGAAAATGGCCTTTCGTCGCCAAAGAAATTACGAAAATGCCATTCGAAAATAAATTGGCCCAAATCGATGCTTAACGGACTTATCATCCGTGGAGAATAGGATGAATAGACTTCATTATCGATGGAGAATAGCCTCGGCCGGATTCCGTGATCTGTAGCCTCCAGAATCGAAAGAAAATGGCATTTCGGATAAATCGCTTGAAATATGTGATGGTACCCCTTTGGAATCTGCCAAAAATTGACTAGGAATAAATCCGCCCAAATCGTTGCTTAATGGACTCAATCATCGTTGGAGAATAGCCTCAGGACGAATCCGTGATCTGTAGCCTTCAATATCCAAAGAAAATGGCCTTTCGTCGCCGAAGAAATTACGAAAATGCCATTCCAAAATAAATGGGCCCAAATCGATGCTTAACGGACTTATCATCCGTGGAGAATAGGACCAATAGACTTCATTATCGGTGGAGAATAGCCTCGGCCTGATTCCGTGATCTGTAGCCTCCAGAATCGAAAGAAAATGGCATTTCGGATAAATCGCCCGAAATCTGTGATGGTACCCCTTTGGAATCTATCAAAAATTGACCAGGAATAAATCCGCCCAAATCGGTGCTTAATGGACTCAATCATCGTTGGAGAATAGCATCAGGCCGAATCCGTGATCTGTAGCCTTCAATATCCAAAGAAAATGGCCTTTCGTCGCCCAAGAAATTACGAAAATGCCATTGGAAAATAAATTGGCCCAGATCGATGCTTAACGGACTAATCATCCGTGGAGAATAGGATCAATAGACTTCATTATCGGTGGAGAATAGCCTCGGCCTGATTCCGTGATCTGTAGCCTCCAGAATCTAAAGAAAATGGCATTTCGGATAAATCGCTCGAAATCTGTGATGGTACCCTTTTGAAATCTGCCAAAAATTAACCCGGAATAAATCCGCCTAAATCGGTGCTTAATGGACTCAATCATCCTCCCTGCAACCTAAGCTACGGCAGCAGCTAGAAAACAATATATATATAACAGCTTGCAATTCCTTTCTCCACGTAACTAGGAATGGAAAAGTGCTGGTATAGTCCTCAAACAAAATAAAATGACACTCGTACACATCGGGTACGTACACAACAAAGCAACTAGTACGCACTCCGCAACAGTCTTGGTCAAAAATGGAAGCTCAGCAAAAATTCTATTCTACCAGGTATCTTTGGATTTGAGATTCCCCAAGGACACTATGATGATCTCTCGGACCTCTTTGGTCGATGTCGAGGGGATCGTATCCACAAATGTCTCCATGGGTTATGTTGATCTATCGTCCACCAGTCCATCGAGTTCCACAAAGTCGACTACCCTTCACCTTATAATAATTCCACTACCCATCAGCGGATTAAATGTATGACTAGGTAGGGATGGCAAATTACCCACCCATGGGTAATTATACCCAAACCCAAGTAGACCTATTGATAATGGGTTGGGTATGGGTGAAGTGCATATGGATTTGGGGGTTTATATATGGGTTTGGGTTTGGGGCTTCTATAATCTAAATGGGTATGGGTTGGATATGGATATCCATTTACTTGAGGGTGTTTTAACTACACATCCAAAAATTGGACCTATTTGTAAAATTTGAAAAGTTTAGGTACCAAAATGTAAGACCAAAAAATTTAGGTACCAAAACGTAATTTTCCATCGATATTTTGAGGACTTATATGCAAAAAAAATTAAATTTAGGTACTAATTATGCATATCTATTAAGTTTGGGTACCAAACTGTAATTTGTATTTGGGCATGGGTACAAACCCAAATCCATTTGATATAAACCCAACTCAACCCAAAGTAAATGGGTATGGGTACAAACCCATCAAACTCTACCCATATCCATCTATTTGGATTTCATACCCAACCCAATTGGGTTGGATAGTAAGAAACCCATGGATATGGGCAAAGTTGCCATCCCTATGACTAGGGGGATAGACTTATCTCAAGGAAACCTTAAGGTGACAAAACAAAGAAAAGAAAAGCTATACATGACATTGATAGAGAAAACAGAAACAAAGGAAGTTATAAGCAGAGAAAAAACAGAACCGGGAAGACAAATCCAATATGCATCTGTATGTACAACTATGCCTGCTAAAAATCTGTCTGCTTTCTGAATCTCTAGTTCTGTATTAGACCAATCGACACAGGATCTTCTATTTCTCCACACAGAGAGAGAGCCCTTCTCAATTCTATGCCTTCCTCGGTTTATTTCCTTCTCCTGATCTGCAGACCCTTATATACACATAATAATCTGACTCCAACAACTCCAAGCTAATTAAGAGTGCACAAAATCAAATTAAAGAACCCTGAAGTTCAATCGATCGATCAAGCCCAAAAGTCCCACCATTGACAATCGCTGCTTGGTTGATCAAACAACACTCCATCTGAATCCAAACACCCCCAGTCTTCCTGTGATCCATCACAGCCACCATATTCCACCATGTCACTCATAAGTTTTGCAGCTTCCTGATCTGCCTCTTCCATTCCCAGATACTCATCCGACATGAATCCTAGTCCTTCTCCTGACCCCTTCATCGAATTCCTCGGCCTCGATTTGGGTTTGGTCTTGATTGTTTCACTGCTATTAGTAGCAGCAGCAGCAGCTGGCACTCCTTCACATTCCTCTGCCTTCAGCGTCTGCAACTGTATCCCAAAGCGAACAAACAAATTAAACCTCTAGACAACTCTCTTATGTGAAGAAGAAAAAAACGGATCTTATTGTCAATCTCTTGTGATTTTCTACCTTTAAAGCCAGGGCTTGTTTCTCTTTCTTGAGGGACTCATAACGGGAAGCCAGGGCGGTGTAGCTAGCCCCGAGGATGTTGTAGTCTCGCTCGAGCTGCTTGGACTTGCGTCGAGCCCGCTTGTTCTGGAACCATATGGCCACCTGGCGAGGCTGCAGCCCCAGTTGCTTAGCGACCTGGACCTTCCTTCGGGGCTCGAGTCGGGATTCCGACTGGAAGATGGACTCCAGTGACTTGATCTGCTCGTCGCTGAACCTCTTTCTGTTCTTGTTCTTGTTCTTGATCTTCTTCTTCCTGGTGGTGGATGTTGTTGTTGAGCTCGATGAAGGGTATTGGTCTGGTGAATTCGGACACCAGCTAAATTCCTCCCTGCCCATCATAATTGCTGAAGTGTGTTTTTTTTTTTTTCTTGATGTTGTTGTTTTGAATGGTTCAGCAACCAGTCAGCAAGTGACTGAATGGAGACGAGGCTCTGTTCTTATAGCTTGCTAACTACACTCTGTTGTTCTGGAACTTACAAATTACAATTGTGGATTAAAGGGAGGAAGATAATCACTGAGAGTGTAATTGGAGGTAACTGAAGTCTGAAACTAGTGAGGTGAAAGTGTTTGGGTGAGCACTTCTACTATGCTATATAGTATTGGTGCTTTAATGTACAATTTAAAGTTGTACCATAACATTAAATGTATAAATTTAGGTTGTACCATAAAGCAATTTGTACCATTATGTTATGGTACAACTTTACAACTCAAAGTTGTACCATCACATAAAAGTACAAGTTCAAGTTGTTCCATAAAAGAATTTGTACAAAAAGTATAGGTACAATCTGAAGTTGTACCATAATGTAAATGTACAATTTTAAGTTGTACCATAAAGGCAAAATCATATAGCACCAATACTATATAGCATTGTAAAATTTCTCGTTTGGGTTGAAAGTAAAATAAAGAGATAAATATGGAGTTGGTTTCATAACATTTTTTAGGGTTATGGAGTTGCTAACTACACTCTGTTTTGATTAGTAATCCGGTTAGTTAGTGATCATGCATAAATTTGGTTTCCACTAAGTTTTACGACCTTGTCTAATTTTTTATAATTCATAATACAAATTTTGCAACGTAGATATTAATCATACTTCTTAAATATATCCACATTGATGTCTTGAAATCTTCGTCGAAATATATCACACTGAACTCATCGAAAATACGTAGTGGTACCAAGGTCGTACAAATTTGTTTTGTCGAAATATAAAAAAAATTAGAGATTACAATGAACTTGGTTCATCTCTTCAAAATATTTCACAACAAGAGTTAAAACGAAGAAATACAAATTGATTAAAAGGTAGGAAAATAATAAAAAAAATCATTTTCATGTCATCCCTTATATCTTAGTTCTTACCACCAATGTAGTCAAATTCGAGATTTTATGTAGAAGCGTTTTGGTGACATAGAAGCGTAAAAACGTAAGCTATTAACCTTTAATTCGTAGATTTTTTACCACACTTGTAAGCAAGATTCTAGACAGCGTAATTTCGCGCACGACTAGGTGCACCTAGGCGCTAGCCACTAACAAAATGCCTCGCCTAGGTCCTAGGCACACCATATTACCATTAGGCATTCATAACGCCTTGTGAAGCTAGGCACAATTAATTGGCGTGAGGTGTGATTAATCATGGCGGTTGATGCTTTTAAACCCATCGACATACCAAGGATTATGAAAAAATGTAGCTAATCTTTCCGAAATGACTTCTTTAGTTCTTCTCCAGCTGGTCGACCCAACCCTTTGCCCTACTTTTCACCATCATAAATCTAAGAAATCATGTTTTGCTTGTTGTTGAGTGTTAGCTAGGTTATTAATCATTTTTAAGATTGAACTAAAGTAAAAAAAAGTGTTGTGGATGAGGACATATTCGTGCTAGGTACTAGGCATAATCCCACTGCCTGCCTAGTGCCTTCTTGAACCTTGCTTGTAAGTGAAAAGCATTATCAATTTTGTGAAGAAGAAAATTTCTACACCGAAGCACTTGAGTGAAAAAACAATGGGATCACTTGATTTTGGTGATAGTTTAGTTGAGATATTTATAATTCTTCTATTGTTCCCAATGATTTTTTTTTTGTGCTTTCTAAACAATGTTTGTTTGATGTAACAAAATGTATCGGTCAAAATGAGTGATAAATACCATGTTTATTGTTCCCGATGAAGGTTATATATATGTTGCTATTTTACATAAAAATAAAGGATAAAAATGATAATTATCTAATGTAATTTATTACCAACTAACTCAAAAAAATAAACAATATAACCTACTTTGCACTACTTTTGTCAGTTACACTTGTAGTATTATACATGTATTGTTTTCAAGGTATAAGTTTAAATATCATCAACCCAATCCAATCGAACCAAACCATATACATGCTCTGAAGTAAATTATTTTTTTATTGATTATTGTTCCAATATTCGAATTTAGATTAGAGTGTGACAAGTATTTTCCATATTACTACTAGTCTAATTCCTTGTTGAACCAAATTATTCCGTTGTCCGAGTTGTGAAGAAAACCCCATTTATAAATCTCACATAATTATGAAAAAACTGAAAACTTTTTGAAACTTAAATCAACAAAATAGTCGGCCGGCCTTTCTAAACCAAACCAAAGGTTCCATCCATAAACTGGACACGCTAGCTAGGTAGTAAAGGTTGGTCAAACTTGAAAATGGACCGACGAGAGAAAAGCAGCTACGTGGCGGCTTTTCTGGCTCTTGCCAATAAGACGACAAAAAGGATATTAATTATAAAATCGTAATTATTTGCCTTCACGTACTTTATTTATCTGCATCCCGTCCCGTCTCAGCCGAGTGAAGCGCAACACGTAACACAGCCTTTGTTTTGTTGTCACACGGAATTAGGTCTCTTAGTCCCGCAATCTTTTTCAATCTTTTAAGTTCCGGTAATGGTTGATCTTCATATTTTAACACCCATCATTATCAATATAATTTTGTTTGTAATTGTATAGAGAGCCGATATTTCAATAACTTAATTATTTCGGTGACCGGTGGATAATAATAATAATAACATATTTTAATTCAACGAACTTTTATTTGTCTTAAGTCGAAATTAAAAAAAAACATTCACAAAAAAAATTAGATTAATCGTGTTCTTCAAAATTATATCCAGTTTGATATATTTCAGAAATTAAAATTTAGACATTTATTAATAGTCTATACAATAATGGTAATACTAGATAGTATATAAGATATTATCATGATGTTATGAAAGTGTAACAAGGTGGTAATAAAATACAGCATAGTGTAAAATGGTTGTATATGTGATAGTAGGAATATATTAACCACCAGTTGTGACCTTTATACTCCATTCGCCACCAGTTACTAACTTATACCATAATAGTACAGGGTGGTATATTTGGTCATGAAATTTTTGTTTCCCATGAATTTTGTATATCATAATAAATCACAATGAACTCGTTCATTATGTAGTAAAATTTGTTAAAAGTTGGTTAAAAATCATGATGGTAACGAGTGGTAATGGGTGATAAAAAAATATACATACAAAATATATATAAAAAAATGAATATCATTACGTAGATCACAATGAGTTTGTCCCGTATGTATACAAAATTTAAAATTCTGGTTACAACAAAAAAGATACAAGCCGCTAATAAAATAAATAGGAAACTTGAAAAACATTTTTATCTCACCTCTTAAATCTAACACCACTTAGCACCAAAGGGTCAAGATTTAATTGGCCACTTATGCATAACTAGGAATTATAGACTTAATTATATATGTTGTTATTCTTTTTATCTAAAAAGTATTTCTATTTTAATTTATTTACTTACATGAATGCAACTCATAATATATGAAGTTAAACCTTAAACGTGCTTAGATGAAGGGGGTATATTTTAAAGGTAGATGAGGTAGTATTTTTTTTTTTTTAATAATGTAGATGAGGGTAGTATTAAGATGCATGACTTCTTCAAAAAATTATTACGATGCACCCAAACAAAATTGTCTGAGATATATCAAAATATCTTTTTTAATATAAATAAATATCTTATATAAAAATAGTCATTATATTGGCTGAATCTAGTATTAGCGGCATACGATTGTTAGCACCCTAACATTTGCCTACATCCTTGGAAATAGCTTTAAGTTATAAGCATGTTCATTGTGATTAATGGAAGTCCTCAATCTGAAGCAGCCAAATTGACGTTCTGCAATTTGCGAAAATATTGAATAGCGAAGAGATAATAATGAGTTGCAGTAATATGTATTGAAATTGAAAATCTATAACTGTAAAAATAATTACTATAAGTTGTATTCTTGCAACTTTAAAACATAATGACTACGTACAAATGCAAAAAAAAAAAAAAAACCATTTACCACAATCGAACAACCGTTCCTTCTCTCCCACAATTTGACGTCGGCAGAGCAGTGCCCTTGCGTGAATCACGTTCTTACCACCAAAGTTCTTCTAGTTCGTGACTTCGTGTCCCCTCCATTACTTAAAATCACTATGATTTTGAGATAGAAAGGGACGCGAAGGAAAGAACTTAAATTTAATTGGTTACTAACAATGTCATCACCATGTACTACACAAGTACACATATGCATGGTTCTAATAAAAACACTACAGTTGCATTTTGTTTACCGGTCGGAAAACATGTTTTTAACATAATTGGATGCAAATTGATCTCTTGAAATCATGATTACTAAAATACAGTTCAAATCTTTTTAAACAGAGTTTAAATAAAGATGTTCGATATTTTTATTATCTAAGAGACAAATATTCATTAAGTTAACTTAGTTCTATAAAGGTTGATCTGATGAAATAGAATAAATTGAGACAGTATTTTGTAAATGCGTAATCACTGGGGCGGAGCTTGGATTTGACATTTGGGGGGCCGGATTTTTTTTATTCTACTACTTCGAAAAACGGATAAAATTAACAAAAACAGTTTTTGTTATTATTATAACTGGCATTTTTAGATGATTAGAGTTAATCAAAATATTTACAACTTATTTCGTGTAGACAAACTCACAAAAGTGAATATATCATACACATAATTTTTATTTATGAATCCATTAGTTTATATGATTCTACAATTATTATTGATTTACCAATTGTAATTGTAAGTGCAGAAAATGAAATTTCATCTTTGAGTCAGGAACGAAGACATAATGTAATGTTCCGAAGGGGTTTATTTGTTACTGCGAAAAGACAATAAAATTAAGAAAAAAGAAAAAAATTATATTTTGTAATATTTTCATAGCATCAATTTTAATTCATATAAAATTTTTATTTAAGAAATATGTATCAATTATTGAGACTATATGTGCATTCAATGGGTTTCGAACTCGAACTCCTAACCTTATGAATGTAAAAGCAAGTTCCCAGCCACTGGACCATCTCACTTCGTATTCCATTATTGCGACCTGAACAATTTTATAAAAAGTTCATAAGTTTATACGAAATTTCCAAGTTCAGCTCATGGACGTGAACTTTGGTTGGCTTCCTCCTTATGACTACATTTGGCTCCCCAAGTTCCAAATCCGCTCACTTTGTCCCAAATCGTTCTAAGACCAGAAAATCTAACATATAACTACACCTAGCTCATTATGGATCAAATCTTGACACAATTATGACAAACTTTACTAAAAGCACCTAAAAATCGGGTATGAAATATGTATAAATTAGGTGTTATCAATCTCCTACAATGCAGTGCTGGGAAGGTAATTGTGATGGACTGGTGGAACACGTTCTTCCAATGATGCTCTAGATTTTCACACCAGGAAAGGTCAAATCTCAACTTATTGGACTGTCATTGGCTCAAATCCTAGGTGGTAGGGAGAGGATGCAGCATAAAGTCCTGAAGATGGCTAATTCTGCTGTATTGAAGTGCATCTAAGAGAAGGCTAACTCTTGCTTTATCACAACAAGCATTCAATTCCAGTAACATCTCTCATAAGTTTGAACTATATATAGATTACAGTGGTTAGGAGTTTCCGCAAAGAGAGAGGATGAAAGGGGAAACAAAGCAGAGAGACAGGCGCATGGCTGCTCACAGAATCATTTGCATTTCTCTCCAAAGAAAGAGAGTTATACTGATTTTATTATCAATGGCACGGCAGCCACAGCTCTTCTACTCCCTTTCAGCTGCTGCCAATTATGTCCTTGTAAGTGTCTTTCACTTTCTGTATCAAAGCCTCCCTGCAAAGTTGGATCAAAATTTTCAGTCTCAGAAACTGGTAGCATGATGAAATAGCAAAAAGCACAGCTTTTCTTTTCTACTCCGGACCTGTCAGGTTTGAAGAAGAGGTTCTTGTATGCAAACCACTGCAAAAATAGGAACAAGTACAATCAAATATTCGCGGCAAATCAAGAAGCTGCGATTTTTTGTGCATATTAAGCAGCAAAAATACTAGGAAAACACCTCAAGAGGTCGAATCTTAGGATCGATAACCAACGAAAAAGGAAGGACTTACTCCAGTGTAACCAATGCCCACAATCTCAAGAACACCAGGAACTAAAGGAAGCCTGTCGATAGCCTGCAATATAGAAGATAAAGCAGCAAGCAAGCAGAATACTGAGAAAAAACAGAATGGAATTTGGGGAAAGTAGCAAGCAGAAATCAAAATCTGGACTGGAGACTTCACCGAGATCATCCCAGAAGAACTCCAGATTGCAAGTACACCAGCCGCAGCTAGAGAAGACACTGCATACTTGTCTTCCACTTTATCCCACTGTCCCAATTCCATACACATATCAAAGATTAGACCCAGAAGGCAAAAAAATGGGATTCATGTAATCCAACTAGAACAAAATGCTTACTGCTTCTTGAACAGTCTTCACAATTTCAGGCAGCTCAGTTGTGTCAACCTCAGCAGGAGCAGCAGGATCCCCTGCCGTCGCCATGGCCATGACATTGCGAGCAATCTTCCGACCTAATAGAGATACCCAATTGACAGCAAATCCAGAAACCATCCATCACTACTACAAATGAAATTATGACTAATGTCTGCACAATCAAGACATAGAGAAAATGTACTACTGACAGTAAGTTGCGGCCTTGGAAGAAGGGCGGGCTGCTGCGAGAGGGGGAAGTGTGGGGAGAGTGACGCATTGAGTAGCAGAAGACGCTGCAGGCTGGCGAGGACCCTTGGCTGCATCCACAAGGCTGGAGGAAGAGGATGAGATCGACAAAGTGGTGGAGCAAGTTGAAGCCATGGCGCCTCCTCCTCTGCTTTTTGTTCCCCTTTGGATAATAAAAATAAAAGGCTTGAATAACAGGTGAAGCAGAATGAGCCCTGAGGGGGGAAGATTGATCGTGTTTTATTATGATTGACTAATTAAATGGTGTCCAAAGGTTTGGAGGTAGAGAAACCACTCGTTGGGTTGGGTTGGGAGTGGGAGTGATATCTAGATAGTGATGAGGTGGGGAAGAGTTTGGGGTTTTGGATAGGGAGTCTTATGGTGTTCAATTCATTGGTTGGATAGAGTGATCCACCATCGCCTTCAGATATTTGTTGAGTTGTTTATCCGAGAGAAATGAACACAAAAGGGAAAATGTGGAGAAGACAACTTTTTTAGTTACATGAAAATAACTTGGATTGTATATTTGTTAGGAATAGAAGAAATGGAAGTGAGTCCTATTTATTATTATCAAGACAACATGGGTAGCGAGTAGTTGGACATCCACATGTATGAATAATATATTCATAATGTTTTTTTTTTATATCTATCGATTAATTACATGTTTCGTTACAATCTAATGAGGAAATATGTTGTGACATAAAATCTAGTAAATGAAAGAGAGTATAGTATCTTCTGTTACGTTTGTATATACTATCTCATTAAAAATCTTACAAAAATAGAATGGTTACTATGTCGATATCCTCCACAGTCACGAAGTCCTAACAGAGGGTGTTTTTTTATTTTTAGGGTTTAAACATTGTTTTCGGAAGAGATTTTGTAAACAAATTGTCCATTTTTTTTTTGTAGGACGTTATTTATTCTTTAGCATATAATGATATCAATTTTAATATGTTTTTAATACGTTTTTCTTTGGTTTCTTTATGGGCTAAATGACATAGTGGGTCACTGGGTTTATTGCAATAGCTGGTAAACTCTCATTTCACTTATGGTCATTGATTTACCATTTTCGTTATATTTTATCCTATATGGCGGTTGATAATTGTAAACTATCACAGGAAAAATAGGCAAGTGAACCTATCGTTCTACGATAGCATATCAAGTCGGGTTATATCCACAAAGATTATGTATACTAGCATGGTTCAAGAAGACGTAACTTCTCTTATGTCTAGGAGCTTCTAGGTGCTAGACGATGATAAAATTTCTCACCAATGTCCTAGGCAACAAATTAGTCGCTCATGACGGCTGACGCCTAGACGAAGCTATCAGGTGCCTAATCATGATTAAGCTTTGTGAGGTACGATTAAGAAATTGGAGATGTGCTTAAACGTAGTTAGAGGACCAAGGAAAGAAGAAGAAAAAAGTAGCTACCTTCCCAAAATCGAATCCATCTCAAACTAGTAACTACCCTCGATGCGTCCTTCGGTCCTTCCTTCCAATTGTAATCACAAATCACAACTCCAGGTTAGAAACAGCCAAACTCGCTTCTCTTTGTCGCTCATTCTCTTCGACCGATCATCTGTCGTGCTGCTCTTCACAATTGTCGATTGCCAGCTCCTAGTAACCATAAGTTCTAGTTGATCCATCACTTCAACATGCACTCTGCCTTGTTGGTCTTTGTCATTGCTTACTACCATCACCACAAACGGTTATTAATTCACCACTTTCTAAATCACCATTCTCCTCCTCGTCGACAATATTCAACTTTTTGTGTACTATTTTTCGACATATATTGATTCACCAATTTCTATAAACTTGTGACTAGAAAATACTGTGATATTTTGCTGGTTATTAAGGGTTAGCTAATTTATTAATAATTTGAACCTAAGTACCAAAGAGTTGTAAAACTGTTATTTCTATTACAAATAGCTATATTCGTTTCTAACACCAAGGCTAGCTAGGCGCCTAGAGAAATGAAAGATCCAAAATCTCATCTTCTTTGAAGGAAAATTGTCAGACAACAAAATGGGCATTGTAACAAAAATGTTAAGAATGTGTGTTAGATGAGAGAAAGAAAGCTAATGATGAAAGCGCCAATTGGTCTTAACTTACTGTACAACAGAACCCTATACCAACAGTTAGCATGAACACTTCGAACTCTGTTTCACCTAGCTCGTATCATCCGAACCAAGTACTCCTCCAAATCAGTAACTGCATCAACTATTCTGGTATCGCCCTTGATCTCCACCTTCTTGACCCTATCCAAAATCTCCTCGGTTCTGGCCAAGTCATTCATGGCAAAAATTCTAGGAAGCATAATCTCCCAAGTACCTATATGCAGAGCCACTCCATGATTAAGCAATACTTCCACCACTTCACAAGCTTCCTCAACCTTGCCAAGACCACAAAGACCCTTCACCACAGCATCAGCAACAGAAAAATGCAGCGAAAATCCTTTCGCCAGCATCTCCTGCAGGTAGCCCTTTGCTTCATCAAACATCCCTTGATCACACAACCCACCAACCAGAGTTCTGTAAGAGACCAGGTTCGGCAGACACCCATTCGACTCCATGTCCTCCAGAACCTTGCAGGCGTCCGTTGCGCGGCCTTCTCTGCAGAACCCGAGTATTACAGTGTTGTAATGAACAAGGTCAGGGTTGCAGCCTTTCACCTTCATCCTGCAGAGAAGCTTGTAAGCCTCTCTGAGCTTCTTCTTCCTGCACAGGCTGTTCAACAGGGTGGTGTAGGTCAGGGCATCCGGCACAAACCCTTTGTTCAGCATGTCCTCTAATAGATCAACAGCTCCGTTAACCTGACTCTTCCTGCACAAAGCTTGCATCAGAATGCGGTAGGACTCGACATCGGGAACAACATCTCTCTTGAGCATTTCGTTGAACAGCTTGTAGGCAATGCTCAGTTCCCCACTCAGGCACATTGCCCGCATCAAGATGTTGTACGACTTGGTGTTGGCAGCCACGCCGTGCCGGCGGGCGTCCCTGAAGAGGTCGAAAGCGGGTTTCACGAAGCTTCGGCGGGAGACGAGGCGCTCGAGGATGAGGTTCAAGTGTTTGGGCAGAGGGTTGAAGTTGAACTCCAGCATCGTGTGGAATGTTCCCAGAACCTTGTCCGGTAAATTGGACTCTCCATAGATCTTGATTAGAGAAGAGAAGAGAGCCGGCGTTACTGGGTAGCGCTTGGATTTCAGATCGCCGACGAGAGCGTCGACGAGGGAGATGTGCTTGGATTCCCCGAGCTTGCGAATGAGAACGAGGTAGGAAGGGTAAGAGTGCTGGAAATTGGGCTGGAGAGAGGCGTAATCGAAGATCTCTTTGGCGAGGAGAGGATCCGATTGGGAAGCTATGAGCTTTTGGACTCGGGATGGAGACCAGATCGGGGAATTCTGGGAGGTGGGATCGGTGGGAAATTGCGACTTCTGCTGATGCGGCGGAGGGAGAGGTGAAGTACAATAGAAAAAGTAAGACTGTGAGTTCGGCCGGAAAATGAATCGGCGGAATCCAGCTATGGCGGTTTTGGGTGAGCGTAATAATGGTAGGTCCATCACTGGCCGGCGCAACCGTGGACGGCGGTAGGCTGCTGGATTGGCGATTAGATTTGCTAGGTTGGGGATGATGATGAAGGCTAAATTAGTTATTTATTTGAACCCTGAACTTGTAGGTTCTTCGATTAACATGTCAAACTTCTGACTTCAGTTATTTAAGTCCTTCATCTTCATGTTATGTGAGGTTATTTGGAAGGTAAATTTGTCGGATAAGACTTGCAAGTTATAGTTATTTGGAGAAAACGATCTATCTTTTTCATAAAGTGGTCGATCACTTTAGTATAATGGACGACTAGTGGTGGTTCCAGAATTTTGGAACATGTATGTCGGCCGATAAAATAAAAGTTATATAAGAAAATTAATTTATAAAGTTTGCAATGTCATTGTTTTTACTCTAAACCAAATTATGCAGTCCAATTTGGTCCACGATTTTTCAAACGGTCTTACCTATTTTCCGAAGGCAAAATCATAACATAGACAGACCAAAATTACAGTAATGAGTAATTACCACTTTCCCGTCTAGACTCGCATCATGATAACGCCATCTTTGCCACAAGCAGCTCCGTTAATTCTTCAGGAAAGAGGGAATGTAATTTGCTACGACTTCAAAACAATGTTCAACTGGATGTGGTCAAAATGGAAGTACAATGACGACTGTACCACGCACGATTTAGAGGCTAGAAGAACAATATCGAAGACGAAACAGTCAACCAGCAAGTTTCCTATCTATAACTAATATGATATGCTACATGCACGGTAATCGGCAGACTGAACTAGAGATCAAAACCAAAATTGTTTAACAGTCTAAAGCTGCCAATCAGAACCTGTATCTCAATCTCTCGACAAGCTTAACGATTTTAACTTGCACAAAACTTTTGGAAGGGTGTTCGACATCAGAAGAACTGGATTGAATACTGTGAAACGGCACCAACGACTGATTGTGACAGGCTTCCATTACTGACCAGAGGGATCTGCATATGCTTCATGTCATAGCTCCTTGATGAAACAACAGCTATTGATTTGTCACAGGTCTCCTGGCTGTCAACAAAAATCCTCGCTCAAAGATCCTGCCTGTCAACACCTTTTCTAACCACCAATACCCGACCATGAAAGTCCTGAAAAATAAACACAAAGGAATGAGAGAAGAAGACCCATAAGCAGAAGGGTAATGAACTAGGCATGACTGTTTGAGCAACCTAAAACTTCAGTTAACAGGACTTAACTGTACTGTCCAAACATAGTGAAGCCTCACGTTCTTCTGAAGTGGAGAAGGATATAAACCCATAAGCACGATTCTTTCCTCCCTTACGGTCATACAACACTCTTGCACTGACCACATTCCCAAACTCGCTGAACTTCTTCCTCAACGCATCCGGTCTTATTGTCCAGGCCAGATTGCCGACGTACAACTTGTACGGGCTCTCATAGATTAGGGTTCTCGAGGGCGATGCAGTTGTCATGACCTCCTCATTTCTCTCAATTCTCCTACCCGAAGTCATGTCAACTGAAAACCTAACTCGCATTTCCCTCCCTTCAACATCCTACGATCAATCGCGAGAAACATATGTTCATCATGCCAGAACTTCAACACAAGGGATTGAGCTTAAAAGCCTACAAACAGCATAGGTTATATACACTTACATAGCCATCCAACGAATGCATTGCTTTTCTGGCTGAACTTTGTGAACCCATTGTCACATAACCGCAACCTCGACTCACCCCAGTTTCTGGGTTCTTGGAAACCTGCAGCAATTTCATCAAATTTTCAATCCATATTTAGACCAAGTCGAAACTGGCCATGGCTGTCTCAATTCTCTACTGTCCAGCTAAGATTTTCTAAATCAGTTGATAGCAGATGAATCACCAAATTGAATGAAAAGAGAATTCCTCACCCAAATGCGATGGAGTTTAGGAGTGTACCTCGACGGACACAACTGTTCCGTAGGGTTTGAAAATTTCGGCGAGTTGCGGAATATCGCAGCTCCTCGGGAGGTTACAGACGTACAGCTCGCACGGCCGGACTTCTTTTCTCGATCCATTTCCAGAGAAGCCGACGCTGCTGCTCTCCTCTGTCAGTACAGATCCCTCATTGAAAACCGCCCGTGACCTGCCCGTTGTCTGAGGCCGCACCGAGAAAGGCGAAATCAGAGCGTCAAGAGTGGGAGAATGGCACCGAGGCGACGGATTGGAGCATTGAAATTGGAGAAAGATACGTGAAGATGAGGTCGGGAAGTGTACGGGTGGGTTTTTCGCCGGCGCCGCTACTGTATTACCGGTGAGAGGAGGCGGGGTAAGGGAAGTGCCGAAGCGGGTGGTTGCCATTGAGAAGAAGTGACAGCTCGGGTGCTCAAAGTGGATATGGTTTCCAATTAAACAAGACAATATTGCTATTTCCGAAGTTTTTTTTTTTTTTTTAGATTTACTTGAGTTTGAAGTGGATCCGATCGGATGACTAACATTGAGTAACTATACATAACCCAATCACTCGTCTCCACATCAACACTTCCGCTATTTTTATTTTTTTTATATGAATGGGTGAGCCTTTATTTCATCAAATACAATATGTACAAAATCCACACTAGTTACAGGCAGAAGGAAAAGAAACCTCTACAGCTAAACTGAAAAACCTAACTCGCACTAGTTACAAGCAGAAGAAGGGGGGGGGAAAAAACTCTGCAACGCACCTGCAACCCAAACTACCGACAATCCCAGAAGCTGAGAATTGCTACAACAAGACTACACTTTGTACCACAGTGAGCGGATCAGAGCCGAGTCAGCAAACTCTGAATATCATGCTTCTTTAGCTTCCATCACTCCCTACATTCTTTTGACAAGCCCTACCACCGTTAACTGCTTCCCACCGAAGACTCTCCTGCATCTTTCCCGCCATATCTCGCTTAGTACAAGACACTAGAGTATTCTGCCCACCAAGTATTTGCTGAGTCGTCTAGTAGCTAATACCACCGCCTGCTGCAAGTCACTGGGAATCGGAAGCCGCCTTGGGGAGGGGAATACAGTGCTCCACACTTCCTGCATATAGGGACACTGAAAAAATAGATGGTGCTTAGTCTCTAGCTCTTGACTACAAAGAGGGCAAGAACCTGTCACTTCAAGATTCGAGCGTTGCACAACATCCATAGTGGTAACACTCCCGCTATTTATAGAAGGTCATTTGGACTGAACCGATTATAAATTTAAAATCCAAGTTAAAACATAAAAGATAAAAACCGATTATAAAATTAAGAAAAATAAAGTGTCACTTTGTTCGACTAATACCATTGCTAACAAGCTATAATTTGGTTCTAAATAATTAAATCCCAATAATAATTCGACCAAAATCGGTCAGGAATTTGATCTCTTCCGGTTCGATTTTGCTCGGTTTCGATTCGATTTGGACTGAACCGATCGAATTCCCACCCCTACTTCCGTTCTTATTTTCTTCGGTGGTCTTTCTCCAATTCCTAATTTCCCATGATTCAACACTTCCCGTGTCTAGAATCTCTAGATCTGGTTCGCACTTCGCACTCCGGTTTCCAAGTCTACCAGGCATTTCGTCGAACAATATGATGACGAGAATTCCATCGACTATGAACGGATCGGCCCAAAAACCTCACGACGATGACGAAACCACCGCATCCTCCCCAACCCTTTCCTCCTCCATAAGCTTCGGCTCGCCGGAAGCTCTGGACCACGTCCGCAACCTGACCGACGTCGCCGCAATGACCCGGCTCCTCCACGAGTGCATCGCCTACCAGCGAGCGCTGGACGACGAGCTCGACAATCTCCTCGCCCAGCGGAGCGATCTCGACAAGCAGCTCGTCCACCTCCAGAAATCGGCCGAGGTTCTCGAGATTGTCAAGGCCGATTCTGACTACATGCTCAGCAATGTTGGCTCCACCTGCGACCTCGCTGACCACGTCAGCGCCAAGGTTCGGGAGCTGGACCTGGCTCAGTCGCGAGTGAACACTACCGTGCTGCGGATCGACGCCATTGTCGAGAGAGGGAATTGCATCGACGGAGTGAAGAACGCTCTGGAGTCGGAGGATTACGAGTCGGCCGCCAAGTATGTGCAGACGTTCCTTCAGATTGATGCCAAGTACAAAGACTCCGGATCCGAGCAGAGAGATCAGTTACTGGCTTCCAAGAAGCAGCTTGAAGGGATTGTGAGGAAGCGGCTCGCTGCTGCAGTGGATCAGCGGGATCATCCCACGATTCTGAGGTTCATTCGGCTGTATTCGCCTCTGGGATTGGAGGAGGAAGGGTTGCAGGTTTACGTAGGGTATTTGAAGAAGGTAATTTCTATGAGATCGCGGCTTGAATTTGAGCATTTGGTGGAGTTGATGGAGCAGGGGCATGCTCAAAACCAGGTTGATTTTGTTGGTTGTTTGACTAATTTGTTTAAAGACATTGTGTTAGCCATAGAAGAAAACGATGAAATATTGAGGAGTCTTTGTGGAGAAGATGGGATTGTTTACGCGATATGTGAACTGCAAGAAGAGTGTGATTCTAGGGGTTCTCTCATTTTGAAGAAGTATATGGAATACAGGAAATTGGCTAAGTTAGCATCAGAGATCAATGCCCAAAACAAGAACTTGCTTGCTGTTGGAGGGCCTGAAGGCCCTGATCCTAGAGAGGTTGAATTGTACTTGCAGGAGATTCTGTCGTTGATGCAAATAGGTGAAGATTACACGGAATTTATGGTTTCCAAGATTAAAGCATTGAGTTCAGTTGATCCGGAGTTGGTACCGAGAGCCACAAAGTCTTTCAGGAGTGGGAGCTTCAGCAAAGTAGTCCAAGACATTACTGGCTTTTATGTGATTTTGGAAGGGTTCTTTATGGTCGAAAATGTTAGGAAAGCCATTCGGATTGATGAGCAAGTACCTGATAGCCTTACCACTTCGATGGTGGATGATGTGTTCTATGTTCTGCAGAGTTGCTTGAGAAGAGCAATTTCCACTTCAAACATTAGCTCAGTGATTGCTGTCCTTAGTGGCGCAGGTAGTTTGTTGAGCAATGAATACCAAGAAGCTTTGCAGCAGAAGATGAGGGAGCCAAACCTTGGGGCAAAATTGTTTTTGGGCGGGGTTGGGGTGCAAAAGACTGGGACGGATATCGCAACCGCTTTGAATAATGTGGATGTCAGCAGTGAGTATGTCCTGAAGCTGAAGCATGAAATCGAGGAGCAATGTGCTGAGGTTAGTTGAATAATTCACATTCTTAGAGTTAATCGAATCTATTGTTCTATCTTCAAGGTGCGAGCATTTGTAAATCAAGGACCTTAGGAATTCAAAATTTTAGAACCCTGGTTCATACTTCATAAGTGTGGTACTTGGTCCTAAGTTATCAATTTTGATGCCAAATTAGCATATTCATGAATAATCTGTTTCTGCTCCAACTGCATGGATACGGTTTGAAACAAAATCAATCATGGTTAACTGGAGCTTGCAAACGCTTGTTACAGACATGCCCAAAGGCTTCGTTTTGGCTTTTTGAGTATGCAGTTTAATGCTTGTGAGTTGTGACAAACGAAGAGTAGAACTTTGCTAGGATGAACTTGCCAATTGGTTCTGGCAGCCACATATATACCCTTAGTTCGTCTTAGGTACGACACTTGCTATCAGTCCACCAAACTTGGGGAATATGTTCCTTTGAAGTAACGGTTTGGCCTTTCGGTTGTAGACAATTATGAAATTAGGAATAAGATGATAACTTTAGCCATAATATCAAAGAAAGAATCTTCTTTTAGATATCCAGATTGAATCAACCTTTCAGAAGGTTCCAGATGGGAACTTCCTTCCACAATAATGTCATTACTTTTCCTGTTAGTGCCCCACTTATAACATTAGATTCACTGCAACGTTACTGATACAACTAGTTGAAATGACATTGGGAACACTGGGTTGTAGAGATGTATTATAATTTTTTGCTTAAAGTTATTATGTACTTATTACTGTCAATAAAAGTTCTCTTCTGTTATGTATTATGAACTAGATGGGTACTGGATCATATTAATCATGGTTTCAACTCTTCTTTCCAGGCATTTCCGGCCCCAGCTGATAGAGAAAAGGTGAAATCGTGTTTGTCCGAAATGGGTGATGTCAGCATTACCTTTAAGCAGTCTCTCGGTGCTGGGATGGAGCAGCTGGTCTCGACCGTGACTCCCCGAATCCGCCCACTACTAGATGGAGTAGCAACCATCAGCTACGAGCTGTCAGAAGCAGAATATGCAGATAACGAAGTGAACGACCCGTGGGTTCAGAGGCTCCTCCACTCGGTCGAGACGAACGTGTCGTGGCTCCAACCTCTAATGACTGCAAACAACTACGATTTGTTTGTGCATTTGGTCATCGACTTCATCGTCAAGAGGCTGGAAGTGATCATGATGCAGAAGAGGTTCAGCCAGCTCGGGGGCCTTCAGCTCGACAGAGATGTGAGGGCTTTGGTAACTCATTTCTCCGCCATGACTCAGAGGACCATCAGAGACAAGTTCGCCCGCCTTACCCAGATGGCGACCATCCTCAACTTGGAGAAGGTGTCGGAGATCCTCGACTTCTGGGGAGAGAACTCGGGTCCCATGACCTGGAGGCTGACCCCTGCTGAGGTTAGAAGGGTGTTGGGTCTTAGGGTTGATTTCAAAGCAGAAGCAATTTCTGCTCTCAAGTTGTAGAATGGCATCATGTTGGTTGTTATGTGTACTCTTTCTTCCCCCCTTCCTGAAGCTTGCACGGGTGGATAGTCGGTGTTGAATGTAAAATCAATTGAGAAGTTTCTTTTTTTCATGAACTGCACTACATAAGTAATTGGAGGACTCATCCATTCAAAAAAAATTATGGTTATTTCACAATTTGAGTGAGTCTCTGTAATTTTTTCTTATATATAATTTTTCTTGTACTGTTTTGTACATGTCTTTTTGTACATATTTTTATTCTTGTATTAAAAAAAGGCAAACAAACCATGTGTACATAAACAAAGGCGTATCATTTGGCTTCAAGGTATCATCTAAAATCCACGTCTCACAGATGGACCTTTGTCAATGGCAGCGGTCTCCATGAATGGATGAGAGGCAGGGACCTTCATCCATGTGTAATATCACAATATCTAAATCATCGTGTTTTTTTCTCACGAATACTAAGGGTTCGAGTCCATACTTCATACTATGTGTTGGATAGATGAGTAGTATCATATTCATCTCTACAGATGAGTTATATACCATACTACGAGTTCGAGTCCATACTATACTATGTGTTGGATGGATGAGTCGTATCGTATCATCTCTGTCGATGAGTTCTATACCATACGATGAGATGTGACGATTGTCCCAATGGATGGATGAGAGTGCAGAAACGAGCAAGAGAGAGACACTGCTTTGTGGGAGAAGATGGTGAGTCGGCAAAACAGACTAGCAGAAGTTCGAATGCGTTTATATAGTCGAAACACACAAGAATAGCTGGAATTACAAATGAACAATTGGAAGACAACAAAAAGGCAAAGTATACAGCAATTATTCCGTTAAAATTTTAAAATGGAAGAAGGAAGGGGGGAAAGAAACTAAACAGCAAATAACATTACCCTGTTCTCGATTCAGAAGAACACAACCATATCATAAATTAAACAAAGAAAAACAGAGAAAGAGAGCACCACACTCAACTGCTCGTTAGCTATATTATAACCCTAACTCCTGAGGCAGTCTCTCATCTTAGACCTGAGCTGTTCCTTGGGTGAACTTGGGGTCCTCACATCTGTACCGCCCATCAGGCCCTATTCCAAAGCCCTTCGGATCAGCAAACACATTCTCCAGCAGCTGGCTGCGATCCGGAACAGGGCTCTCGTCTGCAAATTCGACAGCTTCCTCCACCAGCTCATCTATCTTCTTGTCGATTGCCTTCAGCTCGGATTCGTTCACGAGTTTGTTCTCGAACATGTATGTCTTCAACTGTGAGATGGGATCTCTAGCTGCATAGTGAGCTTTCTCAGCTGCCAAAACAAAAAGAGGATTCATGGCTTAGCATCTTTACAAACCTTGTGGGATGATGACAGGAATACCTTACCAGAAGACAAACAATAACAAACAAGAGGTTCTATTGTTTAGACAAAATCCTATTCTTGCGATCCACCAATCCAGTCAAATGCAATTCCCCAGATGTCATATTCGAATCTAGTCAGTAAAAAAAAAAATTACCTGGGTCACGAAGCTCATCTGGATCAGCCAAGGAGTGTCCTCTGAACCTGTAAGTCTCACACTCCACCAAGGTCGGGCCTTCTCCCCTCCTAGCCCTTCCAATCGCCTCTTTAGCCACTTCCCTAACCTTCAAAACATCCATTCCATCAACATGAACGCCCGGCATCCCGAACGCAGGTCCCTTCTTATAAATCTGGGGATCAGAAGTTGCCCTCAAGTGGGACATCCCAATCGCCCACAAGTTATTCTCCACAACAAACACAATGGGAAGCTTCCACAGTGCAGCCATGTTCAGACACTCAAAGAACTGGCCATTGTTGCAGGTTCCATCCCCAAAGAAGGCCAAAGTGACGTGATCGCTGTTGGGCTCCTTGAGAACCTCCCTCTTATACTTGGAGGTGAAAGCTGCACCAGTTGCTACGGGAATCCCTTCGCCAATAAAGGCAAACCCACCAAGCACGTTGTGTTCTTTGGAGAACATGTGCATCGATCCACCTTGGCCACGGCAGCAGCCGGTTGTCTTGCCAAAGAGCTCGCTCATCACAGCACGAGCAGGGACACCTTTGCTCAATGCATGGACATGGTCTCTGTAAGTGCTGACCACCGAGTCATCTTTGGTCAGTAGCTTGATGAACCCAGTGGAGACAGCTTCTTGCCCATTGTAGAGATGGACAAAGCCAAACATTTTGCCTCTGTAGTACATCTGGGCACACATGTCCTCAAATGATCTGCCCAACACCATATCTTCATACAGCTCCAACCCCTCTTCTTTAGTAATCAACTAAGAACACCAAAACAGATAATTCAGCAAGCAGCAAGAGAAGCAAACCCACTTCTATACACCTCCTCTAGTCACAAGCTAAAATCAGGGTAATTGGTCGGGCCTCACATGCAATGCAAGCACAAACCTCCATAAACTAAAAAAGCAAAGAAATGAAATTAAGCAACTCAGCTCCCCAATCGTTCAAAAGGGGGTCTTAAATTCTATCTAGGCTAATTCGACAATTTTCTGAACTGCAATGCTAACCCCAAAAGAGGCAAATACACAACCTCAGCAGAGAAGGGTAATTAACATTTTACCAGATTGGAGCTAGACTTGGGCTTCTTTTGCTTGACGTCGGAGATGGCGACGACGGCGGAGGAAGAGGAGGATCGGCGGTGGGAAAGGGGTCTGTTGGATTTGCATAGCAATTGGCGAGTAGATCCGAGGAAGGGAGAAGTGGCGGCGGAGGAAGAGGTGCGGAAGGGGTCGAAGAGAGCTGGGGGAGAGAGCTTGTCTTGAGATCTAGCGGAGGAAGTGGTGTTGAGAGGGAGAGGCTGCGCGAACTTGGCAGTAGCAGAGAAAGCAGACGCCATTGTCTCGCTTTCTCCCGAGAGAAAAGGGTTAGTTGGATGGAAGGAGAAGGAATGGTGGCGGAGAGGAGGAAGGAGGAGGTGATTTTAATGGCGAGGGCGGAGGGAACGAGGGGGAAGATGAAGAAGAAGAGGCTTCGGAATAATCGTCCTACTGGCTGTGTTCGTTTTGCCCTCGTGGTGGTGGGTTTTTATATTTTTTTGTAATTTCCGTTTTATTTTCTGGTTTTTCGATTCCACAGCCAAAAACGGGGGAGGGATGAATGAATCGAGGAGAATTCAGCTGAAGCATAATCGTCGTCGGCAAATCCAACCACTCTCAACTGCATAACACCAACACAATTAATACTCTCTTTTTTTTTTTCGTTCGTTCTTCTCTCCGTTGGGCAAACCAAACCGGACAGGAACAACGAACCACGCGATATGTTGGGGAATCGATACATCGATTATTGATCTAATAGAAAATCGATATATTAGTTATTGGTTAGCCGAAAGACAAGCAAAGCGTCACCCATAGCCGACCGAAACAAACCTTTGGTTAACCGCTCCATCGACCAGACAGTTTTCGATTTTGGTTAGGTTAGCCGCGAACAGAAAAATCGATGGTTGTGTCGGTTTAAATCGATAACCGACCTGACAACAGCCTCATCTGCACACAAAAAAAAATCATTAAAATCACCTTCATTTGATTTTGGTGAATGTTGGGTTGGGATAGTGACAACTTACAATGCATGTATTGTCCACAGTCCACAATGCTTCTTTTTTTTTTTTTAATTTTCTCTATAAACTATACATGCATTGTTTGATTGATGTGATGGAAACTATCACTCAAAATGAGTGATAGTAATATCTAAAGTTTTATGTGTGATTGTTAACATTGTTTTTTGGTGTGACGGTCGCGGTGAATGACCGACCTAACACTGAAAGTTCAAACGATCGTAACTTTGCGCTCGGTTATTCGATTTGTAGCGAATTTTTTTCATTCCACATAATTTTTCAAGATATTTCAGTCTTCAAAAAGCATTCATTCCAAAAAAATGTCGTTTGCTACCCCGAACGAGCAATTTTTAGATTTCGACAAACTTTGGAAGACCATAACTTTGTGCTCCGGAATCCGAATATCATGAAACTTTTTTGAATTCGCATAACTTTTGAAGAACTACAACTTTGATCATAACCATAATTTTGGAATGTATATGGATTTGTGAAAAGTAAAGTCAAAATCATTCCCAAAATCCCGTATACCCAAGATTTTTTTTTTTTAAATTCCTAGTAAAATTTGTAGTTCTTAAGAAGTTATGCGCAATCTAAAAAAAAATTGACGTTCGGATCGAGGAGAAAAAAGTTATGGCCTTCCAAAGTTTTGTGAAATAAAAAAATTGCTCATTCGGGGTAGCAAACGACAATTTTTTGGGATGAAGGCTTATTGCAGATTGAAAGATCTTGAAAAGTTATGTGGAATCAAAAAAAATTTGCTAGAATCGGATAACCGAGCGCAAAGTTGCGTTCGTTTGAAATTTCAGTGTTAGGTCAGGCATTCACCGCGGTCGTCAACCGCAATGATGCATTCACCGCGGCCGTCAACCGTAGTGATGCATTCACCGCTTTCGTCTGTCCCGCCAAATGCATTCACTGCGGTTGAAATTGTTGGAGTGTTTTCTTCTTCCAACTATTTAGAGAATTCTTTTAAAAAACATGTGTATTTTGGGATTTTTTCCGTTTATTTGAAATTGTTGGAGTGTTTTCTTCTTCCAACTATGTCCCTACCTTTTGATGTATTTTATTTTTTTATATACAAAACAAATGGTAAAAGTGACATTTCACCTTTAAATAATACAATAACTATCACAGAAACCAAACGATGTAAACTAAAATACATCAATTTACTTATATGCATGTACATTATTATGCATACATTGATAACAATGCATCTATTTAACTGTCATTAAAACCAAACGATTCCTAAAGTCTCAAACCTACTTGTCTACATCTAAGGGATCGTTTGGTTTTGATGATGGTAAAATTGATGCATTTCCAATCAATGCATGCATAATAATATAAATGTATATAAGTAAATTTTTGTATTGCAGTTTACTTCATTTGATTTCTACAAACAGCCAATGGTCCAATTCAATGCAACAACAAATAAGGGGGAACAAATTGAAACATCACAGAAAATCAATCTCTCGAAACATCACACAATCCATCGAATCAAGAGGGAAAATAAAATTAAAAACTTACATTAGGAAATAGGAGTCGAATGGGGTTCAAGTTATTGGTTGAGGCGTGGAGCCGGCGGCGGGAATAGGAAGGAAGACAGGCGATTGATATTGTTGCGGCGATCGGGGAAGAGGGAGGTGGCGAGTGGCGACGGAGGCGGAGCCAACTCTGTCTGCCGGTCTACCATATATTTGCTCTCGCGCCTCGTGCTGTCGGAGCCTTGCAGGTGGCGCTCGACGCCTCGACCTAACGAGGAAGGAAGGTCGGTGAACTAGGGACGACATGACTGGCTTGGTGGTAGAGGATATCAAGTCGGAAAGACAACAAAAGCAGGAGCAAAACAACAGCAACAAAACTAAGTATGGAGCCTTGGAGGCTGCCAATAGTGTGGTCGAGACTTCATCATGGAGGCAAGGTTAAGGGCTTCAACCCCATCCTGTCAAGACAAGGTAACAAGAGTCAACACCAATCCTACCTGGCTTCGAGGCTATCAAGTACCAACCAGTCAGCAAGGCAGGGCAAGAGGCCCCAAGGTGATAGGAGTCAACACCAAGGCGGCGACAAAGGGGCCCTATGGCAGTTGGAGCAACTGGCAGGATAGAAGCTACGAGGACGGTTATCAAGATAGTTACACCTAGTAGCTATAAATAGGAGAAACAAAGCGAAGGTTCCACAACCAAGAGGTCGTTTGCTTGTTGGATTTTAGAAAATGAAGGATTTAGGTAAAACCTTGGATTTTATGGATGAAGGATTATGCAGGATTTTGTTACTTTGGATTTTATGGACGAAATCAAAAAAAGGCTCCTTCGGGGTGGCAAATGACGTTTTTTCGAGACGAAGGCGGGACCCGGCGGATTGCGGCTTGCAAGATCTCATAAATTTATTCGGATTCAAAAAATGGAGGCCGCAAACTTTTTGAGATCTTGCAAGCCGCATACTGCCGGGTCTCGCATTTCGTCAAACTTTGGGGCCTCCATTTTTTGAATCGGAATAACTTTGCGGCCTCCATTTCGTCAAACTTTGGGGCCTCCATTTTTTTAATCCGAATAACTTTTTGAGATCTTGCAAGCCACAAATCGCCGGGTCCCGCCTTCGTCTCGAAAAAACGTCATTTGCCACCCCGAACGAGCCTTTTTTTGATTTCGTCAAATTTTAGGCGGCCATAACTTTGTGCTCCAAAATCCGAATTTCATGAATGGTTTTTTGATTCCACATAACTTTTCAAGATCTACAACTTTTAATATAATCATAATTTCAAAATATACATGGATTTGTGAAAAGTAAAGGTAAAGTTATTCCCAAGGTCCCGTATATCCACAAATAGTTCCTGTTTTGAAAATTTCATCCTAGTAAAAGTTGTAGATCTTGAAAAGTTATGCGAAATGAAAAAAAAATCGCTACGATCGGATACCCGAGTGAAAAGTTACGTTTGTTTGAAGTTTCGGCCGAAGTTAGGAGTTGATCGGAAAAAAAAAAAAAATTTGGACAAAACCGCTGGGTGGGGTGGCGGTTTTGGGTCAAACCGCCACCCCACCCAGCGGTTTGGTCAATTTTTTTTCTTTTTTTATAACCGCTCCCTAGGCCCGCGGTTTGCATAGAAAACCGCGCCTCCGACAAACGGTTTTCGTGTAAACCGCAGGGTGGGGTGGCGGTTTTTGAAAAAGGGTGGTATTTTTGGAAATTTTTGGGGTTGGGTGGTATTTTTGGAATTTTTTTTAAACAGTGGTATTTTTGGATTTTTTCCGCAATGTAGCCATAATCTTAGCCCTTAGGGGTCGTTTGGATGAGGAATTGTAACAGATCAATTTGATACAATTGACAATTGTATCAAATTGCCTCGTTTGCCAGCAAAAAATTTGAATGGATCAATCTGCCTGAGGTATTTTGAATTGATCCGTTTTGAGTCAATTTCAATTACCTAGGCTGGGGGCAGGTAATTCGAATTAACTCATTTTAATTGCCTCGTTTATAAAACGAGATAATTAATCAAATTGACTCATTTCTAGATTGATCCATCCAAGCGACCCCTTAGTTTCTGGAGCTCTCACTGAACCTCCATAAGAGTAGGAGTAATTTAACTTAGTTTCCCCCAAAAGCCATAAAACCATCAAACACTCTCGTTCGAACATTATTCAGAGAGGTGTGAACTATGTAATTATCGTTGTTCAGAAGATCAAGATGCAATCTATTAAATATCGAACACAAAATTTTCCTCGTCGTAAAACACACCCAAAATCAATCACAATCCGAATCACAAAAAAATAACTCTAACAATGTGATGTAATTGATGTTTGGAAATTGGAATAAATCTTTGGGCTTGGATGTTAAAAATGGAAGCGAGACTTGTACCGGGAAACAAATCAGAACAAAAGGGTTTCAGATTGGGCCTCTAGTAAAAGGGAAAGGATGGCGTAAGCCCTCTGGGCTCGCCAATGAGCAACAAGTTTGTGGATTCCAAAGCTGCTCTTCAATGTAGTTAAATCCTCTGTTTTACCGGAGAAGAAAGAAAAAAAGAAAATCCCCCTAAAAATGTATAATTTATTATAGCAAAAAATTAAAATAAAGCAGGACACGTAAGCCACATGACGGGTGGAATAGGTTGGACCCTTCGCTCGGGACGCGTAGACCGACTCACTCCCCACCACGTGTACGGCGGAAGTGACGTTGGAATAAATTAATGGACAGCGCGAATATCGACGGGCCAGCTCAACAACCACCACACCCCCGTCGTATATACGGTGTACGTATACGCTCTTCTCGCTACTAGACACGTGTCTGTTGACGTGGATGTTGGCCTGGCGCTCCCCCATCTCCTTCTCCTCCTCCTCTCTCCCTCCTGTTTTCCTTTCTTTTTTTCTTCTCTCTGCAGAATAACAGGAGGCCATTTGTGTTTTCTGTGTTCGTTTTCTCTTCTTCACACCCAGAGAGAGAGAGAGAGAGAGAAAGAGAGAGAGAGAGAGAGAGAGAGAGAGGGATTGTGCGAGTTAAGGAATGCAGAGGCTGTGAGTTTCAGCCATGCGCTTTCTGTGAGCTGATTGGATTTTTTTGTGTGCTCAATTGAAAATCGAAGTGTGAGCATTTGGTGCACCCACCAGCTGCTGTTTTGTTCTCCTGAAGGGCAGGGTTGCAGGACTGATCCGTGATTCGGGAGCCGGAGTGAAGGTATGTCTGATTTAGGGTTGGAAATAAAGGATTTTCGTAGTGAATTCTTGTCTCCCTATTTGGTTGGTGAGAAAATGCAGAACGGTGGAGAGAGTTCTTTTTCGTTCTTCTGTTTCATAAAATTCGGGAGAATTTTAAAAACGGATTTCTATTGTGGAGAAATAGGTTTTTCCCTTCTCTTCCCTCCCCTGAGCCCCCGCCGTGTGTTTGAGGTGGCGAACAGTAGCTAAAAGCTTCAAACCCTACCTGATCTCGCTAGTTTTTTGTCGTAAATCTGCAATTCCTTCTCGGTTTCTCACCTCTACCCTGTTCTGTGCCTCCTTCCGTCTATTTTATTCTCCTTCTCGAATCTGGCGGCGAGTGTGTGAGGGCCGCGAGAGATTCAGGAGATGCAATTCTGGCGTTTTTCAGATTTGGGATTTTGCAATTTGCAAAGGAGCGTTTGGGAATTAAATTAGCCAGCTAGGCGAATTTTTTGAGCCAGTGTTCGTTAGGGATTCAAGGGTATTCCTGTCTTTTAGTTGGGTGGACATAGGTTGCGAGATGGATTTCATGAAGCTTAATCGCATGTATCTATCACTTTACAGTCAGCCAGCGTGGTGGTGGAAAGACACTACTACCCTTTCTATCTAGGGAAATCTCAAACATTTCTGGTTTTCTACTCTGCTTCTTCTGCTGCGTTCTGCCCTATTCTGCATCTGTAATTTCTACTTGGTGGTAAATCTTTTTGGTTATGGGGGGAAGGTACGGATTACCCTTAAATTTTCTCTTGTTAAGGTTAGAGGCACGCTGTTTGTCAAACCCTTGTTTTGAATTTCCATCAATTGAATCAAAGGTGACTGCTTTCAACAATCGGCCCCTCTTTTCCGTGTGCTTGAGTTTGGTTGACTAAAGTAGGTCAAGTTTCTTGCATATTGTAGAGATGATTTACCAAATATTCACGCTTTAAAGCTGTGTTGCTATTGGTTGGTCTAGATTCAGATCTTTCGACCTGGTCAGCAGTGTTTTTTACCGTCTGTTGTTTTGTCTGCAATACTATTGCGCAGTTTCTTTATGCCATTTGCTTATTCATACTTCTGGTTCATGTTTGTTCATCAATCTTGTCATATTTGACCTCCAGGAAGGTGAATGAGTAGTTCTGAGACCTGAAGGTGATAAAAGGGTTTCTTTTTGGTGCTTGACCATGGGAAACAACGAGGAGGGGAAGTCATCCTCCAAGTCTGAAAAATCATCTTCACCTCCTCCTACTGCGCCAGCGGTAAGTCAGAAAATCTAGTGGTTTTGTCTTTAGCTTCTACTGCCTGTTTGAGATCTTTCATGGCGTTAGCTACTTCGGCTCTGAGTTCTGATTGTCACAATTTTTCTTCCTTTTCGTTGATAGGAGCAAACTAATATCCATGTGTATCCTGACTGGGCAGCTATGCAGGTATGTCTCTTACACATGACACTATTCTCTTCTGCGTCTTTGCTTAGCATTCACAGAAATTAGCAGCGGGTGACTGGTGTTTGCCGTCTGAAACTGATACTTCTGTCTAAATTGTTTTAGGCTTATTATGGCCCCCGAGTTGCTCTTCCTCCATATTACAACTCACCTATGGCATCAGGTCATCCTCATCATCCATATATGTGGGGTCCGCCACAGGTATTCTTCAGTGATCATATTTTACTGCTGAGATGTGCAAATAGCTTTGCACCTGTGTTTACAGTAGGAACTGTGATTTCTATGGTGGCATAAGCTATGATTAATTTGAATTCTGCAGCATATGATGCCGCATTATGGAGCCCCTTATGCAGCTATCTACTCGGGAGGAGTATATGCCCATCCAGCTGTTCCAATTGTAAGTGCCTCCGATAATTTTTTCCCTTGGTTTGCACTTTCAGCATGTGGGTTGCCTGTTCCTGAAGGTTTACTTTCCTGAAGGTGGAAGTAAATTACTGATATGGTGCTGATAACATACTAGCATTGAGTAGTACTGTAGGAGCCACACTGAATGTAAAGTTAGTTAATATATGTAAAGTTCTACTGCGTATACAGGTTTAGGTGGTTCATATGATGATAAGTGAGATAGGTCTTGTAGTGCAGGCCTTCCTTGTTTCTGATTGTAATATAATTTTCTTGACTAACAATTCCTGAACTTCTAACAAGAAGGTATTTGGCTGCTAAGTCCCTCACAATGTGTTTTTGTTCAGACTTCTGAACTTGTCTTCAAGCTTGTTAATATAAGTTGCTTGGTTTAGGTTCTGAACAATGTCAGAATTAAGTAGGGGCATTATACACTTGTTTGCCCTCCCTCTATCATATTATGAAGAGCTTCTGACATTTCGTTGCTTTTCTGAAATGTTTCCAGGGATCACATCCACATGCTCCCGGTGTTCAGTCATCACCTACTGTAAGTGAAAATGCCTTATCTTAAGAATGGCTGGTTGGTGGTGTGTTACTCAGCTTGATCTTTGGTGTCCGAGTGTGGATGTAATTGTGGAAAATGACACAGGTTGCAGCACCTCCGAGTGTTGAAACTCCAACAAAGTCTTCAGGCAACACTGATCAAAGTTTGATGAAGAAGCTGAAAGGATTTGATGGGCTCGCCATGTCCATTGGAAATGGTAATGGTACTGCTGAGAGTGCTGATGGTGGTGACCACAGGATGTCCCAGAGGTTAGGAGCTGATGATTTAGCTCTCTGTCCTTGCCCTTCTCGTCAAAACTTAATGTTTTCTGCCACCTTTGGCACCTACGTGTGACACTCATCTCTATGTTGTTTGTTAACAGTGCGGAGACTGAAGGCTCAAGTGACGGGAGCGATGGGAATACTGCTGGGGTGAGGCTTTGTAAATTTCAATAAATACCAAGTATTATTTATGAGGGGTATTTTGTGTATAAGCTGGGCGAGTGCTAAATCTTGCATGTGATTCTGTATGTGTATGACAGGGAAGAAAGAGAAGTCACGAGGGGACTCCTACAATTGGTATGCCTCAGAATCTCTACCAGTTTACTTTGTCTGTGTTCTTATAGTTGGTGCTTTAGTTGTTACCGCCTTTAGCTTCTGCTAAAGTCATGTAGATGCCCCTGGCAACTACATTTGTTGGAAGATTGGTTGACAATGTCTTTGGAATGAGATAAGCCAACTCAACAATTTTATGGTGCACATTCCTCCTGTTTTTGACCCTTTGCATCTTTCTTTATCAGGGGGAGACTTGAAAACTGAATCCCATGCGACAGATGGTAGCAATTCTTCTGATAAGGGAGGGGTTGTAACTGCTGCATCATCAGGAAGGTCAGCTGGGCCTCCTGTTGGCATGACATCATTGGACCTGAGAAATTCTGCTGGCGTTCCACAACCTTGTACAGTAGTGCCATCTGAGGCTTGGTTACAGGTATAGTTGTACCCAAAAAAAACTTGAGCTATTGCTCATCACAAACATCTCTCGAAGTAAAGTCATCATGTGTGTGTATGATCCCTACAACCTCTGCTGGTTTTGCTTGGTTCAGTACCCAGCCGCGAATCCGAATGAAAGAGAACTGAAACGTGAGAGAAGGAAACAGTCCAATCGAGAATCTGCTAGGAGATCAAGACTACGAAAGCAGGTGAGGAATATAGATTCCCCGGCTTTGAGTGGTGGCTGTTGTACATGCTTGAGTGGCTATTGGCTATCTCGGCTATTATCTGAACCTAAGCTTTTTGCATCTCTCTTGCAGGCTGAGACCGAGGAACTTGCACGTAAAGTCGATGCCTTGAACAACGAGAATATGGCGCTGAAGTCCGAGATAACTCAACTGAAGGAGAAGTCGGATCAGCTAAAAGTAGAGAATGCAACTCTAGTGGTACGCCCTGTGCCATCCTTGTATCCAGATGTCCAGTGACATTGTTTAGACCAAAATTTCTCTCTGGTGAGAAGGTATTTACCGCAGTTGGTGTTCGATATGCAGGAGAAGCTAAAGAATACGCAATCAGGACAGGCACAGGAGATAGCTTTGAACAATGTGGAGGAGCCGAGGGGCACGGCTGATAGTACAGAGAACTTGCTATCGAGGGTAAATAATTCTTCAGCAGCTTGTGTAGCGGAAGAGGGAAATGCTGCAGAGGACGGGAACCCGAAATCGGGTGCTAAGCTGCGCCAGCTGCTGGACGCGAGTCCCAGGGCCGCCGATGCTGTGCCTGCTGGTTGATGAAACACAGCCAGCCCCATCCCAGACAGGTTCATATCCTCTTTTTATCTGTAGAATTCGATCTCACCTATTTTTCGTTTTCATTTTTCGAACGACTCTTTCTGAGGGGCAGAAGCAACCAAGATAATTCTGGCATAATTACAAGCCCAGAATTATTGCTGAGGGGTTGGCAGTAGAGATGGAGTTAGATGAACAGTATGTTTCCGAGACTGAAGAAGTTTGGGGGATTTCACTTGTAAGCTAACGCTACCGCTGCAGCGCTGTTAGAGAAACTAATGTAATTTTTATTGAGAGTGGTGAGAGATAAGGGAGGGGAGAGAGATGATTACTATTACTATTATTATTATTATTATTATTAGTGACCATTGAGGAGTGGTTGTACATTTGAAGCGAACCAACTGGCATGGCCACCTTTGACGACCATTTGTGCAATCTGTGAACTTTTGCCACCGGTTAATGCTTTCACTGGATGGGCAGATGGTAGAGTACTGGTATTTCCCCGTATTTGTATAAACTCTTATTAGATTTGGTGGGAATCAGTTTATTAGATTGAGGTTGATCTTTATTTGGAATAAGTCACTCTGTATCTTGTAGTTTTCCCCGTCTTCTATTGTGGTTTGTTAATCGGTTATCCTTTGTTCGGTTGTGATTGCGGTTAAATCGCGAATTAGAGAATATTGTTAACTGTGATTCCATAAAAGCCTTCTTAATCGCAAACCAGATGGTTTCGGTTTGGTTAGCAAAATGGATACCCGAACTGTAAACGTCCTTCATAGCTAGTGCGAGAGACATTGGACACCTCTATCATAAATTAAAAGAAAATATGTCTCCAACATTTAGCCTAGCCTAGCCACGCAAAAAGGATTTGAGATAGCCAAAGGACCAATCAAATCGCTTGAAGCATCCACGTGTCGCGCAGGAGAATCAGTAAATAAGAAACAGTCGAATCCAATCCAAGTCAAACACAGCCTAACAAACAAAACTGAGAAAAGGAGAAAAGAAGTCCACAGACCCCGGCAAAGAGAAGAGCTGAGAGAGTAAGAAATTCCTCCCCTCTCTCTCTCTCTCTCTCTTTCAACCACACAATCTCCAATGGCGGCGACGATGTACCCGGCGGCAGCTACGGCCGCTTCTTCCACCACTTCCTTCCTACTCCCTGCCATCCCCGCCGTTAGAACCGTCCGCTGCTCTCGCTTACCTCTCCTTCCGCCTCGCTCATCCTCCCGCTTCTCGCCTGCTTCGCTCAAAGCGCTCTCAGGTACGCTTTTGTTTCACTGTTACGTCGCCCAATCGCCACTGTTTTCACTTTCCTACTCGCCCCTAGTTTCAGACAGGCGTTGGAAATTCTGTTTCCTGGACAATCCCGGGAAAATGTTTATCTGGTTTCCACCTTGTGTTGTTGGTTGTCTTCCATTCTTTAGGATTGAGAGCAATTTGCATTTGCTCTTTCGGCGCTACCGAATGTTAGGGCGGGTGAATCAAGCTCTTGTTTCAGCCATTGATTTTGCCTTTTTATTTGCCTGGATAAGGCAGCTGTTGTTGGGTTTGTTAGAATGTCGATTAGAAAACCTGGATGTTGGTAGTTGATATAGAAGGAGGCATATGCTAAATTGAAGTAGTATTATGCCATTTCACCTATGAATATGTGTACATGCTTATTGTTTCTTCTTCATCCGAAGCAGAATCCTCGAGGGTTTCCCTGCTCCAGACCAGAGCCACATCTTCAGATGAGAGCTCGGTCGATACTAGTGAGATCTTCACTGATCTCAAGGAGAAGGTGAGTTTCAAGCTGGTGAATGGTTCGTATTTGCTTTTACCCCCGTGTTTTTTAATGCTTTGTTGTTTTTGAGCTCCGAGACTTGTAGCGTATGTGCTTGCTGCATTAGAGCAATTGGTGAAAACTAAACTGGAAATGTTTGTGCCCCGAGTAGTGGGATGCAGTGGAGAACAAGTCCACCGTGCTTGTCTATGGAGGTGGGGCAATAGTTGCCGTTTGGCTGTCATCCATTCTCGTAGGTGCCATCAATTCGGTGCCTTTGGTAAGTCGGAGTTTTCGATGGGTTTGCTATAATAATGTGGATGACAATGGTGTTTTACATAAGTAATTGGCTCTTTTCCGTTTTTGTTCTGCAAACTTGCAGCTCCCTAAGATCATGGAGTTGGTCGGGCTTGGCTACACCGGCTGGTTTGTCTACAGATACCTCCTGTTCAAGGTAAAGATAAGACTGATACCCTCCCTCCCTGAGTTGGTTGCCTACTTCGACTTGGCCTTTCCCACAAGATACAACGACTTGTTTCTGAATGCATCTGTGTATGTAATGTATGGTTATTAACACGTTATTGTTTGTACCTGTCAGCAAAGCAGGAAAGAACTGGCTACAGATATTGAGACATTGAAGAAGAAGATTGCTGGGACGGAATGAGATCCCGAGTTAACGACACAGAAGTATCTTTCAATTCTCGATTATGTTTGCTTCGTGAGGAATCACATCCGTCGTATCATGTATGTAGTAGTAACATGTGTAGAGTAGAGGTTGCCCTATGACTGGAATTCATGTGACCTAAGTGCTACCCCCATTGTTCTGTTATGCTTTTCGCGATTTGTAATAAAAAAGAGTGCAGATTTCTTCAAGGCTTGAAAGTAGAAGAATAAATCGTCGAAGCAAAACAGTAACAATGTATCATAACAGATAAACTAGTACTTCACAGATTGATCCACCATTCTAGCACATGAAACAATTAACTATCCAAGAGGAACAAAAACAGATAAACTAGTACTTCACAGATTCATCAAATCCTGTCAATGTCCTCGTCCTCGAACTCGATCAAATCTTCCAGGCCATCGTCAGCGTCGTCGTCGATCCCCTCGCTGAGCTTGATGGTGTCGGGGAGCTCGCCGTAGGCCTTGAGTAGCCTCGCCTCCTCGGCGTAGTACTTGAGTATGATGTCGGCCTTGTCGTCCTGATAGTCCCTGAGGCCGACGAGGACGAGGTCCCCGGCCGAGATCCAGACCTTCTTGTGCATCTTCCCTCGAATGTGGCACATCCGCTTCACGCCGTCGATGCAGGTGGCCTCGCACCGGCCGTTGCCGAGCATACGGACGACCTGCGCGTACTCCTGCCCGTCTTCCTTGAACAAGAGCTCACGCTTCTCTTCTCCGTCGACTCCTTCGTTCTTCCCTCGCTTCTTGTTCTTCCCGCCCTTCCCCTTGTTCTTCGGCATCCTTTCTTCTTCTTCTTTTCTTCTTTCTCAGAGGGATTTTTCTCTGTGTCTGTGAAGTTTTGATTTGGTGGGATGGATAGGACAGTAGGTTGGGGGTTTTATAGAGGAAACGAAATTTCCGGTCCGCCGCCTCAATCCCTTTTCTACAAGGAATTGAATACCTTGCGGGTTACGGCTTACGGATGGTGTCTCTCTCCTCCCAAGGGTTTTTTTTTTGGGTTTCTTCCTTCTTTGCAACGGATTCGGGCCTCTAGTTTCTTAACGAGGGTCCGTTTGTAGCGGCCCAGTCCAAATGCAAGGCTAGCTGGGCCTTGCCTTGGAAACTGATCCCCATCTCAACTAATAGTGACGGTTGTTCGACTCGACTCGATTCGAACCGATTGATTTGTGCTGGAAAAATTTTATGGGGCCATCCGATGGATTCGAGTCAGGCATTTAACCGTATACTATGAACTGGCCGCCGATCGGATAATGATTCAAACATTCAATTACTAGAACAAGACGAATTGGCCAGTTGGTTCAAAGTACACGGAAAATAGCTCTAGAAATCAATATGTTTACGAAGAAGCGGTTTAAAGATCATATGATAAATTACCCAAAAAGGGCACAAAAATATAAAAGTACATATAAGAACTATAAAACACACATTGGACAATCAAATTCATACTACAAACAAAACAGTCCAAGCAAGAAAATGTAAGAGAGAGAGAGAGAGAGTAGTATGGAAAGGGAGAGGGGAGCTCCCTTCACTCCAAGCCCAAAAGATTGAAGTGAAACAACATCTCCTAGCACATGAAAACCCTTAGTCATGCGCTCTATGATCATGTAATGGATAGCATATATAATATAAGGAGCGCAACCCACGGGAATTCATGAACTAGCAGGTGTGGTCACTCCTTTGACATCTCTTTCAGATATGGAGGAAGAGAACTCCCCTCCTCACCAATTCGAAAACCCAACAATCAGAAAGGTAAGAGAAAGAAGAAGGAAATTTTAAAGAATAAATTAGATAAAACAACTCGAGCTATTAGGTAGGTTGATGTAAGAATATGCAAGAATTGTCATTTTATGAACAAAGCACGGTGGGGATTATATAGGGATGGCTCTATGATTTATTGGAAAATCACTCATTAGTAAGGAGCAAGAAGGGCGATTTTGCAAATCTTGACAATTTATTATCTTTCCCTCGTTCCTCTCTCTCCTTATCATTTGTCCATAGGATTGGTTTTGCTTTATTGTGTTCATATTCATATATGATGTCCGTAATCAGACAATTAATCCTGGGATTGTTATCAAGATATAGTTAACATATAATCATGCACCCACCTATGCTTCGAATTTATTAATTTTCTATATTTTCGTATGGTATCAGTTATATATATATTAATTATGTATAATCTATTTAGTTAAAAAGTCTTTTGTCGAATTTATATCGATCTTTAATGTGTACATGAATCAAAATAATGACTTTATCGACTTTATATCGATCTTTGATATTTTTAGCAATAATATGTCAAATTGAAGCTCATGCTTGTGGGTTGTCACTTACTCACTTTATCTTGATTACTTCGGTCGTCATGTAAGCATGGCGGGAAATCACACATGTATTTTATTAATTCTCAATGGATGGCATGACAAGAAATTATGCATGCATTGAAGCAAGCATAATCGATGTTCGTTCTAGATATGGTGAGACCTTGGGCCTATACAATCACTAGGTCACCGAGTAATAGACAACTCGAGTTCTTCTACCAAGTATGCTAATAATGATATCATAATTAACTTCATAACGATCTTGTGGCATGTCGAGAACTTGCGCACATGATAGTTCAATTATTTCGATTGCATGACGAGGCCTCGCGAGAAGGATGTTTCTCTATGAAAAGTTGAAGTGGGATAAATCCAAGCCAATCGACCTTAACTAGATATACTACAAGTAAAAGGAAGTAGCATCACTAGGAAAAACTACCATATACAATAACCTTTTATCTTTCATTTAATCTAAATTCAATTCCTGCTATTTACTTTCTTCATTCTAGCAAGTAAACAAATAGCATGAGGGGCACCTCAGCCCCACTTGGAAAAACTCGAATCACTAGATCTACAGTATAGACATTGTCGCAAGCCAATGGAATACGATCCTAGATATTCGTTTAGGTTAAATAAATTACGTTTTGCGACATACTATAGCCATAAAGTTTTGACTCCATAGTCGGGGGCTCCAGGTTTCGATTAAAAAGATCTACCACTCGTGATTCATTCTATCTTCCATCCTTAGCCTTACTATATTCTAAACCTTACCTGCCTTCACTAAGTGCATGGTTGGCCTAAACGATTCTACTTTATGAGCCCATTTCTTTCAAAAGAAGGGCTCAAAGTTCAGAAGATCACAAAACAACTAGCTACGCACTACAAAGGAGATCCTAGTGATTTTAGCTCACCCTTGTTCAAACTAAAACCTTATCTCAAATCCTTCCATCCAATGTCCAACTAGAAGGGTTAAATAGAAACAGTCTCGATACTTTTCCTACTTTGGGAATCTACAATCTAATCATGGGTGATGAAAATTTTGATAATGGTTCGGAAAATAGGGAGAACCTACACACATTATCCGGATACATGCCACCTAAGGCCTCGTATGTGTTCAACATCGTTTCACCTCCTGCCACAATCGAGCTATGTACTTTTGTGATCCAAATGATACAACAAGTCGGGCATTTTCCCGAAAGAGATAATGATAATCCCGTTAAGCATGTTAAGACCTTCTTTGAGATTTGTGACTCCAGGTTCATGTTGACAGTAACCAGCAAACCGTAGAGACCATGATCAATTTCATGTTGTTGACTGCCCTTCTGCGAACAACTGCATTCTTGGACGCCCTTTTCTCCATCAAGTTCGGGCTATACACTCAACTCTGCACTTAAAATTAAAGTTCCCAACTATTGTCGGAGTTGAGTGTGTGAAGTGAGATCAAGCTCTTGCATGACAATGTTGTGAGTTCTCCCTTAAAGATGGCTTTGTAACCACGATGGAAGCCAGAGATGAGGTCCCTAGACCCGTTCTTGTCGACTCCGATGAAGAACATACATTATAAGAAGAGCGAATCGTTCGTGTATCCACGGCCTGGCCTAAAGATTATCTCCCACAAATTCTCTGTTTAATGATCGAATAGAATGAGCTCTTTGCTCAAGGACCCGAGGATATATGCATGGTCTCAATTCAAGATTTGTCGAGCATGCACTAGGGATCGTCCCAGGTAGCAAGCTTTTCCAGCAAAAAGAAGGAACTTTGTCTGGGAACGTCGCCAAACCATAGTAGAGGAAATAATCAAGCAGGGACAAGCCGACTTCATCAACGAGGTTCTCTACCCGACATGGTTAGCTAACGTGGTCATGGTGGAAGAAGGCCAACGACCAATGATCCATTTTTTCCCCCCACCGAATCAGAATCAAAACGAATCAACCGATGGATTGACCCCTCAACCTTAGCGACAATTAATCACATATAGCAGTTTTGATAAATACCATCTATCAGTTTTGGTCCTTGGTCGAGTGAGTTGGCCAAGTTGGGTGTGGTCATATTGGACAGCACCTAATAGCCTCCTCCTCTCTTCTCTTCTCTTCTGGCACTCTGCCACCTTCTTCTGCTGCTCCATTCCTCGTGGGTTACCCCACTCCACAACGCAGCTTTTCTCTTTCTTTTTCTTCTCTCTCTCTATTTTATCCTCCGCCCTCCTCCTCTCTTCCTCATCATTCTTTCCTGTCAATGTTTCTTTATTTTTCCTCCTAATATATATATATATATATAATAATAACAAGAAGCCAACTAATACATTTCACATTCCATTTTTAAACAATTATATTCCCAATTAAAATTACGCCAACTTTTCCATAGCATTTGCTGTAGTTTCCCATTTCTTTAATATTAATAATGGTCTTCTCCTCGTCTTCCTCCTCCCTCCTCCTGCTGCTTTTCATTGCTGTCTTCTTCTTTTCTTTTTTATTTGTTTGGAGCACTTCTCTCCTCTTCTTCTCTCTCTCTCTCTCTCTCTGGCAGTCTTTGCTGTCTCGTATATTTCCAGTCCTCTGTTCCTTTTATCTTCCCCTACAGGCTTTCAACCATTAATGATTTTTCTTTTTTAATTCGTTGAGGAATCTGAGGAGTTGTCGTCGTGGGTTGTAAAAAACCAACAACAACAAAAAAGAAAGTGGCAGTTATCTAATCAAAAAACCCTTTTTCTACAAAACCAGCCAGCCAGCCAGCATTCCATTCCCTTCCTGCAACAGCATCAACCACCAAGAAGAAAGACACAGAGAGCGCTTCTGGGTTGGTTTGACTGTTTGATGCGAATACCCCTCGCCATAGTCAAAACCCTCAAACGGCTCCTTCAGTTTCTTGTTCCTTTTTGGGTTTCTTTGGATTCCTCTCTGTTCTCTATATTTGGTGTCTGAGAAAAAGGGTTGTCACATTTTCATTCCCTGTGGGGGCTGGTTGCTTTTCTTTCCCTCCTCCTCCCTCTTTTTTTAATTGAAGATAGATTGGAGGGGGAAGAAGAAGAAGAATTTGGTTGATAGATAGCAGTGGTGATCATGTCGCAGCAAAGGCAATTCCATCACCAGATGAGTGGGCATTACTACAGCAATGCGAATGACACCACTCTGACGAAGCTGTTCGTTGGAGGTTTGGCTTGGGAGACGCAGAGGGAGACCATGAGGCGTTACTTTGAGCAGTTTGGGGAGATCATTGAAGCCGTCGTGATCACGGACAAAAACACTGGCAGATCCAAGGGCTATGGCTTTGTAAATGTCCCCCCCGTTTTGCCTTCCTTCTTTTTGAACTCTTTGTCCCTTCTGTTTTTTACTGATCAATCTGTTCTTTGTTTACAGGTAACGTTCAAGGATCCAGAGTCGGCGATGAGAGCTTGTCAAAACCCTTCCCCTGTAATCGATGGAAGGAGGGCAAACTGCAATCTTGCCTCACTTGGCGCCACAAAAACCCGCCCTTCAATCCCTTCTCAACATGGTCCGTTCCCCTTTCTCACTACTCTTTGCCCTTCTTTTTCAATGTGGTTTTTGTGATTTACGGTGGTAAAAAAAAAATTGGTTGTTTCAGGAGGAGGAGGAGGTGGGCGGTTTAGAGGAGCAGAAGCTGGATTGGTGGCTGCTGCACCACCAACTGCTGCTGCTGCTGCATTTCAGCCTTCTTCAGCTGCTGCTTCATACATCCCTCAACCCTCCGGTCAATACACATTTCCTTATTCAGCTTACGGGTAAATTCCCCAAATATTCTCTTTTAACTCTCAGTCAAAAACATTTATAATAAGTGGAAATGGGGAAAATGGTGAAACAGACAAAATTCTCTGTCTCCTAGCATTTTTACCGGCGACTCCAATGTTTGTTTCTGTTTCGGATAATGAGTGAAATGAAATGAAATGAAACGAAACGCCCATTCTTATCATTTAGGTACGCTGCCGCAACCACCGGATACCCACAAGAAACGGCGGCGGCTCTGTATCATCATCCCATGGTCAGCATTTTGTTTCCTACTGTTTTCTCCATTGCTGCTTGTTTCGTATTTGCTTGATCTTGATGTCAAAGTTGGTGTCTTTTTTCTGTATTTGTGAGCAGAGCTATTATGGGGTTTATGGAGGGCATCATCAGCAACATGTGTCGCCTTATTACGCGGCGGCGGCAGCTGGGGGTTCTGCGGGTGGAGCAGCTGGCGGGATGGCATTCCACAACTTCTACCCATTCTACCCTGCTCAGTATGCACAACATAGCAGCGGCGGCGGCAGCAGTGGTCAAGTTCATGGATTTGGAGGAGGAGCTGGTGTCCAGTACACTCCACCAGCTCAAGTTGTACAGTATACACCGTATTTTCCTCATCAGCAGCAGCACTATCCCTCTTCAGGGATTTTGTCATTGCCTGTAGCTACTACTACTGCTGCTTCCCCTATTGCCACCACAGCTGCAGGTTTGATTGCAACGAATCAGTCTCATATCATCATAACTTTTTACTTGTACATGTGGTCATGTAGTTGTGGGATTGCCACAATGTTTGTTATTTCATAACAGGAAAGTTTGTCAATGTTGCTGCAGTTGCAACAACAGTTCCTTCAGCGACAACTGTGGCACAAGCAGCATCAACAACAGCATCAGCAACTTCCACCGTGACCACAGTGGCAGCTGCTGCCAGGCCAACGACGACGACAGCAGCAGCAGCAGCTTCTGCTGATCAAAATTCATCACCAACCAAATGAGTTACTTTACAAGAATGCTAAACAACATCAGGTACAATGGTGAAGCAAATCTGAGGGAGGGACGAGACTTGACGAATAAGGAAATGGATCCTTTATTTTTTTTTCCATGCCAATGATTCAGCAAAAACACAGGAGAAGCTGATAAGGAGTCTAGGTGTATAACAACAGAAGTAGGGGGGTGAGGAAGGGAATCCAAGGAAGGCACCTGTATGAATCAGCAGCTGCAGCAGCAGGACCAAAAGCACATATATCTTGTTCTTCTTCATCATTCCACGGAGGATATGGAGAAATGCAAGGAGCACAAAGCTCACCAGCGTCTCCACTGGCCCCCCATGCCTCCTTCCAATTGAACTCTGCTGCAATTGGAAGGACCTCCACCAACACCAAAGATTCGTATTTCATCATCATTATCACCGGTCATTAATCATTTGTAGGAGGGGGTTTACTCTAGGGTAGCTGTTTAGGATTAGCATAAGGTGAAAATCACATTCAATTTCTTCTTTCTTTTTTCTAGCATAAAGGTGGAAACCAAGATTGGGCATTGGATTCCACCTGATGGGACAAACTAATATTTATCAGCAGCAAGATTGGAGGGGAAAAGCTGCTTGATTGATTTGGTTACTTGTATGCCTTTGGGATGCAGAAAGCGGCCAATGGCATATAAGTGTTCATATTTTCATTTGTCTTTCTGTTAAAAAAAAACATAACTTCTCCTGGGTTTCAAGATTTGTTTTGTATCTTTGTAACCCATTTGCATCAGAGGTCAACTAAGTAAGAAGGGACTGGGCTTACGGTAAGCTCATCATCCATTTTAACTTTGTTTTTTTTTTTTTCATAATTCGAATTGGATACCCTTTCTTTGCAATGCATTGTATTATTACTGATCAGATTAGTTGGAAGAGATTCAACCAGAAGGTGAAAAAAGCAGTAAAGGGTACCCTTTTTTCTTGTTTAAGCAGACAATCAATCATCCCCTTCCTTCCGGATCATTAGCCTTTTTCATCTTTCGCTTTCAGTAGTAGGGCTGGCCATGAATCATTCAAAAACCCTTTTTCTACTTTTACCCATTCCATACTATAATAGATCCTACTGAGATGGAATCCGAGGGGATCCCACAGATTGGAGTCAAAGAGACTAACTTTACAAAAAAAAAAAAAAAAGGGTTTCTATTGTTTACCCCTTCTGTTGCTTTTTTTTAACCTCTCAGAGCATGCGGATAGCTTGCTGCTGGTACACATCACATGCTTCTGTCAAAAAGCGTGTGAAGAGAGTTTCAATGGCGAACGAGGAGGATGATGATGATGATGGCCATATGGGATGGAGGAAGAAAGGAAGGAAGTGAGGGAAGTGAAATCCAACAGTGTAGCATGATTGGTCTCCTCCCATGGCTGGCAATGGCATCTTCTCTCGAAATATTCATGTTTCGAAAAAGCGGCAGATGGCTTTCTCCTTTTATCCATTTCACATCCCATTTCTCACACTTGTCTACTGCTACTACTAGCTACTGCTACTACCATTTGTCACCTCGAACCTCATCCGGATCCAATCATGGTCCTCAAAACAAACAAGAATCCAGGGATTGGGGTTTGCAACTTCGTTTTCAGTAGAGAGACAATACAAAATACAATACGACAACAAGAGGGAAAAGGGTGGAGATGTTTTTTACCCAATCTGTTCATTGGTTGTTTGAACAGTCTAACCTTCTATCTTACTCCCAATAACAAAAAAGAAAGTCTAAGCTTCCATCTCTAGATCTCATGATGGGAGAAGATAGGCTTAGGGGGGGTTAGTGTTGGCATATGGTTTCAGGTCAATGATTGACATTGTACTTCCATTACTTGTTCTTGAAGGATACATGGGTTAGTGTTAGAATTCCTTAGGGTACCTCGTATATAATGTCCAGTCTTGTAGTTGTAGAGGCAGAAAATGTTATCATTGTGCTTTTTTTTTTTTTTTGACAATATTAACGACTTTTATTCCACCATCGAAAGAAACTCGTGAAACGAGCGAGGACAATTACAGGAGATCAGAAATTAAATCAAGAATATTGATCCAGTCATCTGGCAATGTAGATCGAGCCTTCGATCGTGCAACCCAATCAGCTCTGACATTTAATGCCCTTGGAACCTCTTTGACATTAATGTTCGGATTCGCCCTAAGAATAGTGACCATAGAGTTAATCCAGGCAGCGCATCTCCAGGGCCAACGAGACTGATTATGATTCAGAGCATTCACCAACATCTGACAATCCGATTGAACTGTACATTCTGATCCATATTCTTGTGCTAATTTTAGACCTTCCAGAAGAGCTTTCGCTTCCGCTTCTATCGGGGTGGAACAAAGAAGTGTCTCAGCTCGTCCATCACACACTTGTCCATGGTGGTTAACAACAACAACACCATATGCCGCCGTCTGGGAGTCGCTTAAGAACGACCCATCACAGTGAATCACCAACGAGTGATTACTTGGCGGGGGACTCGTAGTATGCTGGGTTCCCCTGAGCTGAGTAGGAGAGGTGAAACTGGGAGGCGGGGACCTCGGACAGGAAGTCCATTCCGTGAAATCCCTAAAGGCTTGTGTGCAGACATTTGGGGGCCAGGGAACTCGATTCTTAAAGGTACGCTCATTCCTTGCCTTCCAAATATTCCAGCACAGGAAGACGATGTGGATCAGTGAGTCATGGGAGATCGAATCCTTCAGAGCACAGAACCAATCAAAAAACGAGGTATTCAGGGGTGGGAGAGGAAGGGAAGGGAAAATAGCATTCCAGGAGTCCCTAGCATGCTGACAAAAAAAGAGGCAGTGGATAATGGATTCGTGTGGGTTTTGGCAAACTTCACAAGTCTGGTTTGGGGCACATTTCCGGTGAAACAACCACTCTTTAGTTGCCAACCCGTTTCTGGAGCATCTCCAGATGAAGAACTTAAGCTTAGGCGGGATGTTTAGCCCCCAGATCCATTTCCAATTCTCTGCATTCCCTGACTGTTGAAAGTTTGTGTTTGCTTTGTGAACCGCATGATAAGCCGTCCTAACCGAGAAACTTCCATCCTTGGTGAGACACCATGCCCAAAAGTCATCAGATCCTTCTTCCCCAACCGGGACTCGAAGGATAGCATCCATCTCTTCAATAGAGACGTGGCCTTGCAAAAGCTCGGAGTTCCAGCTCCTGTCCCCCTGGTTGATCCATTCGTTAACCCTAATGTTCTGTTGGGGTCCACTACTAATGCCGAAGTTTTGCAGAGTAGGGATCCACTGGTCCCGCCCAATCCATGTATCCTTTCCCGACCCAATGACCTTAATGGCTCCCATATTGATCACTTTCTTTGCTTCCCAGAGACTAGCCCAGATCCAAGAAGATCTGTTTCCTTTTTTTGCATGGAGGAACTCCCCTCTCGGGTAATAGAGGCCCTTGAGAAGACGACACCATAGGGCATCGGGGGAATTTAAAAGCCTCCATGCTTGCTTACCCAAAAGGGCCAAGTTAAAGTCTTTGAAGCTCCTAAATCCCAGACCCCCTTCCGCTTTAGGAGCACATAGGATATCTTTCCTACACCAATGAAGACTACTCTTCTGCATAGAGCCTGACCAGAAGAAGTTGGTGAGAAGAGAGTCCATTTTCTTGGTAAGAGAAACCGGAAGATGGAACAGGTACATGATGTAAGAAGGGATAGCTTGAATGACGGCTTTGAGCAAAACTTCTTTCCCTCCATGCGAGAGAAGGAGACTTTTCCATGCCTCCCCCATCTTCTCCATTCTTTGGATGAGAAATTGAAATGTCTCCTTCTTTGAGTTTCCCCACTCCGTCGGAACTCCCAAATACTTAGAATGGCAATTAGAAGAGGAGAATCCAATGTGGTCAGTAATACTGGTTTTGTCTTCACTGGGGACATTCGCGCTAAAGAAAACTGAAGACTTATTGATATTGACTTCTTGTCCTGTGATTGCCCCATAATCTCTTATCAGCTCCAAGATTTTCTCAGCTTCTTGATGGTTAGCCCTACCAAAAATGACAGTATCATCGGCAAATAAACAGTGGGTAAGCACAGGACATCTAGAGTTAAGTTTGATGCCTTTCAACTGATCCTGGGCAACGGCCTTATCAATTAAAAAGGAAAGAGCATTGGACATCAAAATGAAGAGAAAAGGGGATAAGGGGTCTCCCTGTCTTATGCCTCGGGACGGTGTGAACTCGTCTGTAGCTTCCCCATTGAAGAGGATGGAAAATTTAACCGACCGGATGCACGAGCTCACCCACTTGCACCATCTCTCATCAAACCCATAGCTCTTCAGCAGGTTTTCCAAGCAATCCCAATCAACCATATCGTACGCCTTTTTCATATCTAGTTTTAGCATCATGTCTCTTCTTCTTCCCCGCTTATGGTTCTTAAAATGATGGAGCGCCTCATGGACAATGATGATGTTATCTTGAATAAGTCTCCCTCCAGTGAAGGCCGTCTGGAGTTCCGAGACCAGAAAGGGCGTCCAGATCTTGAGGCGTGTTGCCATAATTTTTGATATAACTTTATATCTAAAATTACAGCAACTGATTGGACGAAACTGGCTAATCGAATCTGGGCTATCAACCTTGGGTATCATAACAATATGCGTATCATTCCAACCATCGGGCATTGAGGCTGACTCAAAGAACTCTTTAATTTCTCTGCACAACGTCTCCCCAGTGGTATCCCAGAATCTTCGATAGAACCGGCCAGAGAAACCATCTGGGCCGGGGGCTTTTTTCGCTCCTAGGCTAAAGACTGCTTTTCTAATCTCCTCACTGGTCACCGGTGCACATAATGCCTCATTCATTTCTGCTGTTACGCTCCCTGGGAATCCCTCCAAAAGTTGATTGACTGGAATAGGGTTTCTAGCTTTAAAAAGCTCTTTATAGAAATCCTGCGCTAATCCTTTCAGCCTATTCTCATCTTCTACCCAAATTCCCTCATTATCCTTCAGTCTAAGGATTCTGTTCTTATGTTTTCTATATATCGTACTTGAATGGAAAAAGGAAGTATTCTGGTCACCTTTCTGAAGCCAATTTACCCTTGAGCACTGATTCCAGAAAGCCTCCTCTTCCATCCAAATCTTCGACAATTCTTCCATAAGATTTTTCTCTTCATCCACTGTCCCCTGGATTCTGGGCGGGCGTTGGAGTACCTCAAGTCGATCAAGGATAACATTCTCCCTTTGTAACCTATTTTTATGGAACTCCTTTGACCACTCCTTTAGATCCTGCTCACATTTGCTCAGCTGGTTGGACGATTGGCCCCCCGGATCCCACGCTCGAGTCACAATTTCCTTACATTCTTCTTTCTCAAGCCATCTCTCATCCACCCTAAATGGTGTTTTCCTCCTTCTATTGCCTCTGTAGTGGAGTTCCAGTCTAATGGGGCAATGATCCGATTCCACCATCTTCTCATGGAAGACAACCGCCTCCCCAAAGAGGGTTCTCCAAGAAGCCGAGCAAAGAACTCGGTCTAAACGAACTCTCGTTGTATTCTGCCCCGTCCTCTTATTAGTCCAGGTAAAAGGCTCCCCTTTAAACCCTAGATCAATAAGAGCATTATGGAAAATGAACCTTTTAAAGGGTTCCACATTCTCATATCTAAGAGGACATCTACCCTCTTTTTCATTTTCATAGATAGCAGCATTGAAATCCCCTATCACAACCCAATTATCATCCCTACTACTCCGAAGAGAGCTCAAGTGCTCCCAAAAACCCCTTCTACTAACTGCGGTAGAGGGTGCATGAACGAAAGTACAAAAAAACTTCCTACCCATATCAATACTAACATCCATATAATAGCTATCACTACTTAACACAGTTATGCTAATACCCGCCTTCCACCATAATGCAAAACCCCTCGAAGAGTTGACCGGTTCAACATACTCTCTATTGGGGAAAACTTTGAGACTTCTTCTTTGCTCCTCCATGAATGCTTCGTTCTTACTCGTTTCCATGAGGAAAACAATAGAAGGGCCTAAGCGTTTACAAAGACGCTTTGCATAACTTCTTGTAAGGGGTGGGCCAAACCCCCTACAATTCCAACTTACGATACTCATTTTTGAAGAGGTGGCTTCTGGCGAACCACCGCTGCCTTCCCTTTCCTTCTTGGGTCTTCTTGATCCCCCTCCGATTGGATCCCCTTCGATCTACCCCCCTGCTGCGATTTATACTTCTGGTTTTTCTTCTTCTTAGTATTCCCACCAGGCCCACCCACAAAATTTACCTCAAATGGGCTCAAGGAGTTGAGCCCTTCAGCATTCAGATCACTAACAAGGCCTGTCCCCTTCCTTTTCTTCAGACAGCGGCCCACTTCCTCCTCCAGACCTTCACTCGCATGCTGATAGTTGGCAGGAGTAGCAAGGCCCAACCACCCCTGAGTGGCCTGATCAGATTGGGCTTGGAGACTCGGCCCAAGTGAGAGGCCTGTCTCCACCTCCACTTCCCTCTGCCCTTCCTCAAGGAGAATTCTCTCCTCCTCCAAACGTAACCCTCCTTCCATTGCTTCCGCCGCCCTGTCCATTTCCAGCCCCAGATCTTTCGCCCCCATTCCGATCCTGTATCTGCCTCTCTGCCTTCCTTGTATTTCTTGCTCTTCATCTTCTTGGACCTCTTGTTCCAACCTTCGGACTGTAAAACCCGGCGGGATCAGTTGGTACCCCTCCGAGCTTCTTCCTCCCGTCATCGCACCGCCCGATTCTTCCCCTCCCGATCTGGCTACACTTCCCGATCTTGTTCTGTCTCTCCCAATGGACGAGTTTTGTGTTCCTGCCCCCTCCCTACTGCTTCTGTTGCTCGAGGAGTGCTGCCTGTGGGGAGAGTCGATGCCTGCCTTCAGAGATGAATTGTAAATATCCGATAGGTAGGCGACTCCGTTTTTCCTCCTCTCCTCATTCATCCTCCAGCATGATGGCCAATTATGGCCGATTCTTCCGCAGAAATAGCATAGCTCCACTAGCCTTTCGTATTTGAACTCAATCACATCACAGTGCTCGATCCCTGTGGCTTCGTCGGTAAAGGGGAAATCGAACCCTGTAGGAACAGGTTCCTCGAGATTAACCTCCACCAATATCCTCAGAAACCTTCTATAGCCATTGAAATCTAGGCTAGCTCTGTCGATATCGAGCAGCCCCTGGAAATAATAGGTTCCAATCGACACCATATTCTTCTCGATCCTTTGATTTTGGTGCAATCCATGGATCTGTACCCACATAGCCAGCTTCTCCATTGTTGTGTCTTCTGGTTTTCCTCTTCCATTGTACTTCTCTATCGCTGTCAACGTATTGGACAAGCTCCATGGTCTATCCCTCCATATTCGTTCCCTTGTCTCCTCATTATTGAAAGTGAATAAGAAGAGATTTTGCGAATCAGTGGGTTGGACATTCACCTCCCCATACCCTCCCCAGGCATAGCGTGCTGCACCCGCTGCCTTTGCCAGAGCCACCTTGTTCTCTGTGAGCATTTTCCCCAGCAACATGGCGATTCCCCTCCCTCCCGAAGATGACAGGTTTGGGCGTCCTTCTCTGCCTTTTGATGAAGATGATATGAGGCTTCTGTTGGTTTCCATGTTAAGCAGAAGGTAACTTTCTATTTCCGAGGGTTGAGTTTTTACAGGGTAGAGAAGCTGGAACTTTGCAAAGGGTTGTGTCTTTTCAGGGTAGAGAAGCTGGATTTTTAGGTAGAAGGGAGAGTCTATTTGGAGCCTCTTTATACAGGCATATACCCTTCTCTCTTCCTCGGCTTCTTTATGGCTTCTCCTTCGTAGGTAAGCTTCTCTGCCCTCTTTATGGCTATTCATCTGTCTGCTCTTTTCATTGTCCTCTTGCTGGGGATGGTTGCCTCTCCTGTCAAAGCATTCATTATGCTCTTCTTGACTGATCCTTCCCATCCTCTGTTTTTCCCCATCTGTTGCAGGGGCTCTTGGCTCAAGGATTCCTTCTTCTTGCCCCCAGTTCGTTCCATAAATTGCATCAGAGATCTTCCTAGATCTTCTACTCCCTCTTTTCCCTCTTCTCCTTTTATTATTCTGACATTGGAAGATAGTCTCCCGCAAATCCGGTGGCTTCCATATTGTCCCTTTCCCAAAAAGCTGAACAGAGCTTCCCCTGTATTGTCCCATCCCTTTTGGAGCTTCGCCTGTTGGGGATTGAGGCCCTCTACCCGCCCCTTGCTTCTCCTCCAATCGACAGCTTCCATAATCCTTAGCTAAGTACTCGTTACAGTTGCCCTTAGATTGGGCTGTAGAAGTCCCACGGAAGGGGACGGGAAATGAACCGTTGGAGAGTTCAAAGAAAGTTTCCGTTAGGTAGAGAGAAGAGAGAGACATTTTAGTGGCTCGATCAGAGAACCAATTGTGCTTTCCATGGGGCAAACATTGTAGAGTTCCCCCTCTACATACAACTCATTGTAGGCTTGTGCCTTGTAGCGTTTGTGAGTCGAAAATGTTTCTTTTCTTACTAGTCATTGTTAAAGTATGTTTCATAGTTGGTCACATTTAGGGGTGTGTAACGAGTTGGTCCGCATCAGATCGCACTAGACCAAACCGATATCTGGATTGGACCATACCGATTTAAATATATTGTTGCTCAGTCCTTGGTCTGATGAATTTTGAAATACTGGAACAAATTGACTGAATTGTCATTTGGACCGAACTAACGAACAGTTAGACCAGATCATACCAAACCGAATATAATGTGGTACAATCTTTGGTCCCCATGGGTTTTGTATATACTGAAAAAATTGACCAAATCGACATTTGGTACGGACCAAATGTGATGTTAGTCTGGTCCGTGGTCATAAGATGTCTTTCACTATTGGACTGCGTTTCTCGTGAGTTTGGTCCGGATCGAACTATTGACACTCACACTAGTTGTCTATTTACGTTAAGTTTGTCTTATATGACGTAACAATGATGTTTGATCGTTATTTAACTAAATTGTCAATTAAAAAATTAATTCTACAATTAAATATTTTAGAGTTTCCACCTCACCCTCTCTTTCTATTTTAAAATCTCAAAAGTTCTAGCTAGAAACTGCTTTTACAAAAAAACCGACAACAAGGCCAAATATGGACAACATTTTACCCTCTAAATGCAAATTAGGATTTCTAAATGTCGGGAATAACGTGACTACAACTGATTCTGTAGGATATGGAAGAGTGAGCGACCTAAGAACTTTCAGCCAATTAAAATGGTATCATCTAAACATAGCTTTAGCTTCGGAATTAACAGAAAGGGTCTCGTACCATAGTGATAGTCAGAAAAATGGAGGAGAAAAAATCACTCTCTTGACGGGTAAGTAAATAAATAAAAAAAACAGAGAAAGAGGAGGAAGCATTTGTCAAATAGCATCATTCTTGACTATGGCATCCTGAAAACTAGCATCCTGCATATGCAGATGTTGTTTGGGCATAAAATAATGCAGATGGAATCATGACCAGAAATGAACCATTCAAGCTACCAAAGATAGCCAAACAAGATTTCAAAGGTTTCAACACCAAGACTGTGGAAAGATCTTACCAGAATTTAATCCAGAGTTGCTGAGTTTCCACATACTTTATCATGGAAATCCTACAGTATATATGGTGAGCAGTATCCATATCTAGGACCGTGTTCCGGTATTTTCGTAAGGCAACCATTGCTTCAATAGAAACTATATGATAATATTCATATAATTAACAAAACAGACCATTTTATGGATAAAAGTACATGTCCTCCGTTAGCATCGTTCACAATCACAGGTACAGGAAACAAGATCATGATGCAAACCTGACCTGTATGCTCATCAAACTTAAAAGAAGCTCCAAAGTAGCTAGAGGAATTTTTCTACAAGAACCTGGTTGTATATAAGGCAGTTCTCTAATAAGGCCACCAGTCGCCACTGTCAGGCTTCTTCACCAGGATTTGGTTGTACTCAGGCCTTGAGGTAAGATCTTTGAACACAACAAAAGCGACGACAAAGAAAAGAACGAAAAGGATCTCAAATTCAGCATACTTCAGGAAGGAAAACACTGAATTCACCATACGAGTCAACATCGATTCATCCCTTCTTCGGGCCCCTATTGGCCTTCCCTGCCTGCTGCTGCTTCTGGCCATCCCCCCTTTGCCTTCGAGCAAATTAAACTGAACAACTTGTATGAATTGTACCGCAAAGAGCTGTTACTGGAAACAAAAACAAAAAAAAACGAGTTGAGAAGACGGCCAACATTGGAGTTGCACTTGGCCCCAGGGAATACCATCTAATGGAAGTAATTTAGTGACAAATTAAGGCAAAAAGGATGGAACTTGAACATCTAAGTAGTGAGCGATAGCTTGCAGGTTTCAACTTTAGTCACTGGAATTGTATCGAGCTGGAGTAGTTAAGTTGCAGGAGAATTTGCGTAGCTAAAGAAAGAGAGCGCTAAGTAACCAAAACCAGCAATAACTCATTTGTCTAATATGCATGAGCCTCAATAGAAGATCACAACCCAACATGAGGTACTTAATGTAGTTCTGCAGAGAAGTTCCCATACATGATTAAATCTCTTTACCCCAATTGAACTAACCTGACTTTCCATCTCTATGAGCGAAATTTGACTCAAACATTAAACAAAATAATAACTTATGAAACCCATTTGATAGGATCTGACAGTACTGTAGAAAGAACTATAGAGTACCGTTCGGATCCATTTTGGATTTCTTGTTCTTTCGAACTAGGAACACAAAGAATCACCGAAAGAAAGAACTGATAAACAAAAGACGATTTCCATGACACGAAATCTGAGCTCGATTACCCAGTTTCCAGACCATTTCTCTGTTTCCCGGTAATTTGATGTCTCTTTGAGGAACTGGAATCAGCAGCACGGAACCTCGACATGCAAATAGATTATGGAGACGGAAATAAACTGAAATCTCTGCCTGGTCTACTCGATCTAAAGTCCAATTTCCAGAGTGAAATATAAAGGCACTAATTTTCACTTAAGACTTATTGTATATCAAGATCGACCTCAATCTAAGAATGAGAACGCTGTGTGATGCAGCGAGACAAAATCATGCCATCAGAGAGCTAAAGCGGTAGAGAAGATGAATCTCTTAATTACAGGGACAGAGGAAGAGCGCACCTGAATCGACGCAAACCCTAGCGCGCTCCGAAGGATTGAAATCGGATGTTCAGTGGCGTGGCGGGTCTCGGAAGGAATGTACTCTACTCGTCTGAAGTCTGATCCTTCGGTTTTAGCGTTCAATTCTGGGCAACGACAACGCATTTGGCACCCGCGGTCAACGCCGTCGGCTCTGCTTACCGGTCAAAATAATGATTGCCGCGTTATTAACGAACCAATCGCGTAATTATATTTGCTACGAGAAAATAACCTTTTCATAAAAAAAAAGTTGAATGTTTCACGATCAATGTAGTTAAAATCAATTACCGAAAAAATTAGTTAAGATTGCGTTTTGAAGTATGTTTTTACACTTTATAGGTTACTAAAATGCTTTTACATAAGATAGCTCTTTCGGCTACATGTTCACAGGCTGATAGCCCATTTGCACTACAATGATTTGTTAATGACAACCTGTGAATCTTCTAGCCATTTTCACCGTCTACAAGAGGGAAATCAAGTCTGTGATTTGTGAACTGTTGGTTGCTATATTGAGTATTGACTGATATTTTTAGGACATTTGATTTGTGCAGTGGTAAGAAAACTTTTGTGGACTAAAAAACGTTATTGAAAAAAGGCTCTAAAACTCTAAATGAATGAATTTACTCACGTGTTGTGGTAACTGGTCGAGATACTTAAGACAACCTCCTAAGGCTCATCTTAAGGAGCAGAGTGCGCTTTGAGTATTGTGTTTGAGATGCACGAATAACATTTTCGACACTCTCACTTACAAATCCCCTTCTCACGAGTCTTGATAGAGAAGAGACTATAACATCTGCTATGACTTGTGACATGAACTATACTACTATGACTTGCAACCTATCGACTTAATCTCACGACAGTGTTTTGTCCAAAGTCACGCCCTAATGTTGCAAGTCACAATTGTGGCTTGGGAACACGACTCGTGCACTATCAAGTATAAGAGGGTTTTGACGAGTTCAAATTGGGGATTTGAGTTTTGGCATTTGAAACGAGTTAGAAGAGCCCTAGAGAGAAAAAGTGACGAAGAGAGCACCCTCAAAGTAGATTTTCTTTATTCGTTCGCCATTGGAGATTAAGTCTCGTCCTTTGGAATGAAGATAGCCACTCCGGAGCATATTCACATTGTCTACACGATGATAACTTCTTTCCCCTCTGTGTTCCTCTCTGTCTATGGAGTAAATCTCTGTCTCACCTGGGTACGAAGAACCCTAATTTGGTATGTTATGATTGATGTTTGTTTGAACCCTTGTTTGTGGAAATCGAATCATATATCCAATTGATGCATTTTTTATCAGTTGTATGAATCATGATCACATTATATATCGAATTATAGAAAATACCTAAATAGGTTAAGAAAGCATTGTCAATTGGAGGTGGTGAATCGGTTCACTACCTTGTATTGTACTTTGATACACTAGAGTGAATCTAGTTTGCATTGTCTTGGTATTCTGTTTCAGTTGAAGATAGTGTCCTGCTAAGCAATCTATCCAAGATGACATTTTCTACTTAAATATAGATTCAAGATTAAATACGATTTCTCCATTGTATAAACATCGAGTGAAATAAACTAGGGAAACAACAATTACCTGACTAAGGACTAGAGGAAGCATACCCGAGTGACCTTTCTCATCTTGAAACCCGAATTAATTTACTTTGCTTCCTTAGACAGTTAACTTGATTTCGCAACTTGCTTTGCTAGATAATCACAGAGTGATAATAGATATGGTGATCCTGAATTTGATAAGTAAAACTTACACTATTTTATTTTCCCATCTTTGATTACACTATTTTATTTTGGGCACCTCCACATTATTTAACTATTACGCAGCGAGATACATGTTTTGCAGTTCAACAACTAAGCCAATCCCAACTGACTCCCAGTGTTATCCATCATCATGCTGCCATTTGAATCCTCGACTACTTTCAAGAATGTGCTCCAAGCGGAGGAGGTTTGTTCTTTCCTCTACTTCGTTATATCTCTATGGCTATATTGCCAATCCGATTGGACGACTTGCCCTGATACCAGGCGTTTCATTTCAGGTCACTGCACCGTGCTTCGAACTTCACTTACAACCTAGAAAGCCAAGAAACATTGTTGCCATCTTGCAAGATTGCAACAATGTTTTGCACTTCTTAATAAGGTGCTGCAAGATGCTTCTTCCAAGCTGTACCGGAATAGCACTTGTAAACCTGGAGGCGCAGATTTAGTTTACCACTAGCTACTCCAAGCTTGAGCAGATAACAAATGTGAGTTCGACTGAGAGTCTTAGCAAACAAATTTGGCTGAAGATGTTGCCGAATGAAGTGGTAGTCGACTTTGACATGCTTCATTCTCTCATGAAACACGGGGTTCTCTGCAGTAGTAAGAGTTGACCTGCAAAAGCATAGTCACTCTATATAATGCTCAACTTCAACTGTCATGTTGAGGGAAGTCGAATGGAATTGGCTTAGTTGAGGCTCTTTTAACATGCAAGCAAAGCATAGTTGCTCTATATAATGCTCAACATCGGACTAGAGAATAAAATGAATATCATTGGAATAGATTCAGATTCAGATGGTTTCTGCACTTCTTACACGATAAAACCCCCATGGAGTAAGAATTCAAAGAAAGCTAACCCTTTTTCCAACCGGATCGCGCTCTATTATCTCATGCTAGTTGCTGACTGGATTCCCCCCCAACTGACTTCCATGAAAATAAGAGGGCCAAATCAACCAGCTCCGCTTCCCTTGCCTGGATATAATGATGGCTTCCAACTCTCCAGTAAGACTTTCATGAGCTTTGGGCTACATGATGGGTGAGGATTCACCTAGCGTGGATACTTTGTCATTCTTCCGGTATTCTCGCGCAAACAGAAGGTAATTAAGAGTCCCTGAAGCATGAAGCTGCTGCTATAACTTGCCCAATGGAGACTCATTGGCATGATCATCTGCCAACCAGAGGCCGTAATCGTGGAACCTCTTTATCTTCTTCTCAAAACCAGTTATGTAATTGTTGTGTATAATTACGTGCTTCCCTTTCGTTTCTTGCACCCATGTTTTATTCTTGAAGTACAAACCACCCGTTGGGAATGCAGCTTGTGGAAGCAGATATAGATCCACCTGGATGGATAAATCATCATATCAAAAGCAGCATGCAGTTAATCATCATCTTCATCATCAATACTCAATCAAGACCAACTACTGCAAACACGATGCTAAAACTATTGAGGGAGCAACATTAATTGTGATTATCGAACTTTGATCCCCCCTAAATTTGACGCTTAGGAGATCAGTAAGCAACACTGGACAAGCTAGGAGAAAAGGAAAGGTTGCTGAAGATGGGGGAGAAACAGACCTGTCCAGCAGTTTTGTTTAAGGCCCAGTTAAAAGCAGGTTGATCATTTGCTTTCTTTGCTCTAGACCAAGGCTGAGCTTGAAGTTCCTTTATCCAAGTCTTCATAACTAGTTTTGCTCCATCAGTAGGGCGAAGGAAAATCATGCAACTACAAATGTAAGTGCGGCCTTTTTTCCCTGGAGGTGGTAACTCATGGGAGTGATCCAGAGGCTTCACCTATTGACCCACAGAGAAACACGCAATGTTAATATTCAAGCCAAAAGGAAGTACAAAGATCTACCGAAAGTTAATCACGACCAAGAAATTGCAATATTATCCAAACACAAAAGGAAAAACACGCTGCCAACTGGATCACAAACCAAATGGAAGTAGAAAGATCCATCAGAAGTGAAAAGTAGTGCAAGGAAAGCTCTGCTGTAGATGTTGATACCCCAGACAATTTCTATATTGGATATTGTCACATTGATCCAATATGTAGCAGTCTTGAGAACTATCCTGAAAGCTAAGTTTCTATTTTTGTCAGTTGGATGTAATTGGATTTCTCTGCACACTTGGTTAAACTACCATTGCCTTACACGATGCAAATCGAGATCACTCTGCAACAACAAAACTCAATTCATCTTGCCTGGAATAGAGAAGCCGGCAATCTTATATACCGACAGACATTGATTGAGATCAATATGCACAGAATGATTGGCAGCACAAAACATTTTCCTTGCTCTGCTAACAACATGAGAACAGTAGACAAAAAACTTACTGGAGTCATGTCATCAGTGAAGTAAACATCATGGCTTCCCTGCAAATAAGTGAAGGGATCTCCTAGCCACACCATATCCACATCATTGTACATAACACTGTAACCAAGCTCCAGAATGTGCAGGAGATGCTGAGGTCTTCGGGCCGTGAAATTGAAGAAACCCTAATCAACAAGACATCACAATTTAGGAACACCATTGAATCCAAAAAAAAAACATCATTTTAGGTTACAGAGTAGGTTACGAGGCAAACCATGGAAGAATACCTGAGAGCCAAACTTATGGGCAGACTGTGCATCAAGCGCAGGGGGAACTAGCACGGCATGGCCAGGCCACCTCTGATTCACCAAATCCAGTGTAGCGTAATCCTCCGCAATCACGAGGACCATATCTTGGCGCTTCTGCCTGGAAATGCTGATCAACCAGTTGTTGAGAAACGGCAAGTAAGCCCGGCTCACTGCGCAGACAATCACGGTACCGTTCTTGGCGACGAACGACACGGCTTGAGGCAGCGTGTACCGACGCCATTGCTGGACTGAAGACTTGTTTGCGGAGAAGATCCCACCCGGCATATCCGCCCAAGGCACGATTACGCCAAGGATTAACATGAGGGAGAGTAACGCCAAGAGGCCGGCGCGGCTGAAGATTGAAATTTGCCTGTGAGGAAGGTTGGAGTAGTGAAGGGATGCCGGGAATCGGTCGGAGAATGCGGAGGGGAGGGGCCGCTGGTGCAAAGATGTAGTCATTTGTTTTCTAGGGGCTGGATGACTTCAATTGTGAAGCGGAGACTTCAGTTCGATGGAGTTTCGCCGGCGGTGAGGAAATCTGATGGCGGTGACTTGCGACGGGAGAGGGAAAGCGAGAAGTGAGAATCTGATCTTGAATTCTGTTTTCCTTCTTTCTTTCTTTCTTTTCTTCTCAGCTCGGAAACTTAATTTTGTTTTTACTTTTTCATATATTTTCCTCTTGCTCTCTCAGATCGGATCTGTGTCCTCAAGGCTCAACCCATGAATTCGTTGCGTGCCAATCTAGAGTTAGGTTGAATTTCTCTGAATTCGGATTTAATTCAGCGAATGCATTTATTCAAAGAATCCGATAAAATATTTATTGGATTTTACAAGAACATTTAGATTAATTTAAGTTTAGGTTTTAGTACAAAATAATGTAGAACTATATAATAATAATAGTATATAGAATGTTTCGATTGGAGGGTTGCGATCTAAAGACAAATTTTGCAAAGGGAAAATGTGAATAATTATGGATTTTTTTTTGTCAATTGGTCGAATTCTCGGGCTGTAGTTAATAACTTTTTACAATTTTCCACAAATTTCGGCAGATATTACTGCTATAGTAATATCATGATAAGAAAGCGATGTGATGATATCGTTTTACAAGTTGTAAAACTATATTATTATTGTATGATAATGGTGAGAGTATATTATGAAATCTTATCCAAAATGAGATAGCGTAAGTAATATAAGGGTAAGATAGTATGAAGTGTTATAATAAGATTTTTTATGAATAAGATTTTGTACTATTATGAACTAAGATTTCATAATTTTCTTTATGAATAAGATTTCATCATTATTAGCTTATTACAACAAGAAAATTTTATGGACTAGTCTGCTACTAGTAACTAAGAACAGAACTACTAATACTACAGCATTTTTATCAACAATCATGCTCATCAGGCCAGAGGAGAAGGGAGTTCGACAGCCACAAACACGCAGTAGATGTCTTAGGTGCAGAGGTGGATTTTGGATCAAGAAACGGAGCCTGCGCTCAGCCTGGATGCTTTCTGTTTCACGAAGAAGGCCGAAAGAACACTCTTACTCCGAAAGGGGACAGGGGTGCGAACAATATCACGTCTTGGGTTATCGAATGACCTGAAACCTCCCAAGTGTTTAGACCCGTCCACTGCTTCCTGCAAAACTCAAAACCTCTCAAATCAATCATTCTCTCTCGCCTTCATCAGCTATGACAGGTTTTTTAGGGGTCGATGACAATCAATGAAAAAGCAGAGCCACATAAAATGAATAGCATTGTATATATCAGAGCCAGACAATATACAGAATGAACATCCAGCCAATCCACTTGAATGGATAGCTCAAAGCATTAATGCAAATGGGACAGGTGGGGAAGTAGTCACCAGCTCAATGAAAGATTATAACATGCCGTTGACCCCAAAGTATCTTGACAGAAAATCGAACCATGGATGGATATGCAAAAACACAGTGTACTACAACCCCCCTCAACTTTGAAATAAATGTTAAAACATTCGTAACAAACTTAGGAAATAGAGTAATCGGTAAGGCCTTACCCCCCTTCCCAAATTACCACGGTTCAAATCAACCCCACTCATTCCGATTCATGGCAATATTCATTGCGAATAACCAACTACTGGAGCCCAAATATGGGTTGGTTGAAGGCAAACCTAACAGTACTGAATAGTTACTGCAACGAAACTGACCAACCCAGAGGTGGAAGACCTGTCCGAATACTGTTGTGTTCCTTACTTCCCTTGATCCCTCTGTTGTTTTTAAACGGTCAACTAATACTGTTTCCTCAATATAAAAAACTGAACTTCCTAGACCTTTAAGATCACTTCTTTCTATAAAAAAGATTAAAAACTTAAAAACAGAGCCTTAGCTCACATGGCCTGTTAAGTCTGTGCACTTCTAGGCTAGACAGAGATATCACATGCATATATGCACCTTTTCTAAAAAGCTAATGACATGCATATGATAGAAGAAGGGGAAAAGAAGGCTTGAGCTGGCCCTGAAATATTAGCACGCATCCTGTGTATTTAAGCTTAGTTGTAACATGTCTAGTGAAATGCAACACGACGATATGATCTGAAAGCTACCAGTAAAGAATGAAGCAATGGTAAGTGTTTAGGGGAGAAAAAAAGGAGCCCATATTCAGATTGATGCTTGGACATTTCCAGATTCTAGCAGTTTTAGACCTACCTTGCGTGGTACACCAAAACTTTGCATGCCTCCGCTCGATGGTTGGATTCCACTTGATGCATAAGCTGTTCCAGAGGGTTTTGACACGGTACTATCATCTCTATCTGCACACGTTTAGTCAAATTATACAAATTCCACCATCTATTATGGTCCATCATGTGGGGAAGAAGCACCACTGTGAAACACGGAAGCTACTGTTCTATTTATCCATACCTAAGAGTTGAAATGCTGCTGAAGATCTTCCAGAAGATTTTGATTCCTCGCTGCTGCAAGAGAGACATGTTAGGCACATGGCGTTCACAGAAGCCCACAATTGAGCAGGAGCTCTTAATGTCCTAATACCAACCTTTCCAAAGTACTTATTGACCCTTTAATGTTGGGCTTTGTCTCCGAGGATAGGTGCCAAGAAAGTGTTTTGGAAGCCGGAGAAGCTGATTTAACCCATATGGATAAGTTAAATTGGATACTTTTCCAGTCGCAAAAATGGAAAATGAAAACACAGCAAAACCAGTAATATAATTCATAAGTAGTAAGTACTCCGACAAAGAGAACTTGATACCTGAAGGCTGAAGACGAGATCTAGCTTGAAAATGATTTTGCCTTGTATCAGCCTGTACGTGGGGACTAAAATGTACCTTCTTACTGACCGAGTCTATGACAGCATAAATGGAACACACAGACAGAATTCAATGTTAATAAGGAATCAGTGTTTCAACTCTCTTCAGGAACATCCACCATTCTATATTCCAGCAGAGTGAACGTTCATCTTACTCGGCAAAACATAATGTTTGTGATGTCGTGGAATGATTGCCAACAACTGCTGCTGCCTGAGACCTTCTTTCTCTATATAGGTTTGACATGTAAGAAGTTGCTGCAAGTCAAACAAAAGAAGTTTAATTAAGTTTATCAGTGAATAGCAACAAATATGAGAAGATTAGTCAAGCCGACATCAAAGCACCTGATTTATACAAGAAATTTTGACCCCCGTGGTGGTGACTTCCAGTGTTTGTTGATCAAGCAGGTCCGTTAACTTGTATGCAACAGTGCCAAGATGGTCAACAGCATTGACAAGGGCCCTCACAGCATAATCTTTCAGATTGTCAAGCACCCTACAATTTGGCAGAAAGAAGAGAAACTTGAGAATCAAGCAAAACACTCTACTGTATCCAATATGCCATAGATTAAAAGAAGTACTGAAGAAGGGTGATTAAGGGCTCTCACATCTGTTTCTGCTCACTATGCAGATAAGACTTCTCACAGTACTCTGCAGCTGAGTAAAGTTGAGGCCTTAAGTTCTTGAGCTCCTGCCAAACAAAAACACAATGTCCAATGCCAGTATTAATACGTACGGTAGTTCAAATCCAAGCTCTGTGATCCTAAGCTTCTTCTACTGAATGGAACCATGACCAAATGCAATAAGTCAACATATGGCCCAAATGGGAACCAACGGACAAACACACAAAAACCCAAATCCAATATGTACTGAAAGAAAAACTCCAAATTCATTCTGAGAAGAAGAAGGATCAAGTACTGAGCAGCAGATCTGGATGCGGGAAGTCCTCCATAAACCGAAGCTTATCTCGAACTCATGCAGAGATCATAACAATTTAATAATCACTCGATACTTGCTACTGATTCTTGGAAGGGCGGAGAAGAGGGCGGGTGGAGGAAGTAAGTACCTGCAGAGCTTTCACGAAGCTTTTGCTGCGCTCCATAGAGACCTCGTCGAAGGTCATGGCGGGATTCTCCGACCTGGGTCGTTCCCCTTCCATTCCTAAATTTGATTGATTCCCTTTCTCCCACCACCCCAAATGTACCAATTCCCCAACTGAATCAATACCTAAACCCTAAACCAGGCAGAGAAGGAAAAAACACAAGTGGGTAGGATTGTAGGAATGGATCACTATTCCATCGCCATTAGTTTAACAGGTAAATGGAAAAACAATGAAGCGAAACTGGTCGGGCGAGATTTAGGAGTTGGAGAGGGAGAGAGAAAGAAAAGAGAGGAGGGAAGTGGAGTAGAATAGAAGGGATTCTCCCGCTAGAGAAGGTATAGTGGGAATGGTTGGATTTTGGAGTTAATAGCAAGCGAAAATGACATTTCTTATTCATTCGCAATCACCCAACCCCATTAAAATTTCCGCTCCAAAACAATCACAGAGACGCTCTGGGTTCAGAGTTGTATTTATTGCGTTTGGTGGAGAAGAAGAAGAAGAAGGTGGTAGTTGGCAAAACCTTCTCTCCCTGCAGTAACTCTCCCTCACAGCTTGGCCGCGGCTCCGATGCTCTGGTCTAGAGGAAACCAAGAAAAACAGGGGAAACGAATCTTGGGTAACGAATTTTTTAAAAGGAGAAGAAAAAAATAACGGCAAGTTGCTCTTTCCACAAGGCAGAACGAGGAAAAGAGAGCAAACAGAACAGTGGTTAGAATTATGAAGCTATGATGGGCAATGGGTCCCTAGCCTTAGGAACACCGCTGGTAACACACACGGCGGTGACGGTGATCTTTGCCAAAACTAATGGTCCACCTCATACCACAGCTGGACATGATGAACAACAACAAGGATTCCGGAAATTTTGTGTGTGATTTCCTGCCACAAGTAGGGATGGCAATTTCGACCTGACCCGAGTTACCTGATCTGTTTGACCTGTTTTGGGGCGGGTCCAACCCGCCCCGTAGGCGGGGCGGGGCGGGAATGGGTACCTCTCATCGACCCGACCTGCTCTGACCCGCCCCATTTTCGACCCGTTCTGGCCTAAGTTACATGTAATCTTAGTCAAATTACTTAGGATTTTCCTCTTATTACATCATATTTTATGTATAATAAAGTTGTAAATAAGTGAAAAACTCAATTTCTCCAATAATTTAACTACATTTTATCAAATTATGGTTTCTTTCTTGGTCTTTTAATTAAAATAACGAATAATTCTAATGTTTTTTGTATAAATTATATACTCAATGGGTCGACCTGCCCCGACCCGTGCCCCATAATAAATTACCCGACCCGTACCCGACCTGCCACGGAGCGGAAATGGGTATCAAGATACCCGCCCCGGACCTGCCCCATTGCCATTCCTAGCCACAAGCAAAACAAATTGACACATTCGGTAGGATTTCGTATTTGATTTGATGGTTCCGAGACGAGGAAATGAAAAATGTTGTGTTGTGTTTGGATTTATGGAAAAACCAGTGTTTTAACATTGAACAGGGGCTCATGGTTAAAACCTTGATATACGATCTAATTATTTTGCTTAGCGAAGACAAGTGGACCAATGCTATGCTTGTAGTATAGTAGTACAAGGTTGTATTTTAAGAGGTTTAAGTATACTACTACTCAACTTCGAGCAATTATTATGACTATGAATCATATTTCAAATAGAACAATGCGATAATAAATGACCAAAATAATCTAAAAACAACAATCAGATAAGAATAATTAAATAATGATACACAGGTAAAAGATGTTCCGATTAGGCATGTTGGCTTGACATGTGACAAACCTCCCCCATTAAGAGTGACCTTGCCTCAAGGTTGGTCATCTTCAAAGACAAACGCTCCCTCTTCTTCCTCCTTGCAGTTGGAGTCCCCAACCATAACATCACAAGGAAGTTCGTGTAGGGGAGGCCGATAGTATATCGCTCATTGTAATGACAACATAGCTCATTGGACCCTCTCTATGCCATCTCTTTCGATGACATCCTTCGAGCATTAGGATTGCGAGGTGGAGCCATTGTTATGTGGCAGCTTGTGGAGGATTCCTTTGCATACTTTCATACTTCGCCAAATTTGCATTATTCACCTTGCCAAGTGGAATCGCCTCCCTCACGGTAACATTGCTGGAACATGCGAATTACATCAAAAATTTAGGATTTAAGCACATCAATAAATGAATAAATGAACCTACCATAGCCTCTTATATCCATCCCAAATAGCAATTGCCCAATTTCTCAAATGTCAAGAGATAATCGCCTATCCATATGGTTAGCACCTTACCCTATTCCAACATAAAAGGATGATTTTTAATTCCATGTGTTACACAAATTTGTTTGATGTCAAATTTTTTTAACCCAAATTTCGAAACGCACTTTTTTTTTTATGTAGGTAGGCATTGAAATTCGACATATACTTAAACTGGTGCATTGGGTACACAAATCCAGGATCCAAACAACCCTTAACAATAGCAAGGATAGTGTCATTTGCCTGCTTCCAGAACATGCTTCTCCCTTCTCAGTCAGCCTTATAAAACCGGACGATACTATTAGGCAATTAGTTAGCCACACTATACATGGGTTGGAGCCAAATTTGTACTTACATTTACCTCATATACACACAAACACAAGATGGTTATCCGTTTCTCCTACCACACTGTCCCCCATATTATCCTTACTACAAAGTACAAAGATAAGGCAAATATATCACTATAACAGTTCCATCACGCTTGCTCTCGAAAACTGGACGAGACGGGAACATACTGTAATTCTGTTCTTCCAAGCTCGAATTAGGGTGTAGTACCACCCAAGATTGCAGTGCAAACTCCTTTACTCTACCCGCTCTTAATGAGTTCTTCTGTGGGGGATACAGATGATGCCTCGAAATACGTAGGTCTTGGTGTTGAGGGACAGCCAATAGCCTGGAGCAGCTCCTCCATACCCATCACTCTGAACTTGTGAGGAGGCGAGTTAAACGCCATGTTGTCTACTTGATGCTGATAAATCTTGCCTTTCTTATCGAGTTTGTACTCCGAGATGCCATCAAGACGAGCCAGACTCTCCCATGGGACCCGTGGTATGCCATGTATTACCCACCGGATCAGGATTATATCGTCAACAGGCTGCCAGACGCTGATGATGTCAACCCACAATCCCCTGAAGAACACCCTCCCTAGGACACGCAGCGCCCAGAACATTGATTTGTAGTTCTCAATTCCAGCAAAGGTATTGAAACGATCTATGTAAACGATATCATCCCTGCACAAGTACAAAAAGGAGAAGACCGTCAGCAGTTGATAACATCGATTACTGTAATGAAAGAAGCAGTAATTGCCTCTCGTATACTTGATTGCTATGAGCAAATGACAATGACAAGAATAGGCATGTATACTATATATGCACATGCACACATATCCATGGAACTTCCGAAGACATAAGGCAAGAGTCTTCCCGATAGAAGAGAGCCTATCAACGGAGCTCTACCACAAGACATCTCTTGGCCGACCACCACACCATATACTTTGACATATGACAGATCCAGGGAATGAAGAAAATCATCATCCATAGCCCCAAAATCAATGCACTCTTTTCATCACAAAAGGCAATCAATAAACCAAGTGCAGCAGCCAACAATGAAGCCTCAGCTAATCTAAAACCTCATAACAAATGGCTGAGTTATAAGATAAACAAAATGGGTTGTTGCCAACTTCGCTGAAACGGAAAGCCATAAAGCTACACACTGCAAGGCATAAAGAGAGGCATGGTGAGAGTTTAGGCAGCAGACTCCGTAAAGCTATGGTGGTGAATTCATCTACCAAGGAACCCTCAGCTGCAAACAAAATCCCAATTCTCAAGCAACCATTCCACCTGCCTTCCCAAGGGACGGAGACCAACAAAACCTAAAGCTCAAAAGCAACATGAATGCAGAAACCTCAAGCAGATAAGAGATTAAATCCCTTGGAATTCTCATTCCTGGACAAGTACTGTAAGCAGTTCTAATGATGGTACCAGCAGCAGCAGGCACAAATAAGATATACCGGGATACTGGATACACATAACCCATTATTCATGTTCCACTGCCAACCCATCTCAGATTCTAGTCTCCAGCAACATGAAACTGAATATCAGAACACTTAGAACGAGACTCAATCAAAACACACACCTGTAGATATCGAAGCTTAGCTCCTTGTAGAAGAGGTCCGGCAGCTCCTCCCTCAGAGTCCTGATAGCGTGCCCCATATTCACGTAGTAATTCTGCTTCTCCTCTTCTTCCTCATTGCTCCGCTTCGAACCTTGCTTCACAACGGGAGCCGAGAACTGACCATACAGCCTCGCATCTTCGTGACTCAACCCCGGAACTTTCACCTCCCGATCCTTAACCCCAAACCTAACTCTCGCCATCGACGAAACCACTCTATCGTCATTCCTGAGGGCGCTGCTGGGGTTCTTGAGGTTCCTCGGACTCGGATTAGGGTTGATTAGGGTCTTCGCTGTGCACATATCGGGCGAATGAACGAGCAGAGCCATTGTGTAGAGCGAATGTAAGGGGATACAAATTAGAAGATGAAAACAGCACTGGAAATCACCATTTCCTTGTGTGCTTCAGTGAAATTGGAGGTCGTTTGGGTCGGAGAAAAAGTTTGGCGAGGAATAGTCTGTGAGAAAGGTTTCAAGATAACGAAGAAAGGAATGGGTTTCTTCTTGATAATTGGAAATTATCAGGTAGACTAATATTTGGAAATTATCTGATTGGTTAACCTGAATATGTGTCTACTCTCCGGCACGGCAAGGATAGGAATATGCTGGCGGGGGTGGCTCCAAAAACGGATCGGATCGGATCGTAGCTCTTACGGCCTGTGGGTTTAGGGAAATGGTCCGGTCCATGTAAACCAATTCAATTGGTGGGTTGACCGGGTTAGATTGTGTTTTTTTTTTTATTCAAGGGAGGTCGAAGCAAAGAAAAAGATACAAGCAAGAGAGGTCATACGTGAAAAGAGTTGGACGGATGTACGAATTCACCAATCAACGTGATGCTTGATTGATACAGAGATACACTCAACGCGATTGGAGGCTACCAACGACGAGGAGCAAAATTCACAAGCCAAAAACTTGATGAACCAGGATAAAATTCAGTTGACAAAAACTAATCTCCTGTTACAATTCGGCCTAGGCCTTTAAATAGAATGACAAAGCCTAATTCTACTACTCTACTAAACAAGGAAGAAAAAACAAAACTAACTAAAATACTGAAGAAGGAAAAGAATCCTTAACACAAAAGGAAACTAAACTCGGCAGTTGCTATTCCACGGTCTGTCTTCCTGTTCCACGGTCGTGGAATTGACGTCCTTGGTCGTGGATTTTGAATTGGTCACCATACGATCTTTAGTCTGCTCATTTGTGTCCAGGAAGCTTCAATCTTCTCACCCAACACCTTCACGATCTTTAATTGAAGTCATAATTTGATGTCCAACCCCAAACTCCTATCGATTATCTTCCAAGTTGACGATACAAGCTTCCAAAGTATGTACCATGACCTTGTTTCCACACTTGGCCATTTTCAGCCCCACGAATTAATCACTATTTTGAACGCTTGGGAATTTGCATTCTTGATGGCTAGCTTGCTCCAATCAATAGAGAAGCGTTCGTGCAGTTGTAACCAACGCTACTTTGTTCGCTTGGGTGGAGTCAATGGTCATTTCAACTTTAAATATATTATTCGAGCACGAGGTAGTTGATAACTCGTAAATTATGCATGTTTTCACTTCCATTCAGACGACTTTTGTCTTGTCATTTTAGCAATAATCTTATGTTTATCATGGTTTTACGTTTGCTTTGTTGTTGAAATGTGTGCTATGTCATAAGGATTGAATTAGGCAATATTTGGCTTAGAAATTCACAAAGTAAAAAAGTTTTGGAACACTAAATGGCTTATTGAGAACTTGAGATGTGTTTCTTCTCCAAAAATGAATGGTTTGTAATGGAAAAACTTCATATTTGGGTTGCAATGATATCCTCCTTTGAGATATGCACAGTAATCGGATTTCCCTCCAACCTCACTTTTTCATGATGTAGTTATTTCCTTTCAATCATTCCACAAAGCTTTTAGAAGTAAATTTTGGGTGGCAATCCTGTTTTTGAGCATCACCCCTCACTTCTATATTCCCCTCCCGTTTCGAATGCACATAGACTTTTGCATATGCATATATATTTCCTTATCTTGAATTTCACATAAAATTTTCTCCTTTTTTTGCAAAAATTTTGGTGCAACTAAAGGAAAGGCTTTCGTTGACAATGATGAAGCACTTGTCGGTATCTACAAGGTCTCTTTTCCTTCTCTTCGCACTCGTTTTTCTTCTTGCTTTGTATGTCGACGCCAAATGTGTCCCTCGCAACGTAACCCACGACATATCGTTGCCTTCCATTGGTGATGCTAATGACTCGAAGAACTCTAAAGAAATTTCAAATGCTCAACAGACAACGTCATCTAACTCCAACGAGAAAAGTAGTGATGGCGACAACAAACAAAAGGAAGAGAAAAATCCAGATGATGACGATGGTGAAAAAAAGGAAAAGAAATCAAAAGATGATGAGAAAAGCGACGACGACGATGATGGTGATAAAAAAGAAAAGAAATCAAAACAAGATGAGAAAGGCGACGATGGTGATGATGACAAAAAGGAAAAGAAATCAAAACATGATGAGAAAGGCGACGATGACGATGATGACAAAAAGGAAAAGAAATCGGAAGATGATGAAAAAAAGGAAAAGAAATCAAAGCATGATGAGAAAGGTGACGACCATGCTGATGATGATAAAAAGGAAAAGAAATCAGAAGAGGATGAAAACAAGGAAAAGAAAACAGATGATGATGATGACGACAAAAAGGAAAAGAAATCAGAAGACGATGACGACAAGGAAAAGAAATCCGACGATGATGACGATGACGACAAAAAGGAAAAGAAATCAAAACACGACGAGAAAGGCGACGATGATGATGACAAAAAGGAAAAGAAATTAGAAGATGATGACAAAGGCGGCGACGACGACGATGGTGATAAAAAAGAGAAGTCACACGGGAAGGAGAAATGCGACGATGACGACAAGGAAAATTCTTCTTCGTCGTCGTCATCATCAACCCCAATGGACCCCGTCTTGACCCAGAAAGTATGCGGGTCGACTCGGTATCCCAAGGATTGTTTGAGCTCCATAGCACCCTTCTACACAGGGGACACAGACCCAGTGTCAGTCCTCAAGATGGAGGTCCAAGCAGTACGGCAGGGTTTTTCGACCGCAATCGCCAAGGTGAAGCAGATGAAGAAAGAGTCGGATGGGAAGTGGAACAAGGGCGCACTCGACACTTGTGTTGATAACTTCAACAGCGGCCTCACGGATTTGGATAGTGCATTGGAGGCAATAACTGACCATAATATAAAAACGCTACAAACAATGTTGAGTTCGGTGCTGACATACGTAACAACATGCGAAGACGCTATGGACGAGGATCCAGACTCGGATGCACTGCCCAATGTTACCAACATGGAGCAGAAGCTCACAAACTTGGCTACCAATAGCTTGGACATCGCCAACCAGCTCAATTGGACATAATAATAATGATTATTATTATGTTTCAAGGGGAGAGGGAAAATTATCAAATTTGGGGGGTCGAAATGTTGGTTAATTTGATTGAATGTGTGTGTGTTTTTTTTTAATTAATTTTGTTTGATTTGTTTGTCTAGCTAACCCCTGTTTAAATTTATTTAGTTATTAAGATTTGAAAATCTGATTCTGATTGCTATTGACTAAAGGGTACATTAAAATTACATTCTAAATTTTTTTATGTTTTGAGTTATGCCTCCTGTTACAACTTATAATCAAAGAAATTGGTTAAAATTTTCACGGTGTATTTTATACTTTCCCGTGCAATTTTATTTAACAGTCATAGATAAACTTATGTTCATGCAAATATTCCTAATTTTCACACAATCTCGTAGCTCGTCAATCAATTTTGTTATGCAACATTGTAAATAACATCAATCGATTATGCAATTTCGTCAGTATGAGTTATGTTCATTCACTAAAACTATTTGGAAATTTCTACGTACACTCCTCTCGTTTGGTTCGAATGTGACTAAAATTTGAAGTGCCTTGACGATACTTGAAAAATGATATTTTTCCTTTCCCGTTTTAGGTTTCATGTTTTGGTTCCATGTTGCGGCATGTGTCTATATCATGGTCGTGACTTGTGATAGTGTCTCGTGCACTGTCAAGTAAAAAGGTTGTTTTGCAATTCTGAAGGAGGGAGAATCGGGGTTTTGGCAAAAAAAAACCCCCCAAGGGGCGTTCCAAAAAGAGGGAGAGCGATCTAGGAGTGATCTTGGAGCAAATTTGGAGGTTGCCACCGCCCTTGGAGCTAGAAGATCAAGCCTAGACAAGAAGATTGAAGATTTTGGAGCTTTTTACTCTATTATCTCTCCTCTCTATGGAATAGTTCTCCTTCACTTAGGTTTTGATGACCTCTAACCATGCGTAGCTTTATTGTATGATTGTATGAGTACTCTATTTTCATATTCTCGGGTTCCTATTCAATCTATGATTGTATTCACTATTCAATTATACTTTAGCCGAGATTATTGATTCTGCTTTGACCCTATGAGAGGGAATACTTGATTAAGTCTCTACTCTCTAGAGCACTATGGATTAGAAGAGGGGGATCAATAACACAAGAGTGAATTGATTCATTACTATGAATTGAGTGAGAACGCCTTGATCAGTTGTGTTAAACCCTAACGACTAATGGTCAAAGTTGTAATAACAGTCACCCGCTTACTTAACCAAATGTGATTAATTATTTAAAAAATGTGGTCATTTTAAGAATTGTGAAAAGTTCTCAAAAGATTACTTCGTGATATGTTAATTGTATTGCATGTTGCCATATGCAAAATGTCGAGCTCATTCCCTTTCTGAAAAAGGGGTTTCTTAATACAAAGTTATGAATCACCTGGGCCAACTGGCCAAGGAAAGGCCCCAAAAAAATAGAAGGGAGCAGGACTGCAGGAGAGTAGGGAAACTCGAGTCCATGACCTTGTTATTCCCTTCCCGACTCTCCGCAGTCCGCAATGACCCATAGACGTTTGAAAAAAACTGAAATGTAGAAAGTCGAAACTGCCGAATAAACCAGGTCCTAAAGGATACTTCCAGTTTTTTTCCTATTGACCATATCCATATGTGAATTGTTGAAGCCTGTTCTTAAACGTTGTCATAGAAAAACATGATTTCATCTGGCTAACAATACAGGATTCAGAGCACCATCAATGGAGGCAACACAATGTGCGAGCGACAGGGCCAGGTCATTGTTGCTCCGCAGCAGCTTCCAGAGGCCGGAGAGCTTTGAGAGGATTCACGATAACCCCGTCGATGAGTCCATAGTCTTGGGCTTCTTTTGCGCTCATGAAGTAATCGCGATCTGTGTCCTGGTTGATCTTGTCGAGGCTTTGACCAGTATGGTAGGCGAGGTACCCGTTCAGGTTTGCTTTGTGGTGCAACATTTCATTTGCCTAACAAAATTTTATTACTCTAATCAGGTATACCAATTCATCATTTTCAGAGAGCATAAATAACTCCATGAAAGAATGGATTAAGTTCAAAACATAAAAAATTATTGCATACCTGGATGTCTATGTCAGACTGGCCACCTTGAGCTCCACCAAGCGGCTGATGGATCATTATCCTTGAATTTGGCAGGCTGTACCTTTTACCTTCAGACATAGAAAGATGGAAAGAGAGAAAACGTTTGAACTAATAGCTCAGGGCCAGAACAATCAGTTTTAAGTTATGGTTTAAGTATATGGAGACTCTTACCTTTGGTTCCAGCGCTAAGCAGGAAAGCTCCCATACTGTGACAAGTCACAACAACAGCAAAGGAGACATATGTATCATACAGGTGCAATACAGAAAAGAACAGAGTATGACAGTCACAACAACAGCAAAGGAGACATATGTATCATACAGGTGCAATAAAGAAAAGAACAAATCCAAGATGTCGAAACAAGACCCGATCATTTGCTGTGACAATTCTTTTCAATGATCCGCATAGGAACTCTGTTCAGTTTGCTAGACATGATCAAACCTAAGAATTGGAATCAATTTAACGGGCATGCCATCTATCAACCCTTGCTAAGTGGTTTTGGCTTCAAACCCCAGTGGTACAGTTAACTTATCTAGATGGACTCGAGCAAGTCCCATGTCCACAATCTTATATATTAGCATAAGCAGATCATCGAGATATTTAGAGATGGCCCTTCAATTTTCATAAGGTCAATAAACATCCTAACAATTTCTAAGCAGTACTTGGCAAATTGGTGTTATTCTAGACTTGCATAGCACCTAGAGATTCTGGAACTATCATTATGAAATCAAGGAATCCTGGGATGCAATACAGAGTCATATATGATCATATCAACTTGGAACACAATGAATGCATGGCATTCTAGTGGGTTGTGTGCAGAAATAATTACTAATAAAGAATTACGATTCACTTTGCCATTGTCTCTAGGCAATATTAGAGAGTAGTTCTCTCAAGGGTTATACAAAGTGCTAAAGGTTCTAATAGTTTCAGATACAAAGTTTTGTATGAGGTTTAGGCAGGGGTTCCGAATAGGGATGGGGACGACTGTGAACTTTCAACTCTATTTGTGCATGATCAAGCAGATCCAAGCCTGATAATCTGAAATTTCAAAGTCCTCAACTGCTATTAAACATGAAAATTCTAATGCAAAATTAATAAGCAAGCAAATAAAAAATAAGTAATACTAGATTGAGCATGAACCCAATTGTACCACACCAATTCTTAGATACTAGATTGAGCATACAGAAATCGTCTATATTCCAAGACAGGAGAGCATTAAGCAAGCAGGTAGAGGATGAAGCATGACAATGACAAAAGCAATTTAAATACTAGATTGAGCATGAACCCAATTGTACCACACCAATTCCTAGATATCTGAAGAATGCTGATGAAAAGGGTTACCGGGTGTCTTAATAATAGTGCATACAGAAATTGTCTATATTCCAAGACAGGAGAGCATTAAGCAAGCAGGTAGAGGATGAAGCATGACAATGACAAAAGCAATTTAAAAACCATCAAAGATTGTTACCTAGCTGCTAGTCCAACACAGACAGTAGAGACATCAGGTCGGATATGCCTCATTGTGTCAAAGATTGCCATACCTATGAAAAGTAAGCAAACAAACGTCAAGTACAAGAGAAAAAAAAAATCTTCAGCATACTGCAGAAAGTGTGGAAATCAGAACAAAACTTTGAAGAAGGCACAAGAGAAAGGGAAATAGGATATTGGCATTACCAGCTGTAACTGATCCTCCTGGAGAATTTATATACATGACAATATCCTGTTTGGAAAGAGGGAAACCATAAAAACACACTTACTAGGCAATTCAATAAGTTCTCAAACTGTTGCAGCAAACTTATCACAGTGATACCATGCATGATTTCTTTGCCGAATGCATCATAAACCGCATCGCAGCAGAAGGAAAGCATACAAAATGGACTCCAAATCAACTTCAGAAAGGAAAGATTGAAATAATCTTCTACGAACTAGTAATATACTGACCTTATTAGGATCAACAGCATCGAGATAGAGGAGCTGAGCAACAATAATGTTTGCCATATCATCCTCAACGGCACCACCACATCTTATAATTCTCTAATCAACATAATTTCCCATCAAAAAGCACAACAGTCAACCAGGGAACAAATCTAACCACTCAAACAACACAAAGCTGGAAAGTTAGAAAACCCGCAAAATTCTTGCTGGCTCACATATTGGAAAAGCTGCGTAATCACGCTCTGAAAACGCTCGGCAACCATTGGAGGCGGTCCCTGAGCTTCGCCTCTACCGTTGGCATACGTAGGCAAGTACGGAGATGCTGGAACTTCCAAATCATCCCTACACAAAAGGTGGAAAACGGAGATTCAGCTTACAGGAAGCGCAAACGCGAATTATCTCCGGAAGCAAAACCAAAAACTCAAAAAAAAAACCCTACCTTATCGACCAAATTCCGCGCCGAGAACTTGTCTCGGGCGTCCAGAACCTGCTGGAGCCGGAATAAGCAGCGGTCCGCAGATTAATTTGATCGCAGGTCGACTTGCTCAGCTTCCTACAAGTAAAGAGCGAACACAGTGAGTGAACCAGAGTGCGCAAAAAAAAGTGAGCAACACGGAGAGGAGAGAGGATAACCTTGAGCCGAGAGGGCGGAAGGGGAGAGCGAGCTTCCGGGGTTCGGGAGAGGAGATAGGATTGGGGGAGAAGGCGAGAGAACCGAATCTCGAAGCGGAGACGGATGAGGTCGCCATGGGATGTGATTTCGTTGACTGCTCCGACGGAAGGGATGCGAGGAGTGATTATCGGTTTTGGACTCGGGAGGAAGGAGCAGCGAGCGAAGTGATAAGAACTAAGAAGAGGGCAGCTGCGTCGCATTCCCTGCAAGGGCCGGGTCATTAGATAGATGGGTAAACCACTAAACCCACTCGAATCCACCCAATTATAACCCACGCGATATGAGTTTGGGTGGTTATAATGGTCGTGGGCTTGCAAAACCATATGATACATTATGCCACTAATTCCATTCTATAATAATGTACATATTTTTTCTATCTCAAAATATTAATCATGACTAATTCAATTAAATATTAATTATTTTTATAAACTTTTCTTGACTTACAATATAAATCATACAACAATTATTTTAAACGATAATAACCATAAAATTAGGGATGTTCAAACGATGTGGTAACCATTTTAAACGGCGGTATTCGGATAATAGGTTAATTTGGATAGTTCATTTAGTTTGGCTAAAATTTTAGCTTGTTTGATTTAGATGATTTGGTTTCGGTCATTCGTAACCGATCGAACCAATTGAATAATTTAACAATTAGTCATGTATCTAATATACTATTCTCTTGTACTTAATACTTTACATAATCACTCAAGAGTCAAGCGCTCCTCTCTTTTAGGAAAAGCTCATTAATGTTCCTATATTGTATTGTTCTCATATATATAAAGAGAGACAACGATATATGAACAGCTAATTTATGTAAATCTCATACATAACGTGAAATTTTTTTTATCCTTTAATAATTGCTAAGACACCAAGACGATTCACACAAGCACACACAATTCATTAACATCATATCATTAGCACATATTTTTATTATGTGGCTACTTCAGTGAATATAATATAATTTTATTAGTTGTATGTATTTACGTTAAGTGTTAACTGTGTGTAAATTTTATTGAATTATATAAATGATGAATTAAGGCATTTTTTCTTCTTACCTAATGATAATGTTATGTTATTCGTCTATGTTCAAACTTGTTATTTATACTTAGATAATTTCTACAAATCAGAACCGTTGATTTTCATTTTAAGATTAAATGAATCTTATTGGTTGAGTTAGAGTATTGGGGACTGGGGTATACCCACTAAAGGTTAGGGTATAGTTTCATGCATCAAACTCCGGTTAATTCACGATCTAAATAACCAAACGTATGGTAAGATAAGTGTAAACTAACCTCAACCATATATATATATAGTGGTTTCTATCATACATTAAGTAAGAAAATGATATTTAAACCTTGAATTAATCGAATTTTGGGGGCATGATACTATACTGTAACCCTTGATGAGTGAACCCTAGGCCTTGGTTATCTAAATCATAGTCCTTAAAACCTCAAAATTGTGCATGTAATTTGTTGCTTATTGTCAAAATCGAGCAGCTTCATTAGTACGATATTGTCCGCTTTGGACCAAACCCGTACAGTACTACTTTTGGTATCCTCTCCAAAAAGTCTCGTTACGCATAATTATCTTTGAAATGCCACACAGATCTCAAATTCAGAGGTTGCCGAATGAGGGCCCCACCAAACTGACGTTCATTGCCCCGAACCGAAAATGAACCAAGCTCTGAAACCCACTTGTCGAAATAAGGCAACTCCATTATGAGTACGATATTGTCCGCTTTTGATGAAGCCTGCACGGTTTTACTTTTGAGTATCCTACTAATAAGTTTGGTGGGTACTTATATACAAGAATCACTTCCATTGTATTACCGATATGGTATTTTCCCTATTTGGATTGTGTCATAACTCATATTTTTTTACGAATGCAAACTTCAAACACGTTAACGACCTCGCTTGCTTTTATTTTTTTATTGCTCTTTCCAACAAAACACCACAATTAACACGACGATCACAACGAGGTCACAACACAAAGCAAAAGTTAAAACTAGATAGTGATTATATAAACTAACTTCAGATCTATCCACCCATGAAACAAAATAAACATGGTAACATAAAATTTAACCGAAACGATAGTTAAAGAACCTCCCCAACCTATCCCTAGAGAACTTCCACACAGAGAGCGAGAACAAGGGCGTCCCTTTCCACCCGACAACGAGACCCTTGTTGTCATCCTTCTCCACGCTGCACCACTTCCACTGCGGAAACTGCTTGATCACCAGCCCGGCCTGGTACATCGACGACTCGCTGAACCCTAGCTCCACCATCCTGAACCTGGAGAAGAACGCCCTCCACACCTCCAGCTTCACGTTCCTCGCCGTCCGCTCGTTGCCTTCCATGGCCACGATGTTTCTGAGGCCGTACGAGAGCGTGGCCTCGATCATGGTCCGGTGCTGCTCGGCGTCGTCGGCCATGCACGTGTCGAGGCTGTCGAAGTAGGCGCTGTAGTAGAACAAGGCCTCGATGAAGCGGGTGACGAAGACGGGGGAGTTGTGGTTCGCCTCGGCCTCGCTCACCACCATTAGGGTTGGGTGGAGGTTCTTTATCACTCTCATCAAGTTCTGCAAGTAGGAGGGGGACACACAAGACGGATAATAATCAAATTTTAGTTATGGCGATTTTCGTTGGTTGGTTGTGACATTAAAAAAAAAATCAAAACTAGATCGTGATGGCTGTTCTCATTCTCGCATTTCCATCGGACTACGACTAATTCCTTTTGAGAAAAAAATGTACACAATGTTGATGACTAAAGAGATAGTATTTTGGGTCTTGTTTTTTATTCGTTTTTTGTTTTTTGTTTAGAGTTATCAAAGTGGTTCTATATATCAAGCTAGGTTTGTCAATTCTCAACCAATTTTTTTTATGTAAAAAAAAAAGTAGTGAATTCACTTTCTTCTATCAGTAGACTAGCTAGCTACATTTTGGTAGTTAGGGGAACGTAACCACATAAGCTTCATGTGTCATTAACTTTAATTTCATGCATGTGATCTCCACGTTGAAAATGTCAATATATACTACTAAAGCAAGTCATTGTTTGTAAAAATTCATTGGCTGACAAAAAATAGGATGTGTTATTAAGATGTGGTGTTTTGCCAAATAACAGAGTTTGAGATTAAATAATACAAAATTTTTGTCAAATACTTGAAAAGGGTAGATATCTATCAAATATCACATATCAAATAAAAAAAGTTATATTATATGATAATTGGTCCCAGATAACAAATTTGCCATATACTCAATCTAAACGAACCCGTAATTTTAAATCCATTATTCCACTCTAAAAGGAATTTTTTGGACTTATGGTCTAAACTTCATCCATTTTAGAAACATAATTAATGTCGTATAAACAGAACTCGAATTCAAAACTAACCATAGACTCTCAAGATTTAGGATTTGTGTCAGAGATAAAAGAAGAAGAAGAAGAAGAAGAAGAAGAAGAAGAAATATAGCTAGCTAGAGAGAGAGTGATGCAACGTACCTCCAAGCGGTGTGGGCGGGCGAGCAGCGTCCTGAGGACGAAAGAGCAGAACACGACCACCGACTCGTCGAAACCGATCCGAAACGCGTCCTCCCTGAGATCGCTCAGGCTCTCCGCCACGTACACGACGTGGAAGCTGAAGGGGAAGTTGATGGAGCGGGCGAAGCTCTCCAGCCGCTTCCCCGTGTCGTCGACCTCGAACCGCTCCGAGATCCGGACGACGGCTGTGACCCGGAGGTGCTCCACTCCTCCTCCATCGGCCTGGTTCGCCGACAGAGCCTGCATCAGCGCCGTCCAGATCACGCCGCTCCGGATCTCCAGGTCGATGCAGTGCAGCTTCCTCGCCGACCCGACGTTCTCCACGATGGCCTGGACGGCCGTCAGCTGGAGGACCTGGCTGAAGGGGACTTGCTGGTGGAGACAGATGGACGACAGGTTCATACCTGTACAAAATAAAACGTACGTAAGAATCGATCTGTAATAAACCAACTAGTTTCAATAACTAAGGACCATGTCCGTGCATGTATCTATAGTATAATCTATAATCTATATGATCGCTTTCTAAAATGTATCCTCAAACAAAAGTCACCTTATATGGGCAGTGGAGTTGAAGTATGCACAGATAGTATTAGAGTATGTGTAGTACGAGTAGTATCATGTTATACTACGAGTACTGGTAGTGCTAAGAGTTATTATAGAAGTCAATCTTTGTACTCTAGATAAACTTTATGTGATTTCAGTAATAATACATAACAGTTTCCACCGTATTCTGATTTATAAACAGATTTCACATACCGTATCCTTTAGTCGACTGTAAATATCGGGGTTTGAAAGAATTTGAACACGAAATTTCACAATCAAATTAAGCAATATCATAAAACCACTCAAATTGTTGAGAGAGATTGATGTAATATATACCACTTCCTACCATAAATACAATACAATACTTTTCCATTTAGGTAGTGAATCAACGATTCATCTAAGCAGCTAGCTAGGGCATAAAGTGACAAGTGAACAATGAAGTTGTTCTATTATGTATCCATCTATATATATATATATATATATGCACGCCTTAGTGTAAAATTAAGTTGCGAAAGCTCGTACCGAATCCGTTGGAGATCGAACTCGCGGAGGCGGATGATCCGTACACCTCCGGGATCCCAAGGAACAACCTCCCGAGCCCGCGGTCGATCCTCTCGCGGAGCGCCTCGGCGAAGCAGTGCACGACCCTCTGGACCGCGTTGGACCGGTCCGACGCGATCCACTCGCACCGCGTCAGCAGCCTGCTGGCGCGGTCGTAGTGGTGGTAGCCCACCTTCTCGGCCGCCGCGAAGAGAAGGTGGGCCAGCTCCACGTCCATCATCTCCCCCTCGGACAGCGTCGAGGAGAGTGCGTACCCGAACGGGTGCATCAGCATGGTGAAGTCGTCGCACCTCGGTCTGTCCGACAGCTGGATGTACCTCTCTCCAGCAACCCTCATCACCTCCTCCGTCGACAGCTTCCTCTTCTTCGTCGTCGCCGTCGTCGTTTCATCGCGAGATTGGACTGCGTCGAGCTTCCTGAACCCTTTCCCATAGCTTCTGAGAAGCTCCAGCGACGAGGATATGGTAGTAGTAGTAGTACCACTGATATTGTTGTGTTTGTCGCCGCCGCCGCCGCGAGTAATAACGTTCTCCAGCCTCTTCACCTCGTGCATCGGCTGTGACGTGGTGACGAAGTAGTCGTTGAAAGCCATGGTGTTGTTGTTGGGTTTCGATGATGGAAGCTCCGGACGATGATTGAACAGCTGAAGCCCTTTGCCGGGCTGTAGGGCTGCAGGATGATTGGCTTCGAGGAGATCGATCGACGACATGGATGATGGTGATCGGAGGGGGAATATTATTTATGATGATGATAACTAAGTGGATTAGAGGGACGATCTGATGATGATCTAGAGAGAGAGAGATGGTGGAGGAGGGAATTGGGCACTTAATTGGATTAACGAAATAATCAACGAAGAGGGTGATGATATTTGGGGGTATATATCGAAACGAAGGTCTGGTTATGGAGAATGTGTGTGTTTTTTTTTTTGGTGAGTGGAATTACAGTTTTCGCCCCATAAGGACGTGACATGGAGTGAAAGCGAGGTTTGTTTCTTTGTACCGGCCTGCTTGGATTACAGTCAAACTTTGGTGCGGAATAATGTCTTCGGTCCAAGTCACGAAAGAAACAAAACATAAGGAACCAAATGGAATGGGGACATGGAAATTAAAACAGTCTATTATTACTGTCTAATCCATCCCACCTCTCTCTGTGAGTTTTTTTTTTTTTTTTGTTAGATAAAAACAACGAAGTTCCTCTAGATGGGCACAAGAAAGCTTTCAAAGCTCTTTGTGGCAACATGGTATCCCAAATATTATTGAATCGTACTTTTAAAATAGGTTGGTATAGAGTTGGCTAGCTATTTCGAAATTTTCATTCCTCTTGTTCTTTTTTTTTTTTATAGTTAGAAAAAGATATCTAGAGAATACTCATCTGAGTTAGGGATAGCAATAGGCCGGAGTTGAGATGGGTTTTGCCAAAACCCAAACCCATGAGTTTATCCGCTAATAAAACTCGGGGTAAAATCTGTTGGGTTTGAGAAGCTCAAACTCAACCCAACCCAGTGGGTATCCGTGGGTTCATGGGTAACCGTGGATTTTTGTGTATAAAAATTTACAATAACAAGTTTCTTTCAAAATAAAAGTCTAACTTAAATTTTCTCATACAAATTATTCATACAAAAAAACACCAATCATACAAGCAAATCGCAAATAACCCGTTGATTCGGGTTTTGCTGCCATCCCTAATTAGTGTGTCGACAATATTGATGAGTCTGAATAACTCGATTTGTCTGGAGAAATAAATGAATGGATCTTGTCACGTTTACTTAACAAGCTCATTGGTACTTCGGTGGGGAATATGTGTGTTTAATAAAAACGATACACGGTCTCTGACTTCAAGATGATTGCTTTGAAGAGATCGACGAGAATGCAACTTGAAGTCACCAATCTAGCCAAGAGATTGGTGACTTAACAAGCTCATGAGTCATGCCTCATAGCACAAATGGTTTGCCTCCAAAATGCCAAAAAAGTTTGGCCCAGGGTTTCGAAGGAACCCCCTCGGTTTCAATAGGATCGGATTCTATAATTGGAGACAAATCACTCATTGAATGCAACTAACAAAGAGAGAAAAGAGATAAGCTAAGAATAAAGGATGAACACCGTCGCCAGCGAGGCAACCGGGCTCAACCGGAGGAATAGCTCGCAACAAAAAGACTCGAGAGAAAACATATGCTACTTTTTTTTTTTTTTTGGTTCGTGTATCTTTTTTCAATGAAAGCAACATTATCTGGTGGAAATGGTTGTTTTGGTTCGTATAAAATAAATTTGATATTTTTTCCAATCCTTACAAATATTTAACTAAGGGTTGAGAAGTGAGTTGTTGAATGACTACTCTTATAAAATGTGTTCAGTTACTCCATTTATGATGGAAAATAGCTACATACAAACCGTGACAGTGGAGATTATTACATTTTTTTATTTATGAACAGGTGCTTGTATTGCTAAGAGAGATCACGAATATAACGTCTAGAAAGAAGAATTGAATCAAGATCCATAATCAAAGCATGCAATAATTAAGGGCAAATAACTAACAGAAACAAATTTCTTAGACTACATAATTATCACCTTATTTCTCTAACCACCTACAAATGGTAATGAGAGACTCGACATCAATCCCCACAATAAACACACTTTAACCTGTTACATAAAAAAAATTACTGATTAGTTTAGTTTATTTATTATTCGACATCTTCATTTAACCTGCTACAATTAAACATGGAAACCAAAATTGCGACTGTTTGACTGCTTTGTAAGGTTGTCCGGTCATGACTCATGACCGCCGTTCGTTCAACGTCACGACTGCCGCTCCTGGACCTGGTCGGCCTGTTGTTTCAAATTCTTTGACCAACACGTACAAGAAACATAACTTTGCCCATTACTTTCTTTCTTCTTCTTCTTCTCCTTTTCTCGTTCTTTTACCTTCATTTTATTTGACGTATTTTATTTTCCTTTTCACAAAGCTTTTTTCTTTTCGTAGAGCACATGACAACGAGGGATATGGCTAACATGGTTAATTATATCGGATATCACGTAATTATTGGTTTTTGTTGCATACTAACCTGTAATCCCTTAAGTTTTTTTTCGTTGCAGCTAAATCACATAAGTTGACCTCCGGTTGCAGGGTTAATAGCACCATATATTATGCAAGTATTAGTTTCGTTGCATACTAAGTACTTAAAAAAAGTTTTAGTTGTAACTAAACCATACAAGTCGGCTATCGGTTGCACCGTTATATGTTTCATCCGTAAACCCAATGAAGGATTTGAGTCATTATGGATTTGTAACAATCTTTTGTTTGTTGAGATGTTTTACAATGGATTTAAGGGTTATGATTCAGAACTTAAATTCCAAAATTGCCATACAATCCTTTTCTATTTGTTTGTCATGTTTATGATATGTACACAAAACAAGGACAATATGTACTAATAAGCATAATGTTGCCACAAGGACAATAATAATAAACGGAAAAATTCTACTTTAACATTTAACGTAACATAATATCGATTACCAATTCTTTGTCATCCTTTTCAAAAGTAACTTTATAGTTACATATATTAGAACCAGAGAACAAATAATTACACGTTACATGAAAAGGTCAAAGGGAACTAGAACATAAGAAAGGGTGTAAAAAATCTAACTAATGTTTGCACATTAATTGATTATTTATATTATTTATTTGTTGTTAATTAATTAATTATTTATAATGTACAATAGGTAAATGTAAGGACAAATTTGGAATTTTAAAAGTTCACGAGGGTATATGAGTAAAATCTCATCATAAATTTATAGCATGTTACAAATCCCACATCAACATGTGAGATTTACAAGTCTCTGTAGTCCGCGAATTTGTACCCTTAAAATCCGTGTATGCAACCAAACCATGGACATTGTTGAAGATGATGCAAGACATTTGTTTAGTTGGCGGCACTATGCCTCATTTTCCCGCCAAAAGTATCATCCCCTTCTCATCTATTTACCGCCAAAAAGTCCCTCGTCCTCGCAAATCGGCATCACCCTCAAGTCCGCATTCTCACTTTCCAGTTCGGCATCTCCACGACTTCCTCCTTCGACTCCTGCGCATTTTCCTTCCCGGCGAATCATGAAACCTCTCGACCTGACTGCTGAGAAAGGTGAGTTCATTTCCCTCCCTCTTTTGTTGACTTCTTCTTTTTGCTTCGTCTCTCACTGCTTTCTGCTCAGATTTCGCCAAGGAGTTCCTGAGAGAGTTCGTCGATGCAAATGGTGAAGCTAAGTACATGAACATCCTCGTGAGTCTCCTTTCTTCGCTCTGCGAGATTTCCATCCCCCTTTAAAACCTAACATTTGAAAAATGAAAACCCTAGATCTACCCGGTACGCAATTTTTTTTTAAAACTGCGGAATCGAAGGACGACGAATCGAGGAATTGAGCTTGTCTGCTTGTCCGCCCTAACATTTGCTTCGTTTATATCTGCTGCAGCAAGATGTTGCAAACCATAAGGTTCGAGCAGTTCAAATTGAGCTTGATGACGTCTACAATGTGAGTCTCGTTTTCTTTATTTGAGGTGTGCTGTTGTTTTTGTTCTGATATTAGGATACGGAAACCCTAATTTTTGCAAAGTGGCTGCTGGCTGCAGTGGACGGGCGCTGATGAAGATTTCCCTAAACGGGTTACTGAGAATACCAGGCGGTACCTGGGGACCTTTGCCTCTGCGATTGACGAGCTAATGCCTGAACCAACTGAGACGTTTCCGGATGATGACCATGACATACTAATGACGCAGAGGTCCGAGGATCCAACGGAGAGTGCAGATGGTTCTGATCAGCAGCAGAAAATGCCTCCTGAAATCAAGCGTTTCTAGTAAGCTTTCTTCACTGAACCGACACTTAGGTTCGCTTGAGTAGTGCAGTTTGAAAGAATTGACTTTCCTGAGATACTGGGCTAAGCTTGTCATTCGCCTGTTTGTGATTTTGTTTACCTATGAATAGGTCTGTTTCCATTTTCACATTGGGACTACATGCTGTAGCTCACTTCATAGTACGATGAAATGGTAGATGTTGGTTTTGCTTTTGAAACCCTTGCTCACTTTGTTGTTGTTTGAAAATATTGTTCTTCTCAAAATTTTTTTGTTCGAACAGCCTACTTACATGACTACTGCACCCAAATAATTAAAAGTTCGCCATCATGATATGGCTGCATAAAATTTGTTCCGGTATTGATATGGTGCCACTTGTTTCTGGATACAGTGAAGTTTATATTAAAGCAGCTTCAAAGGACAAGCAATTGATCATCAGATCAGTCAAGGCTTCCAATATTGGCCACCTTGTAAGAGTTTCTGGTATTGTGACACGGTGTTCAGATGTCAAGCCACTGATGCAGGTTGCTGTGTATACATGCGAAGACTGCGGCTTTGAGATATATCAGGTAAAGCACAGGGTGATGAAGTATACACTCGATTGTGTACTTTGACTGAAAAGAAGACTAGAAACTGATCCTTTGACCTTTTTATCTGTTCTATTTTGCAACTAAGTATATTGGTCCTCTTGCATTCTTTAATGCCTCTTGCATTCTTTAATGATATTATCTGTTATTTAGGAAGTAACTGCACGGGCGTTCATGCCTTTGTTTAAATGCCCGTCCAAACGCTGTGTAACAAACAACAGAAATGGAAACCTTATTCTGCAGCTCAGAGCATCTAAGTTTCAGAAGTTTCAGGAGGTAAGTCACTGCAGTCTAGTATGCAAGAAAGCCAACAGAATCAGGAGCAAATAATGATCTCTTTGTCTTGTTCTGGTAATGATCTGCAGGCTAAGGTTCAAGAGTTGGCAGAAGATGTTCCAATGGGTCATATTCCACGGTCCATGACTGTTCATTTTAGGGGCGAACTAACAAGAAAGGTGGGTGGCTGACCTAATACCTCTTTCTCGTGTAAAGCATGAAAAGTGATATTGAAGCTGTTAACTTGTCCTCTGCTATCAGGTAGCCCCAGGTGACATAGTTGAATTGTCAGGAATATTCCTTCCAATCCCGTACACTGGATTCAGAGCAATGCGTGCTGGCTTGGTTGCTGATACATACTTGGATGTGATGTCCGTCAATCATTCCAAGAAAAGATATGAAGAGTAAGGCCATTTAAGTTTTTGCTACGGCAAATCACTTGCCAGGCAACCAACGAGTTTCTAGAAACCCTTCCTATTATCATTATTAATTTGTTTTCATTTGTTCCCTCCCGCTACCCAAGTATTGTCTTTAAGCAATGTGAACGAAGAAGGAAGCAATTAGTTGGTGTCTTTTATGTTTGCTTTGTTTGAGTATGTTTAGTAACTGAATCTTAAACTGTCCATTTTTAGTACAGATGCAATGTGCACTAATGAAATGAACTGTTGCTATGTGCATGTTTATGCATTTTTTATTTAGGTTAAGGAAATGTTAAAATCTAATAAGCAAGTGCTTTTATTTTGTAAGTGCAACTTTGATGTTGTAAGCCCTAATTGGTTTCGAATCAGACACTTAGCCTATACAGTCAATGAGTAGCTTACACATCACTAACCTGGTTATGTGCCAGGTATGAGCAGGGAGGAGATGAGGAAGAGCAAATTATGCGGCTGGCCGGAGATGGTGATATATATAATAAGTTGGCACGGTCATTAGCACCTGAAATTTATGGACATGAAGATATTAAGAAAGCTTTACTACTTCTCCTTGTGGGCGCTCCCCATAGGAAATTGAAAGATGGGATGAAGGTACCACGTTCCCTATGCAAAGGCAGTGAGATTTATTGTTTACTATCAGCAGTGGTCTTATTGCATGATTGTGCATCATCCATTTACGTGGAGTTGATAGTAACTTCTACTTCTACTTGTGTCTGATTTTCCTGATAATAAATCCAGATTAGAGGAGATTTACATATATGTCTTATGGGTGATCCTGGAGTGGCAAAAAGTCAGCTTCTGAAGCACATTATCAACGTTGCGCCCAGGGGAGTGTATACTACTGGCAAAGGAAGCAGTGGTGTTGGTCTAACAGCTGCTGTTCAAAGAGATACAGTTACAAATGAAATGGTCTTGGAAGGCGGAGCTTTGGTGAGGTTCATGCATTTGCACATCATATCTGCATATATTTGTAGCAAATCGTTTTTGCTTTCTGCATTTCAATCTGAGTCTTGTAAAGTGAAATAATATTTCACTTTTCGTACCTATCATATATCGTTTGTCAAAAACTTTACTGAGTTCATCATAGTGTTTCTAACTTTTCAGTCCTAACATACTTGTAACTAATGACGGTCTGTTTCAGGTGCTTGCTGATATGGGTATTTGTGCAATTGATGAGTTTGATAAGATGGATGAATCAGATCGTACTGCAATTCATGAAGTTATGGAACAGCAGACTGTCAGCATTGCAAAAGCTGGCATCACCACTTCGCTTAATGCAAGAACTGCTGTTCTTGCTGCAGCTAATCCAGCATGGTATGTGCTTCCTCTAGATTTTGTGACGCTTAAAACCACGCCACCCCCACCCACCAACTGATTAGTGGAAAAGTTTCATTATCTGACTGTCATTTCAATCTTGACATCATGCAGGGGGAGATATGACATGCGGAGAAGTCCAGCTGAAAACATCAATTTGCCTCCTGCTCTTCTATCAAGATTTGATCTTCTATGGTTGATTCTTGATCGAGCAGATATGGATGCAGATCTTGAACTGGCTAGGCATGTTGTTTATGTGCACCAAAACAAGAAATCTCCTGCTCTTGGCTTTGATCCTCTTGAACCATCTATACTCCGGTGAATACTAAACTTTTGATATCTCCTCAATTAACACACTAATTTCCTTAGTCCTTGTGCTGCTTATTCTTTTGATACTCCAAGGCTTGGAATTTTTCTTTTCTTTCAAGTCTCTGAAAATTCTTTATTTGTTTATCAAAGCTAGTGCTGTCTGACCTATCCATATGATGCAATGCTCCCCTGTCATTGTTCCATAATTGTACACAGCATTCATATAAGCAAAATTGAAAAACTAGCTAGCCTAGAGTTGTCTATTAAAAAACAAAATGATAACAGAGAAAAAAGAATGATTCAGTTGTCTGCTAGTGAGAATTGTTGAGATGCTTTCAACTGCTTGTTGTCTATTAAAAGCAAGATGGCGAGCTGACAGCCGCTTGTGTTGCAAATTCATTGTAGTGCATATATTTCTGCTGCAAGAAGATTCTCGCCATATGTGCCCAGGAACCTTGAGGAGTATATTGCCACTGCATACTCCAGCATTCGTCAAGAAGAAGCCAAGTCAAATGCTCCTCATTCCTACACAACAGTCCGAACCCTGCTTAGCATTCTCCGAATATCAGCTGTAAGTCCTTGTTCTCATTCAATAGCCAGATGCAGCTATGCTGGCACAAATGGATCACAAAATTTCACAACCCAAACATGAACAAACGAGTTTTGCATTTGGTTTTCCTTCTTCACAAAGCGGAGTGAGTTGCAATTGAATCCCTTATTAATATGTTATTTTGAACTGTTACACTTACATTATCTATGCAAACTTCGTTACAGGCCTTAGCAAGGCTCCGATTCTCGGAGACCGTGGCACAAAGTGATGTTGACGAGGCGCTTAGACTAATGCAAATGTCGAAGTTCTCGTTGTATTCCGAGGAACGTCAGAAGTCTGGTCTGGACGCCATCTCTGACATCTACTCAATCTTGCGGGATGAAGCTGCAAGAGCCGACACAATGGATGTGAGCTATGCTGATGCTCTTAACTGGATATCTAGGAAGGTAAGTCGAAGTCGAACAAACTGTCATTTACTTGAGCCTGCCAGCAATGGGTAATAAACAAACGGTCTGATGACTACAATTGTAGACTGAACTTAAAATAGTTTTAGCTAGAGGCATTATTATTATTATCTATTGAAAGCCTTCATTGTAGTTCTGACCGGAGTTTTTTTTCTGGCGTGGGTTTGAAACAACAGGGGTATAGCGAGGCACAGTTGAAAGAATGCTTGGAAGAATATGCTGCTTTGAACGTGTGGCAGATTACTCGCCCCGGCTTCGACATTCGGTTTATTGATGCCTGAAAACTGGAAGTCCTGTTTGTTACTAAAGATTGGCTATGCCTGCGCGCTGCGGCTTTTGCTTCGGATCTTCTTTTCCCCTTTCTTCCTGGGGAACATTAAGTGTGTGTAACGAATGTTGTATTAGGCATTGCTGACATATTGTTATTGCTTCGTTTTGGTACAAGGACAGCTAGTTAGTTGATGACTTGACCAAATTCTTCAACTTTACATGATCTGTTGAAGTAGTTTTGATTGCTTTCTCGACAAACAATGATCTATGTAAGCTCAGGGTGCTCCTTGACCAGCGAACTGCCCTGAAGATCCTTGAGCGTCGAAGAGGATAGTCGCCATTGAACTCTCACTCTTTGGTACCTTGATCTGCAGAATCGCGACGAGGAAGTTGCTGTAGAAGAACATGAAGAAGTTGAGATCGAGTATAGAAACATGCAACTCCATAATTTATGTTGTTCTTTCTCACAGCTTACTCCATGAGTGAAGCTATTTTTTCTTAGCTTCTGCAGCCAACTTTAATGTACCCAGCCGAGTCAAATTGACTAGGTCAAAGTGGCAAGTTACAATACCAATCAGTAAATAACAATCTCTACGGAGAATTAGAGAGATAGATTGTCTCTGCAAATTACAAAACCATATACTAATTTCTACACTTTCCTTTGAGCTGACGAATGAAGATTTACAAATACCAAACTTGAAAACAAGTGAAACTCCTCAGCGTCCAACATCTTAGTGAAAATGTCTATACGTTGATAATTAGAGTCGATCTTACGAGAGATAATGTTTCAAGAAAATACTCGTTTACGGACAAAATTACAATTCACTTCCAAAAGCTTGATGAGTTTTGCCCAATGCCGTAGTGAATTTGTATGCAGGCTGATATCTAGAGCTGATCGTGCAAGAGTTGATGCCACAAGAAAGTACTCGTTCACCTACAAAATAACAATTCATTCCTATCTGTTAAATGAGCTCATGAAAACTCATATTTTATAGAGATCGAGTCATAAAATTTTGAGTGAAAAAATTTAAAATTCAAATTAAAATAAATGCGAATTTTTTATAGGAAACAAATTAGATATTTAGCCATTGAAATCACGAAACCAGAACTGTAAGCAAGCAATCGAAGATGGTAATCATTCCTAAATTAAATAAACAAATAACAAAGCACAGCTGGCGTCATGCTGCACGCCAGCAATAACACGGACGCCACTCTTTTTGTTTTAAACGTTTTATTTATTATTTTCTCCGCAAGCTGGCATTTCTTTTACGAAGATAATTGAACCCGAGGGTCGCAGTTTTTTTCTATAAAAACAAATCCTCCATTGTTGTGAAAACCTTCTTTCTTTTCCGCCTCCTTCGCCATTCTTCAAATTGCGATTTCATTCAGCTAAGTCTCTGTTTCTCAGTCTCTCTCTCTCTCTCTCTCTCTAGGAGTTCTCTTCTCGATCTTTGCTTCTCCCTCCCTAATTGTTTCTCTTCGTCCGTCTCTCTGTCTCTCATCTAGATCTAGGGTTTCCCTCTTGTTCTTCATTTCCGTTTCCCAGATCTATTTCAATTTGGAGGATTACTTTGGTGGTGCACCGTTTATGGAGTATCGATGATCTCAGAAACCCTATGACTCTCGCCATCCTCATGCGTCGGATCCGAATCCTCCATTCTTTCTCCGTCGTCTTCCTCTACTGGTTCTACGTCTTCTCATGAACTGATTGCCCCCCCCCCCCCCCCCCCCCCCCCCCCCCCCTCTAGATTGATCCGGTACTGTTAGAACCCTAATTCTGATAACATAATTTTTTTTGAGATCTCGCAAATCAATTAGCGCAACCAAAAAAAAAAAAAAGAAGATCGGTGTGATGTCTCCGGCGATACAAAGGCAGGCGGCGAGCTCGGGCTCGGGATCGGACACGGATCCACGGTACGCGAACGTGGACGAGAGGAAGAGGAAGAGGATGATCTCGAACAGGGAGTCGGCGAGGCGGTCGAGAATGAGGAAGCAGAAGCAGGTGGAGGATCTGGTGAAAGAGACGGCCCAGCTGCAGAAGGAGAACGCGCAGCTCGGGCAGCAGATCGAGGTCAGCGGCCAGAGGTTCAGAGAGATCGATTCGGCCAACAACATCATGAGAGCTCAGGCGATGGAGCTGACGGATCGGCTCCGGTCTTTGAATTCGGTGCTGGAGGTCGTCGAGGCCGTCAGCGGGTTCGCCGTGGATATTCCCGAGATACCTGACTGTATGCTGGAGCCGTGGAAGCTTCCCTGCCCGACGATGCAGCTTCCCATCATCGCATCCGCCGCCGCCGGCGACGCGTTGCAGTATTGAATGGTCAAGGGAGAAGAAGAAGAAGAAAGGGTTATCCGTAACGGGGCCCCGTCGCTTACTTTTGTCTGATTGGTTGTTGGGTTATTAGGTATTGTGGGTTCGTGGTGGGGTTTTTTGTAGGCGTATGAATATGGATTGGTGGGTGTGGTTTGTTTTGTCTTTGTTCTTGCTTTTTTCTGCAGACTTTTGTCGCTGTTTCAATTAGTGCTCTGCTGGTAATGGTGGTTTCTGTCAGGTTATAATAAAGTATTGTCAAATTGTTCATTTTGGTTGTGATGGGAAAAGCGTATGGTGTTTGTTTGGTGCTCCTATCGTGATGATTATTATTTAGGCTTATCCTTAGCTTCGTTTCGTTCTAATTGTTGGTGGATTTGTCATTGGCGTCGTGGGCAATTTTTGACCAGGATGTTTAGAAATTGTGCCATTCTGATTGGGTCAAGTTACAATTCAAAAAACAACAAAAAAGTGAAAAACTTGGAGATGATAGTGAGGCTGGTTTTCATTGTAGACTCAAATGAGAAGGGAGGTTTTGAAACTTAAATTTTTATACTTTTTGTTTTTTGTACTTGTGGATAATATTCGTCTAGTAAAAAATATTATACCTATAATTTGTACAATAAAGTTCATTAAACATGTCATGTATAGTAAAAAATATTATACCTATAATTTGTACAATAAAGTTCATTAAACATGTAAATTTTTGGTTTTTAGCTTCTAAACGGGTCTAATAACCATGGAGTTAACAAAGATACAATTATGTGAATTCAAAACATCTAATCCTACAAAATCTATTAATCTACATGTAGGAATACCCATTACCAATCAATCATGAATGCCTAGGGGTGGGAAAATGGTTGCTGTTTCGCGGTTACACTGCCAACTGCACCCAAACTGCAAACCGAATATGAAGGCTCTTACGCTGTCGACGTCGTGCTTAGCAAAATGCTATGTTTTCAGTTTGTAGTTTAACCGCAATTGAATAAGGGGTAACCGATTTACTAACATCAATTAATAATTCAAATAGGCCTTCACAACATGCAATAGCCTCTTTAATCAGAATTAATTAAGATTGTGAGTGAATGACATAAAGTCCAAAGTGAATGAGTACTTGAGCTCTCAAACACACCATCGTGCACACAAGTAGCAATTCGACAGGGCTCGTATAACATAAACCAGCTGTTGCGGTTAACCGCTAACCGTTTTCAGTGCAGTTGCAGTTGGCGAATATGGCTTTGCTTCTATTGCAGTTAATCGCCAATTTTGATGCGATTAATTGCAACCACATTGTTTCCCAGCCCTATTGATGGACTGCAACCCAATCTTGAATGTTCTGTTCCAGTTTGAACGCATAAAAAGTTCTTACATTGCCTTCATATACCGACTAAGTATTAGGAACAATATTATAGACAGGAGATTACATGTACTGCTCTGAAAATACTCCAATAATTTCGACGTATACATGTTAGGAAATTGCTTAACCAAGTCACTACACAAGAAACGAGAGCCAGAAAACCTGTTGCATGCATAAAACACTTATATCTCATTTTCAGCTCTCTCGTTGTCCATCATTCTCTCAAAATACTTGAAGAACCCGCTAATGCTAAAATTTGACTATAAATGTCTAATGTTGTTGTTGTAAGACTTGTTTAACTACATGCTCGTCGTACTCGCACCAAACGGATTTTTCACCCACGCCAATGATTGCTTCTGCCTAACATTGTGGATACCCTCTAACCAACTATGCCTCATGGAGCCACTTTCCAGGAAAGTAGTTTTCCATCATCTTCTTTCAATTGTATTCAAAATCAGCATCGTCATCAAATACCTAAGCTCACAATAAAAAGTCCAATCACACAAGAAAACCTAGAATTGTAGTTGCAATATGTGTCATATGCCATGTGAGAACTCATGGAAATAATTGAAAAGTTCTCACATTACGCCAACAACCACAACTTGGTCACTAAACATGGATGTAGATCTCTTACTTCTCATGCATGCACAAAAAATGCGTTGAACAACCATTCAAAAGTTGTTGACGTCTCATCATAGATTAGAGTATCCTAAAAATAATAAGTTGGCTATGGTGGTTGAAACGATCAAACAAAACTACAAAACACAAATAACAAGGTCAAAACATAGCATATTAACCCAAAAAATAACACAAAAATGCTAACTTTACCATTCTGGTAAGGACTAGCAAACAAAAATGGAACTAACAGCCTACAATGAGCTAATACCACCATAATTATTAAAAAATCGCTTCATCACCAAACCGGCGGTGACAGGAGATCCCCGACCTGCAATAATTGCTGCAACAATTGACTTCAGAGGTCGTTTGGATGAGTTATTCGTATGAGAAATTTGAATGTTCTTGCAATGAATTCGGTATAACTCATAAATTTTCTACTTTAAGAACTTCGCATCAAGATGGAGTTGTGAAAAGGAAAAAATTGAGCCTTACATCATGCGAGCTCGGCTCCGTATAGAGTTGGATCCATAGCTCAAGCAATGTCACATGATTATAGCTTACCAAAACACTTTTCGGAAGAAGTCACAGATATTGCATGTTACATTACTAATTTGAGTCATAATTAAATTTGGTATCAAGCAAACTTCATATGACACTTGGAAAGGAAAAAAAAAATTAATCGAAGTTATTTACATCCCTTTGGTAGTAAATGTTTTGCATTAAACACAAAAGATCATCTTGAAAATCTTATGTGTTCTCTAGATACTTATTGATGAGGCGTATAGAGTGTTTAACAAAAAGACTCTCAAGGTAAAATAGTTCATAAATGTTATATTTGATATATCTGTAAATGAGTATACGTATAAGATAGACGAGGATGCTTTTTGACACAAAAGAAAATCTGAGGGGTCATTTGGATGAGAGATTAATATCAATTATGGTCACTCGAATTACAGAAACTGGTCACATTTAGTCGCTCTCCGTTAGTCTATGTCCAACTCCGTTAAAAGACTCCGTTATGTGCTGATGTGACTAACGAGAAAGCCTAATCAGCGTCGTTTTGGGCCATAAATGGTCAAACCCGACCCGCCACGTCACTAAACCCATCACGTCATACCCCCAACCCAACCCATGAACCCAACCCGACCCACTTAACAAAAGCAAACCCTCCATCTCTCTCCTCCACCCTCATCTCCCAATTCCCTTCCTCCACAAAGCTTGAGCTTCATCAATGACGTTTCTCCAAACCCTCTTCATCAATGGTGTAATTGGGCTAGATTGGATTAAGGGCTCGTTGGCTTCATGGATTTGAAAAATGAAGGTTTTGGTTAAAACCTGAGTTTTACAAAACCATGGATATATGCACTTCAAGTTGGTAATTAGTAAATGAAAGAGAATGAGTAGATTATTAGTGAAATAAGTAGGGTTAAAATTGTAAAAAGTCATCATGGACTTTGTACGGCCCCAACACAAATCTCATCTCTTGGGGTGGAATTCTCAAGTCCGTGGGCCCTACGAATTTATTCCTCCTAAATCCATCAAGCAAAGGACGGATTGTGTACAAAGTCCATGATGCTTGGTTTTTACGTATCAAATCCATGATCAATTCCATGAATATCAAATCCATGATCAATTCCATGAAGCAAACTAGACCTAAATCTTTGATCCATTACCAAACACATAATTGGGCTACATCCCACCTCCAAAACCGGAGATTTGGACTTCAAATCCCTCATTATAAAAAACTTTGATCCAAACGACCCCTAAGAGGCTAAGATATAAAAGACTAGTTCGCCAAACAAAGATAAAACCGAATCTAGAACAAGCATATCCTTGAAACCAAGATAAAGCAATAGCTATTAGCTATGTCACAAACCCCACAAGACAAGCCAGAGCAACATAGAAAGACTAATCTGAAACACCCTATACATCTTCCAATGGCGAAATATCCAACACAAATGAAAGACCATCAAAAACTGAACACAGTATATCAAACACCCTATTCAAGAAATATGTATATCAGCAACCATCATCAGCTACAACAAGTTCATCATCATCACCAACAACATATATCAATTAATTAATCATCACAGAGCGGGAACCACACTTCAAATATTTCAACAACCCAATATACTGAATCCCCACATCCCTAATTTTAAACATCTGATGCTGTTTTATCACAGTACTTAAAAAGAGTATTCTGTATTCTCAGATTAACAACAAGAGCAACCCTTTCCCTTCCATACAAAGCACACAGAGTTGGGTTAATTGTCGTAGGTGCGGCACTCGTCGGTCTCCGGGTTTTCCTTGCAGTAGGCCTCGAGCGGGTCGGACGACTTCGCCTTGTCCCGGGCGTGGCTCGCGGCGGCGCTCAGCTCCTCCACCTCGTCCCACGCCGCCACGCACTCCCCGCTCGCCGGATCCTCCGCGCACGTCTCCTCCGCCCCCTTGATGCTCTCCTCCACCTGGCTCTGGATCTGATCCGGCGCCGCCATCACCGGCCGGAACCCTCCCAATCTTCCTCCCTTCTTCATCGTCGCCGCCCCCACCGCCAGATGCTGCTTCATCGACAGGAGCGCCTGCGGCTGGGACCTAGGGGATTCCGCCATCGCCTTCCAGCTCGCTGGGGCGGTTGAGATGGTGCTGAGACCTACTGCTGCCATGGCTGCCATTCTTTCAAGAGAATTCGGATGGTTCTCTCTCGCGAATCGGAATTTTTTTTTTTTTTTTTTACTTGCTCGCTTTGCGGGAGGATATGGTTGTTTGAGGCGGTGACGAGGAATCGGGTTTACATATAATCGGAAAGTGGGATGAATTTGTGACGCTCGTTTCTTATCATCTCGTAGCCAATGGGTGGTCGCCACGTAAGGGGGAGGACGAGATATTATTTTGGAGAAAAACGTCGTGATATTTTTGTAAGGAAATGTCCGCCTCTGCTAATTTGTTGTTTTCCCGCCAAAGTGGCGTATTCATTTTGTTTTTCTCGTCCATCTTCTTCAACTTGGAAGTTTATTTATACGAAGAAGAAGAAAAACTCTGAATTTTATCAAAATAAAAAAAAAAATGGTATAAAGCGGAGAATCTTTTATAGATGATTAATGATTTGAATGGTTGGCGTTAAACTACCAAACCAAATTGTTTTGGGGTTTATTATTATGATATTATGTCTCCAACTAATGACATTTTGCTTTAATGGGAAAACCAACATATCAAAGTCTCCAAGTTTATCGTTTTGTTTCAATCTAGTGTAGTGTGTATTTTATTATTTTATTTAAATCATTTGTTCGTTATTTTTATATAGTGGTAATAGTTAATTAAGATTAAAAATTTGAACATATTTTGTATAATAAAATATGACGTCATCAAAGGAAAAAAAACACAAAAAAGGAAGAGTGTGGAAATAAGAGAAAGTTTTTTTTATTTGATGGGAAGATGATGAATTATTTTTTTGTGATAAGAAGGGGAGAAAATTTTGGAAGTGATAAAAGTAGATATGACGAAATGTAGTGTATTTAACAGGGTTCAAGAGAGTGTAATTTTGTATACATTTAGTCCGTTTAGTTGCGATTAAGCATGTGGAAACGAGATTAGACAATTCAAGGGGGTAGGTGAACACTAATATACAAAGGGGGTGTTCCCTTGCATTTCCAATGTGATACTTGGATTGTACCATATCGATCCTCCCCTCAAGAGAAGGACAACGAACTTTGTATCCTTCCCTCATCGATTATCTTGATATGTCAGATACCTTGTACCAACATGCTCTTCGACAGAAGGATTTACTAGATGCATATCTCGGTTGATATTCCAGACTGACGCATATCTCCTTTGATATGCTAAACATATGAAGATCTCAAATCCTGAGGTCATTGAATGAGGATTCACCAAACTGACGTCCATCATCCCAAATCGAAATGGAACCAATTTTGATACCACTTGTTGAAACCAGGTAGCTAATTTTGCTTTGGGCCAACCCGCACGGATTTACTTTGGATATCCTCCCTAAAAGGTCTCCTACCACTAATTAGGTTCAGTGGACACTAATATACAAGGATATCTTCTCTTTTATTTTTGATGATGTACTTGAACTATCCTATAACAATCCTCCATGCCTCAGCGATTATCTTGATCTGTCAGACCATATGTAGATCACCTTTTATCTACCAGAAAGACGCAGACCTCCCTTGATCCGTCAAACAGACACAACTGTCAACTTGATACGCTAAACAAATTTACATCTTCCTCGATCTGCCAAACAAGGACATATCTCAAATCTCGAGGTCATCGGATGAGAGGGTTCTACCAAACTGACGTTCACTCTCCCGAAATGAAAGCGAACTAGGTTTTGATACTACTTGTTGAAACCAGGTAGCTCAATTAGTACGATATTATCCACTTTGATCCAAGTTCGCCCTAATTTACTTTTAGGTATTCTCCCTAATAGTCCTTGTACTACTAATTGGGCTAAGTGGACACTAATATATAATGACATCATCCCTTGTATTTCCAATGTGGTATTTGGATTGTGCCATAACAATCTTTCCCCCTCAACAATTATCTTGATCAGTCAGACCAGATGTATATTACCTTTGATCTACAGACAGACGCAGACCACCTCCATTGATCCGCCAAACAGACGCAAAACTTTCTCGATCCGTCAAACAAACACAGATTTCAAATCTTGAGATCACCGACGCGAACCAAGCTTTGATACCAGTTGTTGAATATTGTCCACTTGGGGCCAACCTCGCACAGATTTACAAAATTTGGAGGTCACTGGATGAGGGTCCCACCCAACTGACGTCCACTATCCTGGATCTGAACACCGACCTAGGCTTTGATACTAGTTGCTGAGACCGGGTAGCTCCATTAGTATGATATTGTCCGCTTTGGGTCAAATACTAAGGTCACCGGATGAGGGTCCCACCCAACTGACGTCCACCGCCCTATATCTAAACGCTAAACCAAATTCTAATACTAGTTGCTGAGATCAGGTAGCTCTTTTAGTACGATATTGTCCGCTTCCATCCATACCCAAATAGATTTAATTTTGGGTATGCTCACCAAAATGCCTTGTGAGCACTTCTACTATGTTATATAGCATTGGTGCTTTAATGTACAACTTGAAGTTGTACAATAACATTAAATGTATAAGTTTAGGTTGTACCATAAAGGAACTTGTATCATTATGTTATGGTACAACTTTACAACTTGAATTTGTACCATCACACAAGGTACAAGTTTAACTTGTACCATAAAAGAATTTGTACCTATAGAGAAGTTGTAAAGTACAATATGAAATTGTACCATAACGTTAAAGATACAATTTCAAGTTGTACTATAAAGGCAAAAACCTATAACACCAATGCTATATAACATTGTAAAATTCCTCCGTATGCTAATTGAATTAGATGTACACTAACATACAATAAAGTTGTATTAACTCTTTTCTAAAAATGCGGGAGTGTCCATCCACTTGTATGGTATGGCTACGTATGACCTTCTCATCGGATAGAGAAGCTTTTGTTAGCATTTTTTTTCCTTTAAACTATTGCAACACCATTGCGACACATCAACACTAGAAAGTGGAGAAGGAATATCGATAGAGGTAAAAAGACGAAGACGATGATGCGCTTTCACAAAATTTATCATCGACTCTCTGTCTCCCTTCTCCCTTCACCGCCCCCTCCTGCTCTCCCCGCTGCTCTTGAAATCAATCTCCGTCAATTTGCCTCCGGTCACCTGAGAACTCAACTCCTAAGCTCTGCCCGCCGGCGGCGCTCAATCATGTCTTCCCCTCGTTCTAGGCTGCGGAACCTAGCCCCGGTCAACTCGGCAGCAGAAGATGTTGGCGGCCTATCCACTGTCGCCGGCACCGCTGCTTCTTCCACCGATGTCGCCGACTATTACGAAGGTCTGCGGATGGTCTTTCTTCTGAAATTGATTGAGTCTCGTTGGATTACTGTTGGATTCTTTCGTCTCTGTATGTCGAGTAGTTGAGCATGCTTCTAGGTCTGGTAATTTCTTTCCTCGATCAAGTAACTCTACCAGAATGGCTGCCGAATCTCTGAGCTCTTCAGCGGATTTTCTCTGGTTTGATTGGTTGCGGTGACTGCTTCGTTTACTTTGCCTTTGTGAATAGCTCGCTGAGCTCTTGAAACCTCTAGAGAAGTTGAAGCATCAATTTCTCTGGTTGATTGACTGTGCTAACTTCTTTGATCCCTTTGCCTCTGTGAAACACCCTGTCAAAATGGCTGATGAATCTCTGAGCTCTTTACCACTTGTAGGGGAGTTTAAGCATAGATTGATTTCTCTTATTTGATTGCATTTGAAATGCCCAATCTCTGAACTCACTGAAGCTTGTATGCTGAATTGTTTTAGTTTCTTCTTTAACCCTGTTTCTGTACCCCATTTTCTTTAATTCGTAGAAGCGACAGAGGGAAAGTATCAAATTCCTCCACCGGCGATAAGAGACATCGTTGATGCGCCACCCCTCCCTGCATTGTCGTTTTCACCTCAGAGGGACAAAATTCTGTTTCTGAAGCGGAGGGCTCTGCCTCCGCTGTCAGAACTAGCTAAACAGGAGGAAAAGCTGGCTGGTATGCGTATAGATGGCAAGTGCAACTCTAGGAGCAGGATGTCGTTCTACACTGGAATTGGCATTCATCAGTTGATGCCAGATGGTAGTCTAGGGCCAGAGAGGGAGGTTTGTGGGTTGCCAGAGGGGGCCAAAATCAATTTTGTTACTTGGTCCCTGGATGGTAGACATTTGTGTTTCAGCATCCGCCTTGGTGAGGAGGAGGAGGAGGATAACAACAGCAGTAAGCTGACTGTATGGGTTGCTAATGTGGAAACTGGGCTAGCTCGACCACTGTTTCAGTCGCCTGATATTTATCTAAATGCTGTTTTTGATAATTTTGTGTGGGTGGATGACTCAACTTTGCTTGTTTGCACCATCCCAAAGTCTCGTGGGGCACCACCCAAGAAACCTTTGGTCCCATCTGGCCCGAAAATTCAGTCTAATGAGACTAAGGACATTATCCAAGTAAGAACCTTCCAGGATTTGCTGAAGGATGAATATGATGAAGATCTGTTTGACTACTATGCCACCTCACAGCTTGTTCTAGCTTCTCTGGATGGGACTGTGAAGGAAATTGGCACACCAGCTGTATATACATCAATGGATCCTTCACCAGATGAGAAGTATCTTATGATCAGTTCTATTCACAGGCCATATTCCTATATTGTGCCATGTGGGAGATTTCCAAAAAAGGTAGAAGTGTGGACAATTGATGGGAAATTCGTGAGAGAGCTTTGTGATTTGCCCCTTGCGGAAGACATTCCGATTGCCTTCAATAGTGTTCGCAAAGGAATGCGCTCAATCAATTGGAGATCAGATAAGCCTGCAACTATCTATTGGTATGTCATTGAAATTTGCCCTCCACTCTCAGTGGATGACAATTAGAAGATGTATCGTATAGAGGCGTCGCTGTATATTGTTGTTTTCTTGTGTTTCACTATGTTTTCTTTAGGGCAGAGACACAGGATGGGGGTGATGCAAAAGTAGAAGTATCTCCTCGGGATATCATCTATAGTCAACCTGCTGATCCGGTAGAAGGTGAAGAACCAGAAATCCTGCACAAGCTTGATTTTCGCTATGGGTATGAACTCTTTGAATAGTTTTGAAAGCATGTAAGCTTGATTACCTTCTCTGAATTGTCTAGACACGGGGTCTGGAATCCTGTATGATGTAGTGGTGTTAGTTTGTCGCTGTTTCAAATAGCGTGCATTTGAAACTAAAGTTGAGTGTTCTTTTAATCTTTTGTTTCCTTCTCGACAGCGGAATTTCTTGGTGTGATGACTCACTAGCCTTGGTTTATGAATCATGGTACAAGACAAGGCGGATAAGAACCTGGGTAGTATCTCCTGGATCTAAAGATGCTACTCCACGCATATTATTTGACAGGTCATCAGAGGATGTGTACTCTGATCCTGGTTCTCCCATGCTGAGGAGAACAAGTGCTGGTACGTATGTGATTGCAAGGATAAAGAAACAAAATGATGAAGGCACATATCTTCTGCTGAATGGAAGTGGTGCCACGCCTGAAGGGAATATTCCATTCCTTGATCTTTTTGACATGTGAGTATCGTGCGATTACCTTTACCGTACGTGCTCTGGCATATGTATGAAAATGTTAATTTTTGGAACCAAATTATTTCAGAAATACCGGCAGCAAAGAACGTATTTGGCAAAGTGACAAGGAAAAGTATTTTGAGACTGTTGTTGCATTAATGTCCGATGACAATGAAGGGGACCTCCACCTAGATCAGTTAAAGGTTTTGACATCCAAGGAGTCGAAAACGGAGAACACCCAGTATTATATCCAGAAGTGGCCAGAAAAGAAAGCATTTCAGATTACAGCTTTCCCTCACCCATACCCACAGTTGGCGTCCCTGCAGAAGGAGATGATTAGGTATCAGAGAAAAGATGGAGTTCAACTGACCGCAACATTGTACTTGCCACCTGGCTATGATCCCTCCAAAGACGGCCCACTTCCTTGTTTGGTATGGTCTTATCCTGGGGAATTTAAGAGCAAAGAAGCTGCAGGACAGGTTCGTGGTTCTCCTAATGAATTTCCAGGCATAGGGTCTACATCAGCTCTTCTTTGGCTAGCTAGGAGGTAACAGTAAGCTTAATCTTTTGTTCCTTGTTGTACTTCCTAAGTATGGACTTTTAGGAGAAGGTTTATATCTGTACTGTCTGGTCTGTATTCTGCAGGTTTGCCATTTTATCTGGACCAACAATTCCTATTATTGGGGAGGGCGACGTGGAGGCTAATGACAGGTGGTGCCTATTTGCATTTTTCAAGTGCATCTTTGTCAGTGCTTGTTTCATTATTCAAATTTACATGATATTGTATTAACTCATCAACTTCAGTTTCCCTTTTCTGGATTATGTTCTCACGATTGACGGAGAAGGATGCCATTTCTTTTCTTCAAATAATTTTGTCAGTTTATAAAGTGAACAGAAAGGGGCACTTTTCTTCTTGCATGGTGGAGGTTAAGAGTATCATTTGCATTCTGCCATGTGATTTTGATATAAAACAACTTTGTTGACAGCTATGTAGAACAATTAGTTGCAAGTGCTGAGGCAGCTGTTGAGGAAGTCATCCGACGTGGTGTAAGCTTGTTCAATTCTGTCGAATTACGAACATGCATTGCATATTAAAAGCAGCAAATTAAATCTGACGGGCAATTACTTTTGTGCTGTCAAAAAGGTTGCTCATCCCAGCAAAATTGCGGTTGGTGGACATAGCTATGGTGCCTTCATGACTGCAAACCTGTTGGCGCATGCCCCTCATCTTTTCTGCTGTGGAATTGCTCGTTCAGGAGCTTATAACAGAACACTTACACCTTTCGGGTTTCAGGTTAGCACAATAGATAGATAGTTAGCATTCATAGTAAACACAAAACGGAAAGATGATTTTATGAAGGCACATACATTCTGACGGCACAATATCTTTGTCCTGGCTGATTCCACGCTCTCTTTCCTTTTTGAATGCAAAGAATGAGGATAGAACTCTTTGGGAGGCTACGAGTACCTATGTCGAGATGAGTCCTTTCATGTCAGCCAACAAAATTAAGAAGCCAATATTGCTTGTCCACGGGGAAGAAGACAACAACTCAGGAACACTAACCATGCAGGTATTCTGTGTTGTTATTATTGCTGTCCCTAAGAGTTCATATACTGTGAGGACTTATTACAAGTTTCAGTTACTAATGGGGTTTATCATTTCGATTTGGGTATTGGGCGGTGATGTAGTCGGATCGATTCTTCAATGCTCTAAAAGGTCACGGTGCGCTGTGTCGCTTGGTCATTCTTCCGTTCGAGAGTCATGGGTATTCTGCGAGAGAGAGCATAATGCACGTCCTTTGGGAAACAGACAGATGGCTGCACAAGTACTGTGTCCCAAACACCTCTGATATAAATGCCGAGCTCGATGCATGCAAAGACAATCCAAGTCAAGAAACCAGTGAGAGTAAAGTTGCTGCGGGCAGTGGGGGTGGAAACCCAGAGCAGGCAGATGACGAGCATGATCCTGATCATCATTCCGTACGAAGATCATCATTATGGTAAATAAATACTATCACCTTTCACCTTCTAACATCAGGAAGACCGAGGCCGAAGCTCTTGTTCATAGTATATTTGCTTCGCGTTCTATCTACTCAACTGAAACATGAATGAGAGCATTTTCAAAATCGGTTTGGGCATAGGGATAACCCTTATGAATCCTTATTAGAAAGCCAAATGAACACTGGCCTGTTACAATATCTTTTATTGCACCTTCCGTTTCTTTTGCTTGATATCACTCCTTATAGACTGACATGTTCGAATCAAAATTCCAGACTTCAGCTGCAAAGGACCGGGACTGAACCAAGCTTCGTACACTGAACGTGTTGGTGGTCTTTACTCTTTAGCATGGCGGAGGCAAACTCCTCCAAATCGACAGTTTCCAGTGACTTGCCCAGAAAAAAAAAAAGCAGTGATCGCATGAAGGTCGAAAAGTCATACCACACCAGCTATCCCATCTAGTTTCAATATTTCTACAGCTCCGTCTAGTTCATGCTTTGTTGTGTATTACAAGTACTTGTGTACCGTTATTAACATACGGCAAAGCCTGCAGCATACACATTTGATAATGGACAAAAATAATCCCAATTCTCCCTCTTCTATGGTATTCATGAATCGTCGTTTCTTTATTAAGATGCCAGTTGTTTGTAGATCCTGCATTGTTAATGAATAGAGAGAACTCGTTTGAAACAATTCGTGCTCCAAATTCGAGCATTCACACAATGCTCTTAAAGTCTATTCATTTCAACAATCCAAGATTCAATCCAACCCAGATGAAGTAAATACAGGTTGAACTAGTAAACGATAATGAACCCACATTGTATCACAAAATGGCAAACACTTTATTTCCGTATCTTTGAGGCAAGGTTGCTCTCCTCAACCCTACGGAGGCATAGGAATCGGGGGGGAAAAAAAAACAATCAGCAGTTCTTAGCAAAACCAACAGACAAATTGAGCCATCAAGGATGACTCCTATTCTTCGGCGACGACACTGATTTCGCCCTTCTCAAGCATGTCGTAGAATGCCCTTACTTTCCTCTGCTCGTTCCAGTGATGCATCTTCCAAAAGCCACCCGCGACCAAGCCGAGCGCCATCCCGATGACTATCTCCTTCACGACGCTCGGTCCCTTCAGTGTGGGGTGTGGAATCCTGCCAGCCATTTTGCTATTTTTCTCTGCAAACAGTCAACATATCCCCCTTGCTTTGTCAGCCACTAGTCACAAAAAGAAATTCCAACTTTTCTACCTACCTTATCCAATCTACCTATCATATGTAATTTAACAATCTAACTAACGAAATTCTTACATAAACAATACAAGCAAGTTCAGATAGTATAAAAAACTGAAGCTTGCTGGCCATCTATTGAGCTTATCAGTCCAGCTAAATGGAAATCCTACACAGACAGTAGATGAGAGCAACAATAACGAATCCGAGCTTTCTACCTATCTAATCTACCTGAGAAATGAGGCTTGATCAATCCAACTAATCAGACTTCATATACAAACAGCAAAGCACAATCAAACATTGATGGTCTCATGACTTTACACATACAAAGAATGCTTCACATCCAGTAGAATTCACCTAAAGTTTACTTAAATTGCTTTCTCTGCAACAATCAACAGTTGCTTTCTTAGCCAGCCACCAGCACACACCACATAGAAAATTAAGCGTTCTAACAAATGAATCTACCAATCCATCTAAACAAGAAAAACACTCATTAACTACCTTTATCAATCCGGCTCATGGAATTCCCATAACAAAGGTACAAGTAAAAGCACAATGCATAGCAAGTGCAAGCTTTCTACCTATCAACTGAACTTACAAAATCCATTTAAATGATGAAATTAACACACAGAACGTACAGGCCAAAGCACAAACGACAACCTCGCAACTTAATGCACCACATAGATGCAACAATTATCATGAAACCCTTCTTTCCACACACCATTTTCCTTCTCCAATCCAAAAGGAAAAAAAAAAACTTCTCCAGTCCTGAAACTGCCCAGAAGTAAATAAGCGAAACCCGTCGTCACCATTAATAACTGCAAGAGAAGAAAGGGAGCTTCCCACCAAGATCCGGGAACACAGGCGAAGGGCAGAAGACCTAAGCCAACAGCCAAGGTTCATAGCAGGTCGTTCTCTACCCGCGTATCCCCGTCGCTAGCGAACCACTTACAGAAAACTCATATAAAATAATGGCGACCACGATTATCTAATATTAGCATCGATTTCGAATTCTTTCCTACAAACAAATCGATCGATCGATCGAAACAACCAATAGAAATCCAAACCGGAGCAGATCGAGAAGTGAAGGAAAAAAACGTAAACGGAAGAAGAACGATGATTCTCAATATCGAAGCGAATCGGGGGAGGAAACGGGATGTCGAAGGATTTTACCTGGAGAAAGGCGACGACTGACCCGCTACAGCGCAACTACGAACGGGAAGAGCGCTCTCTCTTCTCTAGTTTCTAGCCTTTCGATTTCTCTCCTTGATTTTCACCTTTTCTCTTTGGCGACGCCTTCTGCTGATATTCGCTCTTGGACCGGGCTGAAAAAAATGGCTTCTGTTTGGGCCTTCGTACAAGTGTAGCTCTCCAAATGAGCTTCCAATTTCCATACATAGAATAGAAGATGGATAACTATACACGAAAAAGCAAACTATAAATTTCATAAAGCAGACCACATATTCAATGACTTAAGTTCGAACTCCGATCACCGGATTTGTGTCTGTTGTATGCAATTTGTGGTATGCTTTCTCATGGACAATCAATGGCTGGACTTTGAAGACATATATTTTGGTGATCGGTGATCAAATTCCAGCCGTGGCGACCAGATTCCGAAGACCGGGAACTAGATCAAGAAAATAAAAAAATATATACAATATTTTCTAAATTTTGGCTTTCTTCTCCCATTTGTTAATTTCTTTTATTGTTAGCTTAGACACAATAATCAAAATGACTATTGTTTTCCTTTTTTATTAAAATTTACACTTATTAAAAATGGCCGGCCTAGTTAAATGAAAAATTTAACTAATTATGGCTTTCTATTTCCTTGTTTGGTTTTATTAGCTGTGAGCAGTTTGGTAACAGTCCTGTTCCACCATCGCATAATCCCTAGTTGGTTCATCCTTCCTGAAAACTCCAATGGCCATCCTTCCTTGTATGGGAACAGACCCGAGAATCGGCATAGTTCAAAGGTTCATGATTGTGGCCATTGGTGTCTTCCTGGGGGAACTGAGTTTTAGCATACCTTACAATCCAATACCAAATCATAATTTCCCATCGAAGTATGTATCAGTAAGTAATGGGTCTTCGACTGATGCGATTAGTACGCAATGCAGCGAGAAGCTGATGGCAATGGCTGGTGGCTTGTATGGACATTTATTTATTCATGCTTCGCTCTTTATTTCATGGCTTCGCCTGCTAGAATGGATGGCACTAGCATGGGCAGCATATAATGCGATGATGAAATCAACTACTAGAATGGTGCTTCTTTGCTCTGCCACCCTGGATCCCAGCTGGATTTGGATAATCACGTTCTGGTTTACGAGCCCAAGCTGGCGCCTGATCAGGTCCGTAGCGATAATCGTAGAACAGCTCCTCGCTCGCATCAATGTGCTCTTTGGCAAAGATGCCGACTCGGTGATCTCCAGCCACCAGCATTACCTGTGAACAGTGAGTACAAAGTTGGATGGATCAATACAAAGGAAGTTGTTATTTTGTTACAGCTGAGCGATGCATTAACGGAACTTTCCTCTCTTTTTTACCTTAGCATAGCAATTGGGATTTGATGAGTGGTTTGCAAACTTCAGCTTGTCGCCTTTGCGGTATGCATCTAGGACAAACTGCGGAAAAGAGATATTTCAATGCTGCAATTGGTCCAATGAAGCTCGAGGGAGTGGGAAAGACAATGCAAGGGAAGAGAAGGTTTGGGGGACTTACCTGATCATTCAAGTCAAAAAGGAACGACGAGTTGGCACGATCATAGATTTTCCCACGCTTGTCTGCTTCTCGATGTGATATCAGTTCACCAGTGTACTCTCCGAGGTAGTCATTTCTATTGACAGCATTCTGAAACACATTCAATGAATTAACCAAGCAGAACCGTTTAAAAAAGGATGAAGGGTAGTGAACCTTTTGAAAAGGGTACCTTTAGAAAGGCTCCCCATCCAGCAACGTCCGATTTTGCCAACATGATCTGAGACAGGTCATTTATTTTTAGTACAACGAAAGGTGATCAGGAAATTGAGGTGATACAGGAACTGCCTTACCCTCTGTTGTTGGTGTAGAAGCAGCTTCATGTTTCCACACTGACCATCTCCACGTTTTGGTGGCTCTCCCAATGAACCATCTCCACAACTGCATTAAGAAGTAAAAGCAGCAACCTTTTAAACAAAAGTTGCAAAAGCTTTTCTAAAGATTCTCTCCCCTTCATCCTTCAGTTACTAGTGGTGAACAAAAGAATTCAGAGTTTCCAGCATCAGCAGTGACAAAAGCTTTTGACTACCACCATGCTACAATAGATTTCAACCAGTGTGCATCAGCAGACAATCTAATCTACATGATTGATTAGCAAATTTCATGCTGTACAGTGAACCGGTTCAGTATATAACTAGATAGAGGCAGATTATATATTTGTGAGATTGACAAAATTAAGCGGATTTAGAACTGACTACCTAACCCAGCAATTGCGGCAGACATCAGGGTCACATTCACGCCCTGCTGCAAAGCACGGGCATTGGCGACTCCTACACTGACTCTTTGCGCAGTGACATCCTCTGAACCTATTTTTGCAACTCTTTGAGCACCTGAGAAGAATTCACAATGAACAACAATTATTTTAAACAATGCTTATGTAAATTTGGCAGTAGTTGGATTAGAAAGACACTCAACTTACCCGCAGTATTTCTCACAACAAGTTCCATTTTCCAAACATGGACATAGTTTCCCACACATTGACTGACACCCACATGGTGTATACTGCTTGCATGACTGGTTTTTCCCATCAGCCATTCGTTTCCACATTGATGGATGACCAGCAGACTTCCAAGAATATTTGAACTTTCGTGTCCTGCCCCTGCGACGCAAAAGGCGGGGTCGTGCTGGCATCTCCTGCTCCAAGAACAAAGGAAAAGAAGAAATAGGAAATATGAAAATGGGTTAAAAAAACAAAAAGAAACGTCTAGAATGAACCCAAAGACTTAGAAAAGAGAGCTTATTTGTCATGTTTTTCGTCCGATTTTCCTCCAGAAACGCATCATTAGAATAATTTCAAGATTAGACCATGAATATAATAATGCTATCGAGAGGTGGAAGCACGTCATGCTCAAGTATTGAAGATCAATACATAATCCACTTTTTCCCCCTCAACAGATCTGAACGATAAACATACCATATGATCTGCATCAGTCATCCCATTGTCTTCTGAAAATGAACTTGGTGTGAGAGATCTCCTAGGCACCATAGTTCCACTACCGCACATGTACTTGGAGACCTCTATGCAAGTCTTCAAACCAGAGAGCATGTTTCTTGCAATAAGGCAACTAGAGCACAGAAATGTCAAAGCAAAGATTAGAAAAACAGTATTCAATAAAACATGACGAAAAGCCATGGTTCTTAAATTCATTTGGATTGCAACATTAATTCAGGTTTCAGAAAGGCTTCTCCAGGAAAAAAGGCATGTTGTAGGACATAGTTCTATCTAAAGCTATCGCAAGCAAAATGCATGAGTTTCACACTGTCTGACCTAATGCTTGATGATTGCACCTTATGATGGAGAAAGACTCGGTCTTTGTGATGCTAAAACTGCTGAATACACAAATAAAGAATGTTCTGACCTGTTTTTTCCAAATATCTCAACTCCTTTCAAATATAGTTCTTTCTCGAGGGCTCTCCACTCAGAACTCTTTGACACAGACTGACTACTTTCCGGGGCATCATTAACTTGCTGGTGCTTAACTCCAGCAGCATCTATCTCATCACCGGTGCAGTTTACTGGCGATAACAACTGATTCCTCCCAAGAACATCTGTGACTTCCAGGCGCACAGCTTCATCATCTTTCTCGCGATCAGTGTGAACGATGTCTATTGATGTACATTCAGCAAATCCATAGTCTGGATTATCAGCACTCCTATCAGTTGCACTTTTGGTGCTAGAGTCATGACCAAGGCTGGGAACACCTGCTTCACTTTCAGAAACTACGTCCGCAGCAACTAATCCTTTCTGCTTCTTACATGAAGAATCATGAACATCAGAAGGAACTAGTGTTGACCCGGCTGCTCTTGCATCTGTTTGATGCAAAGCTTTGCGCTTCTTGGTGTGGTCTATGCCTGTAACTATATCAGATGCATCTGCATGTCGAGTTTGACATTCAGGGTCTGAATCACAAGCAGTTTCTGAAGGAACTACTACCCCCTTGTCATACATAGACCTTTGACTTTCAACTACTTCTGTACCACTATCAATATCGCCCGAAAGTCTAGCATGTAAAGCCACTAGGCTCTTTTCTCTCACCTCTATATCTGTGCTATGCTCAGGGAAGTCTTTGAATCTTTCCTGAAAGTTACCGAGTTTGATATTAGAACACAAATTGTTTAAGCACAAAAGGAGAAATAAAAGACAAAAATTGTAATAGACCACAGACAAGACAGTAACTTCACATCCAGAAGCTGCCAGGCAAAGTACTTCACTATAATCCACGTGTTTTAATTAAACATCATTGTTGCCTGCACTTTTCTGATTCAGATGCCTACCTAAAGAGCACTTTCAGCATGACAGTAGCTTAACAGAAAACAATTCTTCCGCAGTTCTGTGGAAGACATTTAGAATGGAAAAATCCATACCCGAAGGCAACATTGATCACCACAAGGTTTCCTGTCATCTTCATACTCGGACCAATATGAGTGCCTTTCACTCTGCCAAAAGAAGCCTCCACATCACTTTAAGCAGATAAGTAATAATTCGAATCATCAGTGTTTACTATTTCAGTACTTACAGGGTTAATCAAAGTTTGAGAGCAGCCATGCAGGCGGCAATCAAATACCTGGCATATAATGACATGAGTGTAAGAAAGGAAAGCATATTCATAGCTGATTCTACTGAAATTTGAGAAAGATCAAGGACCAAGTACCAGGCAACGGCGACAGAAGAGGTTATCAAAAGAATCCAGAGCAGCACTAAGGGTCTTCTCCAACGAGAAACCCCTAACAGGTCCCGGATCCCCAGTATTCGTCACATTTAGGTCGTCTGCATGCCTTTCCTGGAGAACGCTACATCTCTCCTGCCAATCTCAAATACTAAAGTTAAATTAGGCTGATGGACATGAAAGAAACCTTTGCTAAACCATAAATTATGTTTAGTACTATGAAACATAAATACCACATAGAACAGTTAAATGCAGTTACACTAAATAAATGTCAACATGCTAATCGCAGATACCCTGATCTCCATAGCACTGGCTCCAATAAACTGGCTAACAAGGTCGATGTCACTGTCAGCTAATCCATCTTCCTGAAAGATACTCCTGCATAAATTTCAGAGTGATTGAAATTCTTGAATTTCAATTATTAGAAAAAGGTTAGGAATTATTCATTAGCCACCACCATTGGCAAGATAAAACAAGTTTCATGGTTTTATTCACATGATATATGCTTCATGCAAAATCAGCAAAGACAATGCTTTGGGTTTTCAGGCAGGCTAGAGTTGGTAGCTTCAAAGTAAACTCTATTCATGAATGGCCTACCTAGCATGGTATACTCTTTGACCTTAAAGTTGATTCCATAATACACTAGGCTGGAAAGTATATACTTCACAATATGTCAACATGCCAAGGAATAATTTGTCTGAACCTACCATATAATACGATCTTCAGCCTCTGAGAAGTAACGTTTGTCTTCATCGGGTTCCGCGATCTCTTCCTCGCTGTCGCTGCAGACTAGTGCCTCGCCGCCATCTTTCTCATAGTATATTCGCCTTCTCCCAACCACTGACTGGTCTTCAGTCATTTTCTGATTCCTAGAAACATGAATCAAACAATTTGTGGAATCATGTGATGCAGGAAGAAAATCCTCGAGAAAGCAGCAAAATATACAGGAGAAAGTAAGTTCAAGCCCCATGTTTCATCAACTTTCAGGAAGGAATTCTCTGATCAGCAACTAGCATCCACATAATCCATTATCATCAGTATGTCAAACATACACTCAATTCTACTTGTGCTTACTGCTTGCAGGGATTCTCTGCCGAGACCAACGAACCTGTCTAGAAATATCCAAGTAGTATACGGAGGTATCTTCTCAACATACGGAAGCTTCGTGCTTGTACCATGGAGAACCTCCTGACATTTACAATTATCCCTATCCCCTGATCCTTGAGCAAATCCACTGTATTCCCACATTGGCTCCCCAATTCTTCTTGAGATCATCTTATCACCTTCTGGCTGCCCTGTATGTGATGATGTTGCTGACTCAAGTTTAGGAAAATCCATTTCTAGCTTCTTTCTGTTCTTTTCAACTTTCTCCTGTGAAGTTCAATTACATGTTTAAACGAATCACTCGGCATTAAACCTCCAGTAACCCTCGATCATAATCAGCCTATACTCCATTTTCAACAGGGAATAGATTCGAGCAGCAGGAACAAAATTGAAAGGCTTACTCTCACTGAAACCATCCTTTCGGCTTGAATGTCCTTCCTGAGCTGATTCAACTTCTGCATGAGGTTGCCACTATCGCTTCCTGTTGGATGCTCCAGTGAATTCTGCCAAAGAAACAAACAGGAATTTGCAACATGATTACTTCAAGACAGTTACATCTGAACACTGTAAAATACGACGAGCAAAGAAAAGAAAAACATACGATCACAGACGGACGATTCGCCATCGGAACCGAAACCTAGCGCGAAACTAACGATCAGCTTTTCTTTCTTTGCCTTTGATCGGATCGCCAGCCGAAACAGGATTTTACTTGGGGTTCATCATGATCACGAGCAGGTTCGGACAATAATTGAGTATGTATGGAGAGAGAAGAGGGAAAGAGAGTTCCTTTAACATGAGCAAAATATGTTTGTTTTCAATGTTGGGCCATTGTTCAAGGGTTCGAAATTGAGCTTTTGAGATTGTAAATTTTCAGAAATATCACTAGGTCAAGTTATTGTTTTTCAACGAAGTGAATTTTTCATAGACTCAAGAAAGAGAGTCGAAGTCACTTGAATAGAGATGACAAAAATATCCGTAACTTTGGATATGCGCCCAAATTCGATCTTATTGGGTACGATAAAACTCGAACTCGAAAGACCTTTAGTGGGTAAGGTAAACCCCAAACCCGAATATTACGGGTAATGGGTGGACATGATTTTCACATTATCCAACCCGAACATGCCCGATTATACATATGCAAATGTATTTGGTTTATAAATGATCTTTATTTTTCTCTAACATATTTTATATTTAACATATAAATTTAATATTTTCATGAAATTGTGTTGTTTTGATGCATTTTCTTCATTATAGAGAATTATTGTTGTACTTTTCGTTTTATGTAATGTGGGAATACGTGTGAATACTAACATATTGGTTAGAGTTATAAAGAGAAATATTACCCATGGATACCCGAAACCCGAACGGGTATGGGCATGGTTTTGATTTTCTACCCGTTTCTTATGTGGGTATGAGTACGGGTAAAACATGAACTACTTTGGATAGGGTAACAAATATGCATTATCCATCCCCGACCCTACTTATTGTCATCGCTACGTCTGAAATCCTCTATTCCAAAATGCGTACAATTGTATAAAGTGTGGGGGTGAATTATGAAAATATTGTAAAATTAAAAAAATATCACAGATCTAGTATTAGAAAATATTTTTTTTCAATATCACTTGCATTAACAAGAAAATCTAGTTACATCGTCATGACTTTTGAAGGAGTTAGGCACAAAAATCAAAACCACAAGGGATTGGTCTAGCGGCAATACCATTAGCCTTCAATCTGAAGGTCTCATGTTCAAATCTCTTAAATTGTACCTAAGTACAAAAAGAAAACCTATAACACCCTTATCTAAAAAAAATCAAAACCACCACACCTAATAGGAAACAACGACAGAGCTTTTTTTGCCACCAAATGGGCTACCCTATTAATCTATCTGGCAACAAAATGAAAACTCAACCTGGAGCACGCCCTACGCTTGATTCTGTGAATTTCTTCAACGACCTCCGTCACTGCAATCCCAAGTAACCCCGTGTACAGCTTATCAATGTACACCTTAGCATCCCCTTCAAACTTGATCTATCGCAGTCCCATGGCATCACACCAACGTATCACCTCACGCAAAGTCACAAGCATAGTGTCCACCAGACCATCGAATACCATTCCTTTAGCCATCACCACAGTCCCCAAGGAGTCCCTCAACACCATCTCACCCGCTGAATGCGACTCCCGACAGACAACACCATCAAAGGAACACACCATCTGACTTTGACTTCGCAAAATAGGTTCCTCCCCCACCCTTGACCTTGAACTACCACCTACACCCCCTCCCCCCATCTAGACTTGCCATCGCCATCGCCATCGACAACCACTCCTCCACTTGTGCTAAAAGCTTCTTCCCCAACGCCTGCATCTTAACCTGCTTCACTAGAAAAGCCTTTTTTTTTCTCTGCTTACTTTGAGCAGTTTTGATTTTTGCGGTTGGCTCCGTTCGGAGCTCTAAATGTTGTATATTGTTATTCTTGGTTATACAAGTTATCTTTGGTAAAAAAAAATTGACTGAGCTTTCGGAAACTGCAACAGTGTTAGCAATTGGTAAGGCATATGGTACCTTTGCACTGTTTTCTTTTCTTTTTTTCATTATGAAATTGAGATCCTCGAGGTGTTATTCAATTGGGTGATTATTGTGTCAAACTTGAGGTCTTTTTTGGGAAAATATATTTATATAGTCATAACTATTGATTTTTTGATACAATAGCCATTTTTTCATAAATATACAAAATGTCCAATTTCGTCTAAAACTTTGACGGATTTATTTTAGATGCTGATTGGACTAACGTTTTTGTTGACATGGCGACACTTAATAAAAAATATTGCTAGGTGGAATTGACTAAATTCACCTGCATATCCATAACTATCGAAGTTATTACAATAATAGCCAATTTCTATGAAATACACAAAATGTCCAGATTTTGAAATAGATTTACAAATTTAGTCATGTTCGTTAAAAAAATTAACACCATTAGATATTATGTCGGTTAAATTAACAAAATGCTTACGGAGTATGTCACCTTGACGCACACGTCATCGACAACTCAAGATGACATGCCACGTTGAGGCGAATTGGAGGTAGATGGCCCTTCCGTTCTATTTTATTTATCTTTCATTTTCTAATCATGGTTATGCAAGTGAATTTAGTTAATTCCACCTAACAATGTTTTTTTATTAAGTATCGCCAAATCAACAAAAATGGTAGTCCAGTTAGCATCTAAAATGACTTCGTTAATGTTTTGGGCGAAATTGAACATTTGGTGTATTACTGAGAAATTGGCTATTATTGTCACAAAGTAGATAGATATGGCTACAGATGTGTATTATGCATTAAAGTATGATGTGGCGTCCAGGTGACGTCAATGTGGCATCATAATCAGTGTATTGTTAATGTAGCTGGCGGAATCTCTAACGACGTTAAAGTTTTAACGAAAGTGACTAAATTTGTCAAACATGTTTATAATTCCGGATATTTTGTGTATTTCTTGGAAATTAGCTATTATTATCACAAAGTTGATAGCTATGGCTATGCAAGTGAATTTTGCCCTTTTTTTTAAGTATATGTGAATGTTACGTCATATGGTAATTCATTGGTGGTTGTGCTAGATGAACTCGAGCATGGCCCATCAACTTGAGATGGGTGGTTGACGTCCCTACCCCTATCGGTCGAGTGACTTCGTGTTTATTGATACGGTAGTTTTGCTATTACTTGAAGGCGGATCATTTGTCATCGACAGACAGTTTAGTGAAATTGTAATGCCTTCAGATGGGCTTATACATGTTTGTTTTTATTATTTTGGACCTGGTCTGTAACTTTTTTCCAGGTTGGACCGTCTGGAGAAGGTACTATATATGTAATATATGTTCGCAATTTCTTTAACATGCCAACGAACTGTTCTCTCCTGTTGGTAGACGTAACTAGCACACATCAATGTAAGTTACTCAAGTAAATTTAAGTATTCTATATTTCTTGCGCGGCCTATTTCTCAATTCATTCTAAAGGTAGTTACTCCAACACTTGGAAGGATTCATTCAAAATGAAAGGAAAGAATGTTGGCATGAGGAGAAGCATTGGTAGAGGCATGAAATGTTGCCTGTCAGCTTCTCCAAGAGAGAGAAAATGAAGTAAAGGAATGATGTGAAAGGAGGGAGGAAAAAGAAAAAAGAGAAGAAAAAAATGTACAAAGGGAGTCTTTAATCTTTATGCAGTGAGCCTATGTTTTGTGCTGAAAAACTATACCAAGTGCAGCTGCTCTTCTTCTTCTGCTGCTGCTACTACTTCCTCGTCTGAAAATCCTCTTCCATCTTCTATTTGGTCATCATCATCGCAACCCTACAACAAAGAGAGAGAAAAAAAAAAAAGTCAAGTTTGGTGCCTTCCTTTGTTGCATGGGCCGGTACTGCTTTGGTTGGGCCCATAATCCTATTGGGCTTTGGGTGTCCACCACGTTCTGTTTTGGTTGTGTCCATAATCTTAAAGGAAAAATGATAGTAAGATTTGATCGGAGGACGAACCTGATACCGTCGACGAATGCTTTTTTGAAGGGATGCTATGGTTCGAACTATTATGTACATTGGGATGATGATCCCGCTGGCCCTCAGTATGAGTATCTGTACAGAAGTAAAAGTGACAAGTAATAAGAGATTCTACATTTCATTACGCTCACAAGTGTCGAATTTTTTCAAGAAAAATATTTTTTGTACTTACAGTAGTGATTGTGAATGGATAGTCTTCTTCCGTTCCGCTCACAAGTGTCTCAAACGAATGTCTCAACAACAACAGGAACGTAAACTGCAACAGATAAGAGTAATCAGAACCCTAGAACGGTCTGTATTCTACTGCTTGGTTGTTGAAAGGAAAAGGAATGGGGATAAAATTGCCATTTAAAATGACTAGATAATTCGTTTGACATATCATAGACCAACCAACCAACGAAAGAGATGAAGCGAAGCCAAACTTTATGCTTAAACCCTATATATTTGGTTTGGCACCAAACTTCGCCAAACTTGAAAGATTGTGAGCTAAGAAAGAAACAAAAGAGGGGAAGGAAATGAGGAGACGGAAGAGGGGAACTTACGGTTAGGACCAAAGAACGGCATACACCAACGATTCTATCGGCGGCGGTTGTGCACACCGAATACTCTCCCGCCGCCACGTGGCGGACACCCACTTGTCCCACCATTCCTTCTTCATTCCCAATCTCCAAGCTATCTCTGTCAAATGTCAATTTAATTATTTTCAGAAAACAGGCGTCAGTATATTTTTTTTTAATTCAACCGAATTATTATTATTATTAAAAAATGTGGCAATGGCTATCCGCTATTCGCAAATATCCGTTTCGTAGCCAGCAATTAGCTGTACAACACCGCAGTTTTGTATTGACCAAAACAAAAGCCTTTCCCACGCTCCCCCATCCTAATCCTAATTGGGACGGGACCATAACCACAAACACCATTCCTTCTTTCCTTTTGGAATGTCCCATTCCTCCTCCTAATAAATTGGTTTCCAATTCATCAAAAGATAATGGATGGAAAATGCCATGCACCATACATTCTCAAGTCATGTTTTCATCAATTAGCTCTCTCTATTGCCGTTGTGATAAAAATTCGACATTAATGATCACTCGAATAAATTTAATGTCGGTAACGTATTCGATTATGTTGTAGAACATTTTAAACCGCATATAAACTAGTTCGACCGTTTCGTCAACAATAATAATACCGTTAAAAGAGGGAAGGAAAGTAACTGACCTGATAGTCAATGCCTCTAATAACTCATCGTCTTTCTTTGACGATGATACTTTTGCAGCTGTATACCCAGGTTCGTAGTTCTGCAACCAAAATTTTCAAAAAAAAATTCAAGATTCCAACAGCTTCCGTAGCTTCACGTGGAACAACAACTAGGATGGGAACCATTATTATTATTCAAATAATAATTAACAATATGCACTAATCTATTGTTTCTTTGTTTGTAAATAATGAATACTGGTTTAAGGTTCCAACTGACCAGAAAAATTCTTCTGATAATCTATCTAATATAGTATTAACATTAGATCATAATGGTGATTCCATATCCAAGTAAACCCACTAATCAATTTCATGGCGGACATCCCACTTCTGATGGTCGGGTTGGTTTGGTTTGGTTGGTTACCACTCATTCTCTCTGTTTTCCCCCTTCTTTTCTAATCTAATTACAGAGGATTATTGAGTTCTCAAAGGGAAGAAAGCCCACCTGGAGACAGATTTCGCAGGTTGTATTCCCCTTCTCGTCGCACCATCTCTGTATGCAATCTCTGTGCGCGTACTGTTTCAAAGTTACCCACCAAAATCATGAGAAAAAAGTACTGTTTCAAATGAAAAAACAGAGACAGCAAGCACTCTGTTTTACCCTCACAAAAACATTCTCAACAATTGACTCTGAAAATTTCCCCCGATCAGAAATTTCATCTGATCAACATACGTAGTTCTCGAGGTGGAGCAATTGATACAGAGGATTAAGGAGATTCAAAAGAGTGATGATTTCGGCAGCCTCGATTCGTTTCATGGGTAATCGAAAATTCGAATTAATCCTCTCCACTCTCCTTACTGGGTCGGTAATACCCAGATTTTTTTTTATGGCGATTCACATGAATGATCGAAAGCATGTACGTATATATATGATTAGAAATCAAACAAATTTCGGATGACGACCCAGAAAACTAGATGGGATTGGGAGAAGGAAAATTGGGGATTTTGTAGCAAGTGGCTTACCTTAACGGTTCCAGAACAAGAGCAGGGCGCTTCCAGGCTCTTGAAGCTCTCGAATCCGGTTTCGTGGCAGATTCTGCAGTACGCCATGGAAACTCCGCCGCTGCTGCCCGAGCCAGAAGGAAGATGATGATGATGATCGTCTTCTTCTTCGTCTGGAATCCAAAGAACAACTGCTTCTCCCATTTCTGAGCTCTTCTCCCCTTTTTCCTATTTCTTGGAATGGAAATTTTTACTCTGTCCGTCTGGCTCTGTTTTCTTTCTTGTTTGGCACTTCTTTGTGGGATGGGGAAGAAACTTTCGCTTCTCGCTTCTTTTGCCTAATGGCAATCCATCTGCGACACAGGGAGGCTTTAAAGAATGAAGAAATGGAGATGGGGTGTTACCAAACTGCCCTCTTGCAAAATGTGAACCCCATCATTAATTAATATAATAATTATATTGATGAGGATAATTATCCTATCTGGAAAGCAAATTTTATAATGTCATCCAAAATTTGCATATATGATTGTATTGTCCGCGTAAAGAAGAACATTTATATAATTGCTCTATAAAACAGAGTAAATGTTGCAAGAGGTTAGTGAAAAAAAAGTAACATCCTAGTTTGACCGGACGTTACTTTTACCAAAATATTTTTTATAATTGAATTAAATAATTTCAAGAATAATAAAAAAGTTATATTGGATAAATTGAATACATGAAAAGGCAACGCTAATAAAGATCCATTATAAATACATCAAGTCTAAGTTATATCAAATATTTTGAACTTGTAGAACTCCATGTTGAAGTTCTCTAAGAGTCGTCAAACTTCAAGATGTGCTATCGAACCAATGAGTTTGTACTTCCTTGTTTTCTCTTAGTAATAAAGTTCATCATTCATAAAAAAAACTCATTATTGGTTAAGAATCTCAAGTTCGTGGGTCCAACCGACTTGCTCGTTGTTATGCATCGTTCCATTTTCTTCCTCCTGTCAACTTCTTACCAATAGCTGCTCCTCGTAGAGGTCATCCCAAAAAATACTCCATTAGATACAACCACCCATCGGCCATAACCAACTTAAGCAAATCTAGTTATTTAGTTCTTATCAACCCACTATAACTATGTTAGTAGAAATTTAATTACCATTACCACTTCCTCAGATAATTTACTTCTCCAACTGACAATTGCAACCTCGACTATATATGATTAACTATTACGAGAATGGTGCGGTCATAATAATTTGAGAAATTCTGAATTTGCGTATCTTTTAGTATTTTTTTTCTATTTAGTTCGTAATTGATATTATTTGAAATATTAATATTATTTATTACTTTTAATTGTTCTAGTAGGTTTTGGATTTGTTTTAGTATTTGTTTAGAAATTGGTGTTTATTTTCTTGTTATTAAGATGGGTTTATATTTTGAGAAATCCACTTAACACTAGCTAATGTAAAGTAATTAATTCCTGTTTTGCCCCTGTTAACGATGGAAAAACATATGGATGAGATGCACTTTGACTTCGACGAGAACTGGGTGACCATTATTGCTACATATTGGATCTCGTCAAACACTATTTGAGAGAGGGTGTTTGGTGTATCCGAAATATATGTCATGTTACACTACTTTTTATGGTGATTCTTTGAGAGCTTTGCGACTACAAATACAGAGGATTCTTCATGGAAATGACACGCCAACAATAATGGTCATCATGTTATATTTTGAGAAATTCATTTAACACTTAACTTAATTCATTTGTTGTCCCTGTTAACGGTGGAAAACGTATGGATGAGATGCACTTTGACTTCGACGAGGGCTGGGTTACCATTATTGCTACAATTCAGACCTCGTCGAACATTTTTCGAACGGGGATGTTTGGTGTATCCGAAATCTTCATCATGTTAAATAAGATCGAATCATAATACCTTCCAGTTAGACACTGGATTATATCTATGACACGGGATGCCACCATCCATGTAGTACTTGGTATGATATCCATGTTGAGATCGGATGGCGTAACCAAATTGAAGTTGGATGCATCAACCCAGTGACTGGGTGGCTATCAACCATGTTAAGCTTTCTTAGCCCTAGAAGATGCATAAAGTATGGTGATTGTCTGTGCAAACTTCAAACCTATAAGGGGACGTATCAGAAAGTGGTATAAGATACATAATTAACTTTCTTTTAACCACTCGAGTTATTGTATCAGCTGATTCTTGACACTATCTCCCAACCGCCCAAATGATCCGTCTTCCGTAGCTGCTCACCTCGTCGACTCTCTCTCACGTTCACTGCAACAACTGCTGCCGTCATTCTCTCATCTCCGTTGAGCTTTCTCCTTCTACGGCTTTCATTTGTTGTTGCGGTGGCGATGGTGAGAAGGAAAAAGGAAACGGAGAGTTGGCGGGTCCGTTTGCCAAAAATATTGCATAAAAGTGATGGAAGAACTTATCCATAAGTGTTTGCTTGCGTGCACATGCAGAATATCTTAAAATATATTAAAGCAGTTTAGAAAATCAACCCCCTCCACGTAAGCCTCGCTGGCTTCTCCTTCATTCTCGGTGATTACTGAATTTTCATTTTTATTTTAACGTTTCCTCTTCCCAACGGTTTCTTTTGATCTTTTTTTATTTTTATTTTTTTTCTCTTCTCCGTTTGCCTATTATTTGCACAGGTTTCTTTCTTTTTAAGAATTTTGCTTCCACAGTGCTTTCTTTTGGTTCCGTGAGAGATGAGAGAGAAACTGCTGGATAATTTAATAATCTTTTTTCCGTGAGAGATGAGAGAGAAATTGCTGGATAATTTAATCAATTTTTTTATGGTAATTAGTTAATCATAATGATAATTTATTAATATTGTTTACCGAGTACAGACATGTAATATTTCTGTAAAATTAATTATAAGTTTTGAGTTTTCCCATCTTCACCTGAACTTTCTACAAAACTTAGCCTATCCACATAAACCATACAACCTTTCCATTCCCTCAAGATTTTGTCTCATGAACATAATCTCGCTCATCCTCAACACTCGATAATTTTTCTATAACATCATTTCATTTAAAGACTCATCTAACTTTCTTCGAGATTTCTAATCTAGATTTTCACTCGCTAGCTGACTGTTGTTAAATAACCCTAAATCTAGACGGTAGGATTAAGCATCGTATGCAATTCCTTAAAATTGACCAGAGAATAAGTTGCAAGACATGATATGCCCACCATATTTTTCTTTGAATCATCATTAAGATGAATGTACATTTCACTATTTACTAAAAGATAAGATGCATATTTTCTCTTCCTTTTTTAGGTGTCTCTAGGAGGTGAATTTTGCATTCTAATTTAATATGAGAGATTAAAACTTTTGATGACTCTATTTGACGTTTTTTACATAAATTATATATGTGATTTTAAAAAGTTTGTTACTTTAATAATGAGATTATACGTATACATAATAAACGAAAAAGCTACCTGCCCAAAGGGCAAGGGTTAAAGCTAGTATAACCCCAATCCAATTTGTTATGTTTTGTTTGTGCCTTCTGTTTTGTCACAAAAAATAATAAAATAAAAAGCTTATAAATATTGACTTTGTCATTTGCTTCACGTCGGCATAGCTTAGATTACACGAGTTGATGGAAAAGGATGTGATACGGTCATTTCTGATTTCTCCACATGAGTTTGATATCTTTGGGATGGATCTTTTGTATATGATTTAAATTATTGGTATCTATCTAGAGTTATTGGTTGCAGAAGCAGCAACATGTATATATTCTGGATTCATACAATAAGTCTTACCCCCCTTCTAGTTAGGAGAACTCTTGTATTCGTGTGTCTGTTATACATCAGGATTGTAAAATTCAAAGTCTTAGAAGATAATTTTTCTGAATCGTCTGATTTTAAGTTATGTTTCAATGTCTTATTTTGTGAAATGAGAGATTCAGACCGAATGCCTCAGTTTAGTAGTGTTTATAAAACTTTGATCGATCAGTTTGACTTGAAATAGTCAAACCTAGGTTAAATATCTTGTCTGAGAAGTAAAGGTTTGATAACTGTTCAATTAACTCGTCTTTCTATCTTATAGAAGGAGAATAAAACTGAAACCGAAATTCAAGCGATACTAATTCAAAGATTTATTATTGAATTGTATGTGCAATTTATTTTATGAATATTCCATTGTACTCTTAGATATTAGGGGTGGCTATACGGTCCGGTCCGGTTAAATTGGCCCAAATTGATCCGGTCCAGTCCGGTCTTTTTGAAAATATAAGGACCGAAGATTGGATTGGATACAGTCCGGTTTTGATCCGGTCCGGTCCCAATTCGGTCTTGATTTTACATTGAGATTGTGGGATTTGAGTGGCCTAAGGCCTTAAAGGGTGAGGAGTTGGTTAAGTTTTGAACTAAGTGCAAAGGTTTGTGACCGTTTATGCAAATTACCCTTAAGTTTTGGGTGTTGAGCTCTCTTATCCGGTCTTTATCCGGTTTTTTACCTCAAATCTAAGCCCAAAGATTGGATTGGATTGTTTACTATCCGGTCTCGGTCCGGGTTATATGGTCCGGTTTCCGGTTTTTAATCCGGTCCCGGTCCAAATAGCCACCCCTATTAGATATGTAGATACAATGTGGAATTGTCAAGTTATTGACTAGTATTAAGTTTTAGAACTATCCAACCAATAATATTGCTTTCCAAATTATAATTGACCAGATTTCTAAATTTTTTTTACCAGTTAACCGTTGAAGGTTAAATCTCTCGATAATCAGGTTTGATGCTCGGTCCCGTTTTGAAAACAATGCATTTTACAAAACCCTCATTCATAAACCATATAAGCCAAAGGATAAAGAGAAATACCGAATGATGTAAATGTGAACAGTTGGGCAAACAGGAAGCATGAAATTAAGTAGTAGTAGTAGTAGGTGAAAGAAAATTTTATTTGAGTTATTGAATTATGAATCTATTCTTAAACAGTGAACATTTTATCGAAACGGTCTCATTAGACGCCTCATGAGGAAAAATAGTATCGGTATCAATCCAATATTCATCATCATAACGATTTGAGAAGCATAGGGAGGAATGTTTGTCCATTTTTTACCAATAATTCAAGAACCTTTTCCTCGTTAAAGAACAATTTAAGAAGCAAGGTAAATAAATTTGACCATCCTTGTAATAAGAAGGTTCCATTTTCTCATTGTACGTTGATTAATATTTTAAATATGTTCCTTTTTAATTTCGGTGCCAAGAAATAGAATGATGGGAAAGGACGTGGGAAGGAGACACACAGAGAGGAAACCAGAATCTAGTAAAAGGGACAAACGCGGTTTCAATCTTGGGAGCTGGCACTGTGCGGCTAATTTGTAATGCTTGCAGACTATGTATGTATAGAGAAGATGATTGATTCTGATTCAAGCCATTCAACCCTTCTTTTAATTTTATTCTTGTAATTAACACCCAAAAACGAGTTGCACGACAAAGTTTTATTCTATTGGAATTTCCTACTGGATTTCAGGTAAAATCCCAACAGCTGGAGGCATTATTATTGCGCACAAATCTTATATTTATTAATATATGCATATCATGTCTGAACCCGTGTTTATGAAACTATATTGGCAATTTCAGTGGTATGAGATGATTGAACCACAATAAAATCGTGATTTCAGTACAAAATATCATGCTGCTGATTTTTTCTGTACAACCTTCGATATTGTTTCACAATTTTTGGTCCGAACACTTTGATTGAGACAGACGATGACGAAGCCACCATAAGCAAAAGAAGTTACCGCACCCAACCACCCAAGCATTACATGTGGGTGGTTTTATGCGGATTTGTGGTGGGTTGGGAACCGCCCACTATATGGTGGGTGAAGGAGAAAATCACCACACCCATCCAAGCATTACATGTGGGTGGGGTGGGTGAGTGATTGCGGATGATGGGTGGTTGGGTGAATCCGGTTGGTTTACAACAAATATTTCATATGATCACATAAATTCAATAGTTAAAAAAAATTAAAATGACGAAATTTTCAATCTAAACAATGCTTAATCCATAAATAAGGTGAATCATTTATTTTAGGTTAAATACACTTGTATATCCAAAACTTTCACGGTTGTGCCAATAATATACAAATTTCCCGAAATACCACTTATATCCAATTCCTTCTCATTCTTTAAAGATGTTTTTGGATATACAAGTGTATTTAACCAAAAATAAGAACAACTTTAAAACATGGATATAAGTGGTATTTCAGAAAATTTGGATATTATTGGCACAACCGTGAAAGTTTTGGATATACAAGTATATTAAACCTTTATTTTATAATATTGATATTGGCAATTTTCCACAAATTACAAAATATTCAACTCATAAACTTGGCCTAAGCTTGGTAATAACCAAGGTCCAAGAAAACAGTAGGCATATGGCAAACGTGTTGGTCTTGCCTAGAGCCTCAATCGCCTAACCGTTGTGAGCGTAAATAGCTTCCACGTACCACATAAAAAAAATATAAGGGAAAGAAAAATACTCATGTATATTAGTCTCCACCAAAATCCAAACTCATTAATACGTGACATTTAATTGTTATGGTACAATCCAAATATCATATCGAAAATACAAGAGAAATCACTAATGTAGTACAAGATCTTTTGAAAAGGACACCCAAAGATAAATCTATACATGTTTGGCTCAAATAGGAAAATATTATTAATTTCAACAATACCGAAAATTGGTTGATTAACAGTATAGCAAAGAGTCATTTGTCTACGACTCATCCCCAAAGGACACAATTGAGTCATTTGTAAATGACTGCCCCCGTCATTTCCAATTGGCTAGTTTTTTCGTGGTTAGTTTTAATTCTCCTTTTTTTCATCAAATACTAAACTTTCTCTATTTAGTCTTCATAAACTCAATACTTTCCAATTATTTTCAAACATTCATTAATAATTTTCTGCTTTAAGCCACACCTACACGGATTTATTTTTGGGTATCCTCTCCAAAAGATTTTGTCGTAGTTAGTTTAGATAAAAATATGAGGTCTATTTATGTAGTATGGTTTGCTCGAGTGATTTGAGTGATTGATTTGGCAATCAAATCCCAAACAACACTAATACATTGTTTGTTGAGGTATAAAAATCCGTGGGATCCATGGATTTAGATAATTTTTTAGATTCGAATCCAAAAACCCACGTATTTGCAACATTTCGTTTTGTATTTGGTTATGGAAGGCAAAATTTTGACCCATGATGTAAAAGCCTTTAAATCAACTAAACAAACAATGAATTCTTTCAAATACATCATAAATCCAAAGGTTTTCAAAACTCAAACTTTAATTTTCAAATCCAACAAACAAACCAACACGCCCAACAATTCTAATAAAAAATCAACCTACCCACATTGTCTCATCTCATCCAAGTATCTGGAAAAAAGAACAGGCGTATCTAAAGCGTGAAAATTATTATTGCTTCAGAGGAATGTGATTGTCTAAAGATCGTCTGATACAAGGTAGAATTGAGAAAAAAGTACTTGAAACGGCAGAGATTTTCACAAGTCTGCATCCAAAACTACAAATAGTATTACAGATCACTGGTATTGGGATACAAGATCATCCCCAATCTCCAGACTTACAGATTCAACTTACCTGCCAAGTACCAAGAATGGATGGCAAGGCCACCAAAGGACATGATATTAGCAAGCGATGAAAACCCATGGATCATGCCGAATTTCTTGTTCATGGAAGCGAGCTTTGGGTCACTCTTTGCAACTTTCAAGTTCTTTGACCACCCTACTTCGTCTCCAATGTTCAATTCTCGCTCTATCTTGTGCCTTTGCTTCATCATCTGAAACAAAACCGAAAAAACAGAAGCGACGAATTAGCTACTATGTGGAAGAGATGGGGGTTCAGATTCTCTACTGATTTTCTTAGTTCAAAACAACAATAGTGAGCATCATCATTCATTCTGGGAAACGGTAAACAAAATTGCTGCAGGAGGAACATCCAATTCTACATCAAGAAACCCAACCAACACCCTCTAGGTGTTAAGTATGTATACAAAAACGAGAGGGACTTCATAAGGCATCTCCTCACGGCGGGCCATCCATTCTACGCCTTTTGAAGTTCTACTTAAGAGTTACAGGGTAAAGAGAGCACAGGTATCCATATCATACAACCTAAGGAGCTACTGCGGCATAAGATAGAAGAGATGCTGTTCAGATTCTCTACTGATTCCTTGGTTCAAGATATTTCCAACAATAGCGAGCATCATTCATTCCAAGTAACGGTAAGAAAAAATAGCGCAGAAGGAGGAACATCCGATTCTGCAACAAGACGCCCAACCAACACCTAATACTAAGTATGCATACGAAGGAGCAAGAAGGACTTCATAAGACATCTCCTCACGCCTCCTACAGGGCCATCCACTAGTTCTGCTTAAGTGTTACAGGGTAAAGAGACCACAGGCATCCATATCATACAACGGTCCGGCAGAACAACTCAAAAGATAAAGAAGTATCGTTAATTTTTTCATGCTCGTTACAAGTTCGCGACCAAGGAGCTACTGCAGCATGAGATAGAAGATCGATCGCACATGTGTATATATGTAATTGCGATTTAATGTACCTGGACGGTCATGGGGGTGAAAACGAACAGATTGCAGAGGTTGAAGGCGAAGGAAGAGAGCAGAAAACCAAGCTGATATCTCTCGGTTGTGGATGCTGATTGCCAGGGGTTCAGGTACCCGAAAGCCGCCACAGATATGGCGCAGCAAATTCCAACCATCGAGAAGTAAGCAGGGAACATCTTGCTCTGCAGGTTACCAAATTGATGTCTCGGAAGATTCCTTTTGTGGCAAAATCACAATTCCGATTAGGCAAAAAGACGAATTATTAATTGAGAGATCACAAAAGAAAAAGAAAAAAAAAATGCTGAATTCCAAACTCGAACGAAGCCCTAGATGTGAGAAAAACATAATAGTTCCGACAAGCGAGATGATGAATTGAAATCGATCGAAGGAAGGGAGAAGCCGTGTAGTTTTACTTGAACATGATGATGCCGCCGATGAAGGTGACCCAGAGGGCGGCGCCGAAAGCGGTGGAGAAGGCAAGGAGGTGAGCGAGCTTGAGGTAGGTGGAGAGCTGCTGGGCCGACTTGGATCCGAAGGTCTCCGGCGAGAAGACGACGCCGACGGCTAGGAAAGCCACCGCGGCCAGGAACCGGCTCAACCAACCCATCTTGCGCGACGACGGCGATCGAGTGGAGAAACGGGAATTGACGGAAGTTTCGCGAAGGAGCTTTGAAGCTGACTTTTGGTACACAATATGTATGGGAAGTTGGGAACCCAGCACGCCCTCGCGGACTTTGAAACTACTCTCCAATTAATTCCCCGGGAGCCGGCTAAACTAGTATTTGTTACGAATATATAGTATTTCAATTTTCAAGCCAACTACCTAACTATTACAACCATAAATTCCCCACATGTTTATTTTTGGGTACAACTACCCAATTATCGGGTCATTTGGATGAGATAATTCACTAAGTTATTTTGATTTGGCAGAAATAAAATGGAATGTGATATTTTGTTTACGAAACAATTGAAATAAATTCATTGTGAGTTATTTGAAATACTTATCGACTCCTAGTTATTTCAAATAACTCATCTCTCAACTTATTTTTCACTCCATCCCATCTCTAAATAATGAAACACCACAACATTTAAATGTTTTTATCCAAACAATACAATTGGACGAATTACCACATTTAAACTGGAATACCACACGAAATGTCATAATAGCAACATTAGTACAAAATGTCGAAATACCACATATGTATCCAATAATCCAAACTACCCTTAACTACTTGTCCATTACATTCTTGCTATAAGATGCAACTCATGTATATTAATAGTTTAATACCATTGTTATTGTTATATATTAATACCTGGATCAGAGAGCCGGGTCTGGCCTGTATCCGAAGATCCTTTTATACAGCTTCTGTTATTTTGGGCCTGGGCTCCATCGACTCTCAAGAATCAAGAGCCTACCACGAATATCAAAAGCCCAGTTGCCACAGCACGCGAAATTTCGGTCTCCCGCCAGGCATCCTTAATATTGAACTTCGTGAAAAAAATTCTCCCGCTTTTCAAATTCTTCCACTGTTCTTTCTTCACACCCACCACTTCAAGTCTTCTTCGAGAAGCTTTCCACAGAAAGAGAGGCGCCCGTGCACCACTTCTCGAAACCTTATCCTCCCTCTCAGTCAAATCGCTCTCCATTTACTCCAAGTTCCGACGGCGGTTCAACTCTCCGAGATCTCCCTTCCGCGGGGAAGTTAGATTTTGTGGAAATGCAGGCGGCAAGTTCTTACGGGAAGACGTTCTTGGGCATTCGCTTTCTTCTCTATGGCTTCGATCCTCCCGACCAGCATCAGGTTTTGGCTGATGGTTTCAATTCGATTCAGTTAGTTTCGTTTTTCATTCCATTCTAATTACAGTACTGCGAGTTCAATTTTTTTTTTTTTTTGGGTCTGCGGTTGTGGATTTCTTCAATTTGTTGTTCGTTTGTGCAGGTTCGATCCATGCTCTTGAGTCGCGGTGGAATTGAAGCTCAGGATTTTACTCATCTAGTAGTGGACAATACTATTTATGTAAGTGATGTTGAATCGTGGATTTAGGGTCGTGCTATTTCAGTTCGGGATTTTTCAATTGCTGTAGTGCTAGTTGTTGCATTGATGTTCATTCATTTTCTGAATCACTATTTCGTTGTCTTCGGGTGTGTTCGTAGGATGATCCGGCCTGTGTTTCTGCTAGAAATGATGGAAAGACAGTGGTCACTAAGTTATGGGTCGACCATAGTTTTGATATTGGATTGATTGTCGATGCAACTTCTGTGAGTGCTCTCTTCTCCGCTATTTGCTCTTGTTCTTTTCTGTGGTACCAGCTGTTATGCTTTCAAAACTGAAACTGTGGCTCTGGTTTGGTGTAACGATGGCTGCGCTCCTCCATTTGTGTGTGTTTTGTGCTGTTGGGTTTTCATTCGTGGATTCCCTCGCTGTAGTTGGGCTGAGATTCTATGGTTTTCTTCATTTTGATCTTCAGGTGATGTATCAACCTCCAAAAGATTTGAATGGGATACCAGGTGCCGAGAATCTCATTATTTGCTTAACTGGGTACCAGCGCCAAGATCGAGAGGACATTATGGTATACCATAGCTCAATTCTTTTGACTACGCGGAATGTAGTAGATCATTTTCATTTCTGATGTTGGAGTTGTGTTTCTAGACTATGGTTCGCCTCATGGGTGCGCAATTTTCCAAGGCATTGGTGGCCAGCAAAATCACTCATCTCATATGCTATAAAAATGAAGGTGAGCCTTTCTTCTGTGAGCTAAGGGCATTGTTGCTACTGCGGTCAATTTCTTCTGCTGTGACTACTCTTTTCTGGTTTTAGCTGTGGAATATGCATATTGTATGTTAAACCTTTCAGAATGGATATTGGATTTGGGTTCTGATGCCCTCTTAGGCCTCTATCTCAAGATTGTGTGGTTTGCTTGCTCATTTATCATAGTTAATAATCGCTTGAAAATCTTCAATTATGTGATAAACTCCTAAAAGGACGGCCTGGTTTCCTAGCTTTGTAGGACTGGCGTCTCTTGTCAAACCCACTCGTACATATATGTTCTAATGGCTACTTTCCTGGCAAACCTGCATGGTGTCCCTGCAAGAGTCTTCATTGTAAAGCTTGCTTTGGTCGAGTTTTGGTCTTTAGCTTCTTTGTGACAGTCTTTACTTATCTTGCACCGTCCTTCAGTATAATATACTGTAGTATTATAGCTCTGCATGTTGTGCCTTTTGAACGTTTGTGTGTATAATGGCAGCTGAACTATTTTTTAGGTGAAAAGTACGAACTTGCACGTAGGGTGCACCATATAAAGCTTGTCAATCATCAATGGCTGGAAGATTGGTAAGTTCTTTTTCAGGTGCTGTTATGTCTACGGTTGCTGGCTTGCTGCCTGTGATATTTGGCTGGAACCATGGTCCCTCTGCCGTTCTGCGTGTTAAGCTAGTTTCTCTTTTGCAGCTTGAGGAACTGGAAGATCCTCCCAGAAGATGAATATAGTAAGAGGTAATGTGAATGATTTACATTGTTTCATTTACCTGCATCTAGGAACATCATCTCAATCATTTTGTACGTGTCTGTGTTTGAGCCATTATCTTTCTGTCCTTCAATCTGTTCTGTTTTATTCTTGCTCTGTAGAGTCTTTTGTCACACATGGTACATGTAATCCCCTTCGATTCACACCCTGTAAATCTTCAGCCCAATCTTCCAATAATGGGTAACTAATGCACTATACTCTTACATTCATAGAATGAGGCACCAAAAAATGTATAACTTTTGATGATTCTACTTGATTTTGGATATTAACTTTAAGTAACGATCTTATTGCTTATAGTGTTATGTTTCTCCTTCCCCCTTCATTCCTTGTAGCGCGTCTCTTGTTCAGTGGCTTGGCAAATTGCCTTAATAAGGAGAAACTTCATATTCATGCTTCCTTTCTGCTTTTTATTTTCCAGTGGTTATGAGTTGGAGTTGATGGCAGCTGAAGCAATGGATTCTGAAGATGATGTGTCTGATGATACCTCTCTCAAGCTGCCTACCAGCCGCAGCATAAACCAAACCCTGCAGATTACGAGAAATGCATCTCCCAAGACCAGCGACTTGTCAAAATCAACTTCTAAAGTACCCACAACGCGGGTAGGGTCTGATGGTTTCTTTACAGTTCACAATGATGAGGAGGTATTAATAACTCCGGTCACTAAGAAAAAGGTGGATGCGGCATCCCATTTGGCAGGCCCATCAGAGAGAACTCCAGGTTCTGCAAAGGCGGGTGATAAGATGAACTCTGTCTCTATGAGTGTTGAAAAACCTTCAAATTCTAATACGAAGTCCAGTGTTATAAGTTACCACAGGAAAATTCCACAAAGGTCTCCTACAGCACTTTTTGTTGGAACGTCAAAAAGTCTTGGCTGCTCCCCGAAAGTACAAATAGGAGAACCCATAGATGTCACTTCTGCCGAAGTTGAAGATGCAAAGAAACAAAGTGGTTCCAATTCTGAGATCTCTGAGCGATTAGTCTCTGAACAGGTATCAGAGGGTAACAAGCAAAGGAAAGATGCTTGGAAGTCTAGTCCAAAGAGCCATAATCAACAAGCTTTTGTCACGGGAAGTCCAGCAGTTAGCTCTGGCGCTCAAGGATTGAAATCAACTACATTGGCAGGGAAGTCAGACATTTTGCCAGATGGTGATCATGTTCGCTCTGGTAATGGTATAGTAAGTCCGAATGCAATGTTGAATTCCACAAACATCTCTTCCAAGGAGGTAGTGGTGACTTCGAGAGAGAAATCACTTGTGCAAGAGCTGCTATTTGATGGGACTACAACCTTGGAAAGAACAGAACACCTAAGTCCTGATATGAAGCTTCAGACCTCAGTTGGTGGATTGAAAGAGCTGCCATTTGGTGGGACTACAACCTTGGAAAGAACAGAACACCTAAGTCCTGAGATGAAGCTTCAGACCCCATTGGGTGGATTGAAAGAGCTGAATTCACCTACCAATAACAACAGTGAAAATTTTGGTGCATATAATCTGAAACTCGTGGAGGGTACAAATCATCAAAGAGAGGCCTCTATGTTGACTACTTCAGATACCAATCAGAGGCAAGAAGATAACAGCTTACTTTTCCAACAAGGTGGGAAGCACACTGCTACAGGGAAGACAATGAGATCTAGACTGACACTGAAAAATGCTGGTGCGGACAAATCCAAACTTGTGGACGATACAAATCATCAAAGAGGGGCCTCTATGTTCACTACTTCAGATACCAATCAGAGGCAGGATGATGACAGCTTACTCTCCAAACAATTTCGGAAGCACACTGCTACTGGGAAGATGACTGGATCTAGACTGAAACTGAAAAATTCTGTGAATCAAAAGGGTTCTATTTATTTGAAAGAAGTTGCTGCTGCTAAGGAAGTTCTGGCAACTGATCCGTGTATCGGAAATGGTGGAGCAGAGAATGAAACAAACTTTTCCAGGGTCACAGAGATTGATAAACCACTTCTTGATGTTGCTCAAGTAGATGTTGTGGAAAGAGAACTTATTGTTGATCTAAGGGTCGATATCCAGGATAACACTGGGTTTATGGATGATGAGACCGAGCCTCCTGATGAAACATTTGACCGAAGTGATGAACTTGTAAAAGAGAGGACGGAAACAGTCGGTTTGGCAGCTATAGGCAAGGAATCCCAAGGTCAACGAATGGAGAAAAGTTCTGCTGTCTCTAAAGTGGACCATGTAATGGAGGATGCAGAAAAGAGAGATAATTCAATCTCAGAACGAGATGGTGATACAAAGAAGAAAAGTAAAGCTCAAAGGCTACCTTCAAGTAAGAGCAAGAGAAAGGCAGTTTCCACTGTTAATAATAACTCCTCCAACTCTAGCAAAGCGACGGGGAAAGAAAAGCAGCAAGCTGCAGGAGGCATACCGGAGAGAAATCGATCAGCAAGTTGTCGTCCAAGTATCAAGAACAAATCTAGAAAAAGGACACACAGCACCATGGAAGCAGACAAGGAGAATACGGCTGTTGCTGAAGTACTTAATAATGGAAGCAAGGCTGGAAACCATGTCGAACCATGTAAGACGACAGCAAATGGTGGTGATCAGGTAGCTCCAGAAGACAAACCTGCTTCTGCAGAAGTTGGAGCAATCTCAAATCACGTTGAGAGAGAACCAATGTTCTTCATGTTTAGTGGGTGCAATAGATTGCAGAGGAAGGAGTTTCAGAAGGTTATAAAACCATTGAAGGGGAAATCCTGGAGAGACTCTCACCAGTGGACATACCAGGCAACTCATTTAGTTGCTGCTGATCCTCTCCGCAGAACAGAAAAGGTCTTTGCTGCTGCTGCCTCTGGGAGGTGAGAGATTTCCCTTTCGCCTAATTAACTTGGAAGATTATTCATTACCTGTTATTCCAAGAATTCCTCGAATTTACATTTCAACTTTAATCCCTTGTGCTAGTCTGACAAAAGTGTCATGTTAACTGATGAGCTTTGGTTTTTGTTTACTCGCAGGTGGATTCTCAAGACGGACTATCTGTTCGCCTGCAGTCAGGAAGGCAAGTTTCTTCCTGAGGAACCTTATGAATGGCATAAGAAAGGGGTCAATGAAGACGGCGCTGTAAATTTAGAATCCCCCAGGAAATGGAGACTACTACGAGAGAAAACAGGACACGGTGCATTTCATGGTATGAGGATTGTCATCTATGGGGAATGCATCGCTCCCCCTTTGGTAAGTTTAACACATCTCTTTGCAAGCATAATTTCATTTAAGCTTTCGCGCTCATATCCTCCACTTCTGGCTGAACAGGACACACTGAAACGAGCTGTGAAGGCAGGAGGCGGGACAATACTAGCAACCTCCCCACCTTACACCCGGTTCCTCTCCTCAGGGATTGACTACGCCGTCGTCGCACACGGAACCCTGGTCGTCGACGGATGGGTACAAGAGTTTCTAAGGCATGAGATACCCTGCGTGGTAGCTGACTACCTGGTGGACTACGTGTGCAGAACAGGCTATTCTCTGGACAAGCATGTCCTCTTCAACACCCAGAAATGGGCAGACAAGTCGTTCAGCAACCTGGCGAGGAAGGCAGAGGAGATCGTCGTAGTGGCGAACCCTGCAGCTTCTTCTTCGCCCAAGAGCTGCATTAATGATGATGATGGTGATGATGTGGCGTGCCAGGTTTGCGGCGGCCGCGATCGAGGTGATGTGATGCTTCTGTGTGGGGATCAATCTGGGAATGTTGGTTGTGGCGTTGCTAGGCACATAGACTGCTGTGATCCTCCTCTTCAGAGTATCCCTCAGGAGGATTGGTTCTGTCCGAATTGTTCTAAGGACAGGAATGCGGTGAAGCCCGCCAAGGCGCCGAAGCGGAAGAAGGGGAAGGCCAGCTGATCTCAACCAAGGGAACATTGGTTTGATTTGTTTCTTTTAGTATGTCTATGTATTTCTTCTCTTCGATCTTTGAATTCTCTTCAAAGAAGTTCGAGTTCGACCTCTTCTTTCTTTGCTACGGTTGTTCTCTTCATCAGTCTTCAAGGTGAGCAGAAGTTTCGATAGACATTTATTGATGAATGGAAGTTCGAGGGTCTGGTTGATTGTGCATAGGATATAAGAATGTGGTTCTTCGAAGATTTTGGTTTATGAATTATGATCTTGATTGCGCGTCAAGGAAAAAGGTTAATAAGTGGTTTGGGCATTGAAGTCTACTCACCTATCAATTTTGGTCACTAGAAAAAATTAATATCAATTTTGGTTCTCTTCAGAGTATTCATCAAGGAAAAAGGTTAATCAGTAATTCGAATGATCAAAATGACATAATATTAATTGTGCTCTTCAAATGGTATCCACCTTGATATTATTTTCGAATAAATTTTTGTGAGACATTTAGTACCATTCTATACCATACCATGGTGGTATTGTTTGGTATTACATAAGAACATACCAAGTGGTAATGTGGTATAAAAGTGTATCAAGGTGATATGAAAACACCAGACTGTAGAATGGTTGAATATATGATAGTATGAATATATTACCTGTCATTTACAACTTTCAACATTATGTACCGCAAGATATCACAACTATACCAATGTGGTACGAGGTGATATTTTTTGGTGCTGTAATTTTGTAGATCCAATAGATCATGATGAACTCTTTACAAAAAATTTCAAATTAACTTAGAAAGGAAGGAGATACAAAATCGACTAGAATATGAATCTCATTTGTAGAAAACAACATACTCGATACATCTGTGCAAAATTTTTTTGTAATCAAAATTAAAACAATGAAAATACGAGCCGATTAAGAAAACTAGAAGAACTAAAAAATTATTAATTCTCACCTCTCAAATCCGAGACCCATTTAAAATTAAAGACTCAAATTTAGTTACAGAGTTATTATATGCAACGTATCGGTAACCACGTTAGTTGCACCAGAACCAATTCACCCACTCTATTGAGATATGTAGAGCCATTCAATCTCCGGTTACATACAAGCAGAGGAAAGTTCACAAGACGAAAACTCTCATTGTTAGGAGAAAAAAATAATAAAAAAAAAAAGAATCGAAGAATGTTGACAGAGCTCACTAAATCTGCTTCTCTCTAGAATGAAACACATTTTTTCATAATCCGAATTTCACACCAAACCGCCAAACCGAATTCAACAGAAAGAGACAACTGAACGAATCCACAGAAGCTCCAAGTTATGGAAATCGGTCGAACCGAGACAACTAATTTGGGCGTTGATCTTGGAGCCGCATTTGATGGTAAAATCGGGCGATGAACTCCTCCGCCTTGGAATCGATCATCTCGTCCCCTTCCACCCCATCGTAGTAGCAATCGCCATGTTCTTCCTCCTCCTCCTCCTCCTCCTCTAGATCCGCCAGGCTGTTCGCCGACGCGTACTGGCTCATCGCCGCCGGCGACGGCGGAGCAACCTCCCGATCCCCCTGTGCCACCACCGCAGATGACGCCTGAATCCGGCGTAACGCCGGCGGTGACGACGGCGGCGGTAATTGGTGGCTCTCCAATTGCAACGGGCGAACCAGGCCCAACAATTTCTTCCACTTGACGAAGCTGTTGTTGGAGGATGAACTCTTCTTGCTGGATTTGTTGTTGATCATGAACAATGCAGCCCTGATCAGTTGCATAACGCCTGCAAAAATAATTAGGGATTCGAAAAACCAATCAATCAATAAGATGCGTAATGTTTCAAGAATTGAAAACGTTCTGATTTCCATTGCCATCCAGCTACCTGTGGTTTTGTTCTTCTTTTTCTTGATGCAGGGGCGGAAGCCATTGCTGGAATCGAGGCTGAAGCTTCTGGCGGTCGGCGGTTCGTCGTTCTGGATGAAGAAGAGGCTGGATTTTCTTTCAGCTTCCATGGAATGAAATTCCAGGAGAGATTTGGTGAATTGGAGAAGATGAGGTGAGAGAGATCCTTGCTTTCTGACCCTGCCAAAAAAGAGCAGGAGTCAGAAACGCGCGCACAAGGGAGAGCTAAGCTTGAATTCACGTTGTGTTTATTTATAGGAGCAGACGTTCAGACCCACCCACCACAAACAAACCCACGTCGTCTCTTCTATTCTCATTTCTTTTTCTTTTCCTTTTAGGGTGGAACCATATGCTATTAGGCTAGCACCATGCTAAATCGAACCTAACCCCCTAATTAACTATGTTAATTCAATGGATGAAATTCAAGCAAGGGTAAATTAGTAATGACAAAAGATAAATAAATGCTATTTATGGCCCGTTCGCTTGCGTTTTTCGGCGAGTGGAAGATAACACTGCAAATGTGTTGAATGAAATAATTAGCAAAATGAAACTCCCAAGACATAATTGCAAAAGCAGAAAGGCAAAAATAAAAAATAAAAACTTGGACACGCTTGCCAATGAGACTATGGATCTACACCTACATTGAGTAAGAAGATCCTATTAGATTCAAAACTTCACAACTATTAATTATAAAAAAAAATTATGAATGAAAAATAACAACGAGGTAAAGATTATGTGTCTATTAAGTCGAACAAACAAAAAATGAACTTCGAATTTACTATGGATTTCCAACTAAGATGGAAAATAAAAGAGAATATATAAAAAATTAACAAAGTCAAAGAAAAGGATTACTCATATTGAAGAAAATTTTTCCACGTCGTCTAAGGTGACTTGAGGACGAGATTTTATTAGAAGTGGTAGTGATTAGCAAAACCAACAAACATGCTAAGCTATTGCAAGGCGTTGAAGCAACGTAATAAGTATGGGAAATTACTTCCACAGAGCTCACAAAATTGATGACAAATATAGTTAGCACCAATTGGAGGTAATACAGAGAAATAACTTGCAATGTTGAGTTGTGAAGAAAATAAATGGCCAAAGATTCAAATACACCATTTGCCACTGAAAAATGTAAGACAACCAACAAGGAGCAGTCAAGCTAAACAAATAAGGAAATGGAGGAATTCAAATGAAGCTGCATCAACCAAAAGAACACAAGGCATGTTTATTCCGGGTTAATTTTTGACATATTTCAAAGAGGTACAATCACATATTTCAGGTTATTTTTCAGAAATGTCATTTTCTTTCGATTCTGAGGCTAAAGATCATGGATTCAGGCAAAGGCTGTTCTCCACCGATAATGAAGTCTATTGATCCTAATCTCCACGGATGATAAGTATGTTAAACACCGGTTTGGGCCAATTTATTTTTTGATGGCATTTTCGTAATTTTTTGGTGAAGAAAGGTCATTTCTTTTGATTTTGAAGGGTACAGATCACCGAATCGGCCCGAGACTATTCTTCAACGATGATAAAGTCCATTAAACACCGATTTGGGCGGATTTATACATGGTCAATTTTTGGCATATTCCAAAGGGGTACCATCACAGATTTCAGGCGATTTTTTCGAAATGCCATTTTCTTTCAATTCTGGAGGCTAAAGATCACAGATTCAGGCCAAGGCTATTCTCTAGCGATAATGAAGTCTATTGATCCTATTCTCCACAGATGATAAGCCCGTTAAGCACCGGTTTGGGCCAATTTATTTTAGGATGACATTTTCTAAATTTTTGGGAGAAGAAAGGCCATTTCTTTGGAATTTGAAGGCTACAGATCACGGATTCGGCCTGAGGCAGTTCTTCAACGATGATTAAGTCCATTAATCATCGATTTGGGAAAATTCATTCCGGGTAAATTTTTGGCAGAATCCAAAGTGGTACCATCACAGATTTCGGGTGATTCTCTTGAAATGTCATTTTGTTTCGATTCTGGAGGCTATAGATCACGGATTCAGGCCGAAGCCGTTCTCCACCGATAATGAAGTCTATAGATGCTATTCTCCACAGATGACAAGTCCTTTAAGCAACGAATTGGGCTAATTTACATTCATATAGAATTTTCATATTTTTTTGGGCGACGAAAGGGCATTTTCTTTGGATTTTGAAGGCTATAAATCACAGATTTGGCCTGAGGCTATTCCTCAATGATGATTAAGTCCATTAAGTATCGATTTGAGAAGATTTATTCCAGGTCAATTTTTGACAGAATCCAAAGGGGTACCATCACATATTTCAGTCGATTTTCCTAAATGCCATTTTCTTACTAAACTGCCAAAAATAGACATAGAATAATTTTGCCCAAATCGGTGCTGAATGGACTAAATCATCGTTGGAGAATAGCCTCAGGCAGAATCCGTGATCTGTAGTCTTCAATATCCAAATAAAATGGCCTTTCGTCGCCCAAAAAAGTACGAAAATGCCATTCGAAAAAATTGGACCAAATCGGTGTTTAATGGACTTATCATGCGTGGAGAATAGGATAAATAGACATCATTATCGGTGGAGAATAGCCTCGACCTTATTCCGTAAACTGTAGCCTCCAAATTCGAAAGAAAATTGCATTTCGGAAAAATCGCCCGAAATCTGTGATGGTACCCCTTTGGAATATGCCAAAAATTGACCCGGAATAAATCCGCCCAAATCGGTGCTTATTGGACTCAATCATCGTTGGAGAATAGCCTCAGGTCGAATCCGTAATCTGTAGCCTTCAATATCAAAAGAAAATGGCATTTCGTGGCCCAAAAAATTACGAAAATGTCATCCGAAAATAAATTGGCCCAAATTGGTGCATAATGGACTTATCATCCGTGGAGAATAGGATCAATAGACTTCATTATCGGTGGAGAATAGCCTCGGCCTGATTGCGTGTTCTGTAGCCTCAAGAATCGAAAAAATGGCATTTCGGATAAATCGCCCGAAATCTGTGATGATACACCTTTGGAATCTGCCAAAAATTGACCCGGAATAAATCCACCCAAATCGGTGCATAATGGACTCAATCATCGTTGGAGAATATCCTCAGGCCGAATCCGTGATCTGTAGCCTTCGATATCCAAAGAAAATGCCTTTCGTCGCCCAAAATGTTACGAAAATGCCATCCAAAAATAAATTGACCCAAATCGGTGCTTAATTTACTTATCTTATGTGGAGAATAAGATCAATAGACTTAATTATCGGTGGAGAATAGCCTCGGCTTGATTCCGTGATCTGTAGCCTCCAAAATTGAAAGAAAATGGCATTTCGGATAAATTGCCCGAAATCTGTGATATACCCCTTTGGAATCTGCCAAAAATTGACCCGGAATAAATACGCCACAAATCGGTGCTTAATGGACTCAATCATCGTTGGAGAATAGCTTCAGGCCGAATACGTGATCTGTAGCCTTCAATATCCAAATAAAATGGCCTTTCATCGATCAAAAAATTATGAAAACGCCATCTGAAAATAAATTGGCCCAAATCGGTGCTTAATGGACTTATCATCCGTGGAGAATAGGATCAATATACTTCATTATCGATGGAGAATAGCCTTGGCCTGATTCCGCGTTCTGTAGCCTCTAGAATCGAAAGAAAATGATAGTTCGGAAAAATCGCCTGAAATCTGTGATGGTACCCCTTTAGAATCCGCCAAAAATTGACCCGGAATTAATCTGTCCAAATCGGTGCTTATTGAACTTAATCATCGTTGGAGAATAGCCTCCGGCCGAATCCGTGATCTGTAGCCTTCAATATCAAAAGAAAATGGCATTTCGTGGTCCAAAAAATTACGAAAATGCCATCCAAAAATTAATTGGCCCAAATTGGTGCTTAATCGACTTATCATCCGTGGAGAATAGGATCAATAGATTTCATTATCGGTGGAGAATAGCCTCGGCCTGATTCTATGTTCTGTAGCCTCCAGAATTGAAAGAAAATGGCATTTCGGGAAAATCGGTTGAAATCTGTGATGGTACCCCTTTAGAATCTGCCAAAAATTGACCCGGAATTAATCCGTCCAAATCGGTGCTTATTGGAATCAATCATCGTTGGAGGATAGCCTCAGGCCGAATCCGTGATCTGTAGCCTTCAATATCCAAAAGAAAATGGCCTTTCGTCACCCAAAAAGTTACGAAAATGCCATCCGAAAATAAATTGGCCTAAATCGGTGCTTAATGAACTTATCATCTGTGGAGAATAAGATATATAGACTTCATTATCGGTGGAGAATAGCCTCGGCTTGATTCTGTGATCTGTAGCCTCCAGAATCGAAAGAAAATGGCATTTCGTATAAATAGCCCGAAATCTGTGATGGTACCCCTTTGGAATCTTCTAAAATTTGACCCGGAATAAATCCGCCCAAATTGGTGCTTAATGGACTCAATCATCGTTGGAGAATAGCCTCAGGCCGAATCCGTGATCTGTTGCCTTCAATATCCAAATAAAATGGCCTTTCATCGCATAAAAAATTACGAAAACGCCATCCGAAAATAAATTGGCCCAAATCGGTGCTTGAATGACTTATCATCCATGGAGAATAGGATTAATAGACTTCATTATCAGTGTAGAATAGCTTCGGCCTGATTCCGTGTTCTGTAGCCCCAGAATCGAAAGAAAATGGCATTTCGGATAAATCGCCCGAAATCTGTGATGATACCCCTTTAGAATCTGTCAAAAATTGACCCTGAATAAATCCGCCAAAATCAATGCTTAATGGACTCAATCATTGTTGGAGAATAGCCTCAGGCCGAATCCGTGATCTGTAGCGTTCAATATCCAAAGAAAATGCCCTTTCGTCTCCCAAAAATTTACGAAAATGCATCCGAAAATAAATTGGCCCAAATCGGTGCTTAATGGACTTATCATCCGTGGAGAATAGAATCAATAGACTTCATTATTGGTGGAGAATAGCCTAGACCCTATTCCGTGATCTGTAGCCTTCCGAATCGAAAGGAAATGGCATTTCGAAAAAATCGCCTGAAATCTGTGATGGTACCCCTTTAGAATCTGCCAAAAATTGACCCGGAATTAATCCGTCCAAATCGGTGCTTATTGGACTCAATCATTGTTGGAGATAGCCTCTGGCCGAATCTGTGATCTGTAGCCTTCAATATCAAAAGAAAATGGAATTTCGTCACCCAAAAACTTACGAAAATGCCATCCGAAAATAAATTGGCCCAAAACGGTGCTTAATGGACTTATCATCCGTGGAGAATAGGATCAATAGACTTCATTATCGGTGGAGAATAGACTCGGCCTGATTCCGTGTTCTGTAGCCACAAGAATCGAAAGAAAATGGCATTTCGGATAAATCGCGCGAAATCTGTGATGATACCCCTTTGGAATCTGCCAAAAATTGACCCGGAATAAATCCGCCCAAATCGGTGCTTAATGGACTCAATCATCGTTGGAGAATATCCTCAGGCCGAATCCGTGATCTGTAGCCTTCGATATCCCAAGAAAATGCCTTTCGTCGACCAAAAAGTTACGAAAATGCCATCCGAAAATAAATTGGCCCAAATCGATGCTTAATTTACTTATCATCTGTGGAGAATAAGATCAATAGACTTAATTATCGGTGGAGAATAGTCTCTGCTTGATTCCGTGATCTGTAGGCTCCAGAATCGAAAGAAAATGGCATTTATGATAAATTGCCCGAAATCTGTGATAGTACCCCTTTGGAATCTGCCAAAAATTGACCCGAAATAAATCCGCCCAAATCGTTGCTTAATGGACTCAATCATCGTTGGAGAATAGCTTCAGGCCGAATACGTGATCTGTAGTCTTCAATATCCAAATAAAATGGCCTTTCATCGACCAAAAAATTACGAAAACCCCATCCGAAAATAAATTGGCCCAAATCGGTGCTTAATGGACTTATCATTCGTAGAGAATAGGATCAATAGACTTCATTATCGATGGAGAATAGCCTCGGCCTGATTCCGTGTTCTGTAGCCTCTAGAGTCGAAAGAAAATGACAGTTCGGAAAAATCGCCTGAATTCTGTGATGGTACCCCTTTAGAATATGCCAAAAATTGACCCGGAATTAATCCGTCCAAATCGGTGCTTATTGGACTCAATCATCGTTGGAGGATAGCCTCAGGCCGAATCCGTGATCTGTAGCCTTCAATATCAAAAGAAAATGGCATTTCGTGGCCCAAAAAATTACGAAAATGCCATCCAAAAATAAATTGGCCCAAATTGGTGCATAATGGACTTATCATCCGTGGAGAATAGGATCAATAGATTTCATTATCGGTGGAGAATAGCCTCGGCCTGATTCTGTGTTCTGTAGCCTCCAGAATCGAAAGAAAATGGCATTTCGGAAATATCGCCTAAAATCTGTGATGGTACCCCTTTAGAATCTGCCAAAAATTGACCCGGAATTAATCCTTCCAAATCGGTGCTTATTGGACTCAATCATCGTTGGAGGATAGCCTCAGGCCGAATCCGTGATCTGTAGCCTTCAATATCCAAAGAAAATGGCCTTTCGTCGCCCAAAAAGTTACGAAAATGCCATCCGAAAATAAATTGGCCCAAATCGGTGCTTAATGAACTTATCATCTGTGGAGAATAAGATATATAGAGTTCATTATCGGTGGAGAATAGACTCGGCCTGATTCCGTGTTCTGTAGCCTCCAAAATCGAAAGAAATTGCATTTCGGATAAATCCCCCGAAATCTGTAATGGTACCCCTTTAGAATCTGCCAAAAATTGACCCGGAACTAATCCGTCCAAATCGGTGCTTATTGGACTCAATCATCGTTGGAGAATAGCCTCGGGCCGAATCAGTGATCTATAGCCTTTAATATCCAAAAATAATGGCCTTTCGTCGCACAAAAAATTACGAAAACGCCATCCGAAAATAAATTGGCCCAAATCGGTGCTTAATGGACTTATCATCCATGGAGAGTAGGATCAATAGACTTCATTATCGGTGGAGAATAGACTCGGCCTGATTCCGTGTTCTGTAGCCTCAAGAATCGAAAGAAAATGGCATTTCGGATAAATCGCCTGAAATCTGTGATGGTACCCCTTTGGAATCTGTCAAAAATTGACCCTGAATAAATCCGCCCAAATCGATGCTTAATGGACTCAATCATTGTTGGAGAATAGCCTCAGGCCGAATCCGTGATCTGTAGCCTTCAATATCCAAAGAAAATGGCCTTTCGTCGCCCAAAAAGTTACGAAAATGCATCTGAAAATAAATTGGCCCAAATCGGTGCTTAATGGACTTATCATCGGTGGAGAATAGGATCAATACACTTCGTTATCGATGGAGAATAGCCTCGGCCTGATTTCGTAATTTGTAACCTCCTGAATCGAAAGAAAATGGCATTTCGGATAAATCGATAGAAATTTGAGATAGTACCCCTTTGGAATCTTCCAAAATTTGACCGGAAATAAACCCGCCCAAATTAGTGCTTGATGGACTCAATCATCGTTTGAGAATAGTCTTAGGCCGAATCTGTGGTCTGTAGCCTTCAATATCCAAAGAAAATGGCCTTTCGTCTCCCAAAAAATTACGAAAATGCCATCCAAAAATAAATTGGCCCAAATTGGTGCTTAATGGACTTATCATCCGTGGAGAATAGAATCAATAAAATTCATTATTGGTGGAGAATAGCCTAGACCCTATTCCGTGATCTATAGCCTCCAGAATCAAAAGAAAATAACATTTCGGAAAAATCGCCTGAAATCTGTGATGGTACCCCTTTAGAATCTGCCAAAATTTGACCCGGAATAAATCCACCCAAATCAGTGCTTAATGAACTCAATCATCGTTGGAAAATAGCCTTACGCCGAATCCGTGATCTGTAGCCTTCAATATCCAAATAAAATGGCCTTTCGTCGCCCAAAAAATTACGAAAACGCCATCCGAAAAGAAATTGGCCCAAATCGGTGTTTAATGGACTTATCATGCATGGAGAATAGGATCAATAGACATCATTATAGGTGGGGAATAGCCTCGACCTTATTCCGTAATCTGAAGCCTCCAGATTCGAAAGAAAATGGCAGTTCGGAAAAATCGCCTGAAATCTGTGATGGTACCCCTTTAGAATCTGCCAAAAATTTACACGGAATTAATCCGTCCAAATCGGTGCTTATTGGACTTAATCATCGTTGGAGAATAGCTTCAGGCTGAATCCGTGTTCTGTAGCCTTCAGAATCGAAAGAAAATGGCATTTCGGATAAATTGCCCGAAATCTGTGATAGTAACCCTTTGGAATCTGCAAAAAATTGACCCGGAATAAATCCGCCCAAATCGGTGCTTAATGGACTCAATCATCGTTGGAGAATAGCTTCAGGCCGAATACGTGATCTGTAGCCTTCAATATCCAAATAAAATGGCCTTTCATCAACCAAAAAATTACGAAAACGCCGTCCGAAAATAAATTGCCCCAAATCGGTGCTTAATGGACTTATCATTCGTAGAGAATAAGATCAATAGACTTCATTATCGATGGAGAATAGCCTTGGCCTGATTCCGTGTTCTGTAGCCTCTAGAATCGAAAGAAAATGACAGTTCGGAAAAATCGGCTAAAATCTGTGATGGTACCCCTTTAGAATCTGCCAAAAATTGACCCGGAATTAATCCGTCCAAATCGGTGCTTATTGGACTTAATCATCGTTGGAGAATAGCCTCAGGCCGAATCCATGATCTGTAGCCTCCAATATCACAAGAAAATGGCATTTAGTGGCCCAAAAAATTACGAAAATGCCATCCAAAAATAAATTGGCCCAAATTGGTGCTTAATGGACTTATCATCCGTGGAGAATAGGATCAATAGATTTCATTATCGGTGGAGAATAGCCTCGGCCTGATTCTGTGTTCTGTAGCCTCCAGAATCGAAAGAAAATGGCATTTCGGAAATATCGCCTGAAATCTGTGATGGTACCACTTTAGAATCTGCCAAAAATTGACCCGGAATTAATCCGTCCAAATCGGTGCTTATTGGATTCAATCATTGTTGGAGGATAGCCTCAGGCCGAATCCGTGATCTGTAGCCTTCAGAATCGAAAGAAAATGGTATTTCGGATAAATTGCCCGAAATCTGTGATAGTACCCCTTTAGAATCTGCCAAAAATTGACCCGGAATAAATCAGCCCAAATCGGTGATTAATGGACTTAATCATCGTTGGAGAATAGCCTCAGGCCGAATCCGTGATCTGTAGCCTTCAATATCCAAATAAAATGGACTTTCGTCGCCCAAAAAATTACGAAAACGCCATCCGAAAAAAATTGGCCCAAATCGGTGCTTAATAGACTTATCATGCGTGGAGAATAGGATGAATAGACAAAATTATCGATGGGGAATAGCCTCGACCTTATTCCGTAATCTGAAGCCTCGAGATTAGAAAGAAAATTGCATTTCGGAAAAATCGCCCGAAATTTGTGATGGTACCCCTATGGAATCTGCAAATAATTGACCCGAAATAAATCTGCCCAAATCGGTGCTTATTGGACTCAATCATCGTTGGAGAATAGCCTCAGGCCGAATCCGTGATCTGTAGCCTTCAATATCAAAAGAATATGGCATTTCGTTGCCCAAAAAATTACGAAAATGCCATCCGAAAATAAATTGGCCCAAATTGGTGCTTAATGGACTTATCATCAGTGGAGAATAGGATCAATAGACTTCACTATCGGTGGAGAATAGCCTCGTCCTGATTCCGTATTATGTAGCCTCCAGAATCGAAAGAAAATGGCATTTCGGATAAATCGCCCAAAATCTGTGATGGTACCCCTTTGGAATCTGCCAAATATTAACACGGAATAAATCATCTCAAATTGGTGCTTAATGGACTCAATCATCGTTGGAAAATAACCTCAGACTGAATCTGTGATCTGTAGCCTTCAATGTCCAAAGAAAATGGACTTTCGTCGCCCAAAAAATTACATAAATGTCATCCAAAAATAAATTGGCCTAAATCGGTGTTTTATGGACTTATCATCCGTGAATAATAGGATCAATAGACTTCATTATCGTTGGAGAATAGCCTTGGCCTGTTTCCGTGATCTGTAGCCTCCATAATCGAAAGAAAATGGCATTTCGGATCAATCGTCCGAAATCTGTGATGGTACCCCTTTGGAATCTGCAAAAAATTGACCCGGAATAAATCCTCCCAAATCGGTGCTTAATAAACTCAATCATCGTTGGAGAATAGCCTCGGACTGAATCAGTGATCTGTAGCATTCATATCCAAAGAAAATGACCTCTTATCGCCTAAAAAATTACGAAAATGCCATCCAAAAATCAATTCGACCAAATCGGTGCTTAATGTACTTTTCATCCGAGGAGAATAGGATCAATAAACTTCATTATCGGTGGAGAATAGCATCGGCCTGATTCCGTGTTCTGTAGCCTCCAGAATGGAAAGAAAATGACATTTCGGATAAATCGCCCGAAATCTGTGATGGTACCCCTTTCGAATCTGCCAAAAATTGACCCGGAAAAATTCGCCCAAATCTGTTCTTATTGGACTCAATCATCGTTGGAGAAAAGCCTCAAGCCGAATCCGTGATCTGTAGCCTTCAATATCAAAAGAAAATGGCATTTTGTCGCACAAAAAATTACGAAAATGCCATCCGAAAATAAATTGGCCCAAATTGGTGCTTAATGGACTTATCTTCCGTGGAGAATATGATCAATAGTCTTCATTATCGGTGGAGAATAGCCTCGACCTGATTCCGTGTTATGTAGCTTTCTAAATCGAAAGAAAATGGAATTTCGGATAAATCGCCCGAAATATGTGATGGTACCCCTTTGGAATCTGCCAAAAATTGACCCGGAATAAATCCGCCCAAATCAGTGCTTATTGGACTCAATCATCGTTGGAGAATAGTCTCAGGCCGAATCCGTGATCTGTAGCCTTCAATATCAAAAGAAAATGGCATTTCGTCACCCAAAATATTACGAAAATGCAGTCCGAAAATAAATTGACCCAAATTGGTGCTTAATGGACTTATCATCCGTGGAGAATAGGATCAATAGACTTCATTATCGGTTGAGAATAACCTCGACCTGATTCCGTGTTATGTAGCTTCCTAAATCGAAAGAAAATGCATTTCGGATAATCGCCCGAAATCTGTGATGGTACCCCTTTGGAATCTGCCAAAGATTGACCCGGAATAAATCCGCCCAAACCGGTGCTTAATGAACTCAATCAATGTTGGAGAATAGCCTCAGGCCGAATCTGTGATCTGTAGCCTTCAATATCCAAAGAAAATGGCCTTTCGTCGCATAAAAAGTGACAAAAATGCCTTCAGAAAATAATTGGCCCAAATCGGTGCTTAATGAACTTATCATCTGTGGAGAATAAGATCAATAGACTTTATTTTCGGTGGAGAATATCCTCGGCTTCATTCCGTGATCTGTAGCCTCCAGAATCGAAAGAAAATGGCATTTCGGATAAATAGCCCGAAATCTGTGATGGTACCCCTTTGGAATCTGCCAAAAATTGACACGGAATAAATCCGCCCAAATCAGTGCTTAATGGACTCAATCATCGTTAGAGAATAGCCTCATGCCGAATATGTGATCTGTAGCCTTCAATATCCAAATAAAATGGCCTTTCGTCGCCCAAAAAAATTACGAAAATGCCATCCGAAAATAAATTTGCCCAAATTGGTGCTTTATGCCCTTATCATCCGTGGAGAATAGGATCAATAAACTTCATTATAGGTGGAGAATAGTCTTGACCTGATTTCGTGATCTGTAGCCTCCAGAATCGAAAGAAAATGGCATTTCGGATAAATAGCCCGAAATCTGTGATGGTACCCCTTTGGAATCTGCCAAAAATTTACCCAGAATAAATCAGCTCAAATTGGTGCTTAATGGACTCAATCATCGTTGGAAAATAACCTCAGACTTAATCTGTGATCTGTAGCCTTCAATGTCCAAAGAAAATGGACTTTCGTCGCCCAAAAAATTATAAAAATGTCATCCAAAAATAAATTGGCCTAAATCGGTGCTTTATGGACTTATCATCCGTGGAGAATAGGATCAATAGACTTCATTACCGGTGGTGAATTGCCTCGGCCTGATTCCGTGATCTGTAGCCTCCAAAATCGAAATAAAATGGCATTTCGGATAAATTGTCTGAAATCTGTGATAGTACCCCTTTGGAATCTGCCAAAAATTGACCCGAAATAAATCCGCCCAAATCGGTGCTTAATGAACTTAATCATCGTGGGAGAATAGCCTCAGGACGAATCTATGATCTGTATCCTTCAATATCCAAAGAAAATGGGCTTTCGTCGCCCAAAAAATTACGAAAATGCCATCCAAAATTAAATTGCCCCAAATCGGTGCTTAATGGACTTATCATCCGTGGAGAATTGGATCAATAGACTTCATTATCCATGGAGAATAGCTTGGGCTTGATTCCGTGATCTGTAGCTTCTAGAATCGAAAGAAAATGGCATTTCGGATAAATCGCCTGAAATCTATTATCGTACCCCTTTGGAATCTGCAAAAATTGACCCGGAATAAATCCGCCCAAATCGATGCTTAATGGATTCAATCATCGTTAAAGAAAAGCTCATGCCGAATTCGTGATCTATAGCCTTAAATATCAAAAGAAAATGGCTTTCGTCGCCCAAAAAATTACAATAATGTCATCCGAAAATAAATTGGCCCAAATCGGTGCTTAATGGACTTATCATCCGTGAATAATAGGATCAATAGACTTCATTATCGGTGGAGAATAGCCTTGGCCAGTTTCCGTGATCTGTAGCCTCCATAATCGAAAGAAAATGGCATTTCGGATCAATCGTCCGAAATCTGTGATGGTACCCCTTTGGAATCTGCCAAAAATTGACCCGGAATAAATCCTCCCAAATCGGTGCTTAATGAACTCAATCATCGTTGGAGAATAGCCTCGGACTGAATCAGTGATATGTAGCCTTCATATCCAAAGAAAATGGCCTCTTATCGCCTAAAAAATTACGAAAATGCCATCCAAAAATCAATTCGACCAAATCGGTGCTTAATGTACTTTTCATCCGAGGAGAATAGGATCAATAAACTTCATTATCGGTGGAGAATAGCATCGGCCTGATTCCGTGTTCTGTAGCCTCCAGAATGGAAAGAAAATGACATTTCAGATAAATCGCCCGAAATCTGTGATGGTACCCCATTCGAATCTTCCATAAATTGACCCGGAAAAATTCGCCCAAATCTGTGCTTATTGGACTCAATCATCGTTGGAGAAAAGCCTCAAGCCGAATCCGTGATCTGTAGCCATCAATATCAAAAGAAAATGGCATTTTGTCGCACAAAAAATTACGAAAATGCCATCCGAAAATAAATTGGCCCAAATTGGTGCTTAACGGACTTATCTTCCGTGGAGAATATGATCAATAGTCTTCATTATCGGTGGAGAATAGCCTCGACCTGATTCCGTGTTATGTAGCTTTCTAAATCGAAAGAAAATGGAATTTCGGATAAATCGCCCGAAATCTGTGATGGTACCCCTTTGGAATCTGCCAAAAATTGACCCGGAATAAATCCGCCCAAATCAGTGCTTATTGGACTCAATCATCGTTGGAGAATAGTCTCAGGCCGAATCCGTGATCTGTAGCCTTCAATATCAAAAGAAAATGGCATTTCGTCACCCAAAATATTAAGAAAATGCCGTCCGAAAATAAATTGACCCAAATTGGTGCTTAATGGACTTATCATCCGTGGAGAATAGGATCAATAGACTTCATTATCGGTTGAGAATAGCCTCGACCTGATTCCGTGTTATGTAGCTTCCTAAATCAAAAGAAAATGCATTTCGGATAATCGCCCGAAATCTGTGATGGTACCCCTTTGGAATCTGCCAAAAATTGACCCGGAATAAATCCGCCCAAATCAGTGCTTATTGGACTCAATCATCGTTGGAGAATAGCCTCAGGCCGAATCCGAGATCTATAGCCTTCAATATCAAAAGAAAATTGCATTTCGTCGCCCAAAAAATTACGAAAATGCTATCCAATAATAAATTGGCCCAAATTGGTGCTTAATGGACTTATCATCCGTGGAGAATAGGATCAATAGACTTCATTATCGGTGGAGAATAGCCTCGACCTGATTCCGTGTTATGTAGCTTCCTAAATCGAAAGAAAATGGCATTTCAGGAAATATCGTCTGAAATCTGTGAAGGCACCCCTTTAGAATCTGCCAAAAATTGACCCGGAATTAATCCGTCCAAATCGGTGCTTATTGGACTCAATCATCGTTGGAGGATAGCCTCAGGCTGAATCCGTGATCTGTAGCCTTCAGAATCGAAAGAAAATGGCATTTCGGATAAATTGCCCGAAATCTGTGATAGTACCCCTTTGGAATCTGCCAAAAATTGACCCAGAATAAATCCGCCCAAATCGGTGCTTAATGGACTCAATCATCGTTGGAGAATAGCTTCACGCCGAATACGTGATCTGTAGCTTCAATATCCAAATAAAATGGCCTTTCATCGACCAAAAAATTACGAAAGAATAAATCCGCCCAAATTAGTGTTTATTGGACTCAATCATCGTTGGAGAATAGCCTCACGTTGATTGTAGCCTTCAATATCAAAAGAAAATGGCATTTCGTTGTCCAAAAAATTACGAAAATGCCAACCGAAAATAAATTGGCCAAATTGGTGCTTAATGGACTTATCATCCGTGGAGAATAGGATCAATTGACTTCATTGTCGGTGGAGAATAGCCTCGAACTGATTTCGTGTTCTGTAGCTTCCTAAATCGAAAGAAAATGGCATTTCGGATAAATCGCCTGAAATCTGTGACGGTGCCGCTTTGGAATCTGCCCAAAATTGACCCGGAATAAATCCGCACAAATCGGTGCTTAATGGACTTTATCATCGTTGGAGAATAGCCTCAGGCTGAATCAGTGATCTGTAGCCTTCAATATCCAAAGTAAATGGCCTTTCGTCGCACAAAAAGTTACGAAAATGCTATCCGAAAATAAATTCGACCAAATCGGTGCTGAATGGACTTATCATCCGTGGAGAATAAGATCGAATAGATTTCATTATCGGTGGAGAATAGCCTCGGGTTGATTCCATGATCTGTAGCCTCCATAATCGAAAGAAAATGGCATTTCGGATGAATCGCCCGAAATCTGTGATGGTACCCCTTTGGAATCTGCCAAAAATTGACCCGGAACAAATCCGCCCAAATAAGTGTTTATTGGACTCAATCATCGTTGGAGAATAGTCTCAGGTCGATTGTAGCCTTCAATATCAAAAGAAAATGGCATTTCGTTGTCCAAAAAATTATGAAAATGCCAACCGAAAATAAATTGGCCAAATTGGTACTTAATGGACTTATCTTCCGTGGAGAATAGGATCAATTGACTTCATTATCGGTGGAGAATAGCCTCGACCTCATTCCGTGTTCTGTAGCTTCGTAAATCGAAAGAAAATGGCATTTCGGATAAATCGCCTGAAATCTGTGATGGTACCCCTTTGGAATCTGCCAAAAATTGACCTAGAATAAATCCGCCCAAATCGGTGCTTAATGGACTTTATCATCGTTGGAGAATAGCCTCAGGCTGAATCTGTGATCTGTAGCCTTCAATATCCAAAGTAAATGGCCTTTCGTCGCCCAAAAAGTTACGAAAATGCTATCCGAAAATAAATTCGACCAAATCGGTGCTGAATGGACTTATCATCCGTGGAGAATAACATCGAATAGACTTCATTATCGGTGGAGAATAGCCTCGGGTTGATTCCATGATCTGTAGCCTCCATAATCGAAAGAAAATGGCATTCGGATGAATCGCCCGAAATATGTGATGGTGCCCCTTTGGAATCTGCCAAAAATTGACCCGGAATAAATCCGCCCAAATCAGTGTTTATTGGACTCAATCATCGTTGGAGAATAGCCTCAGGTCGATTGTAGCCTTCAATATCAAAAGAAATGGCATTTCGTCGGCCAAAAAATTACGAAAATGCTATCCGAAATAAATTTGCCCAAATCGGTGGTTAATGGAATTATCATCAGTGGAGAATAACATCAATAGACTTCATTATTGGTGGAGAATAGCCTTGGCTTGATTCCGTGATCTGTAGCCTCCAGAATCGAAACAAAATGGAAATTCGGATAAATCGCCCGAAATCTGTGATGGTAACCCTTTGGAATTTGCCAAAAATTGACCCGGAATAAATCCGCCCAAATCAGTGCTTAATGGACTCAATCATCGTTGTAGAATAGCCTCAGGATGAATCCGTGATCTGTAGCCTTCATATCCAAAGAAAGGGCCTCTCATTGGCTAAAAAATTACGAAAATGCCATCCGAAAATAAATTGGACTAAATCGGTGCTTCATGGACTTATCATCCATGGAGAATAGGATCAATAAAATTCATTATCGGTGGAGAATAGCCTCGACCTGATTCCGTGATCTGTAGCCTCCAGAATCGAAAGAAAATGGCATTTCGGATAAATCCCCTGAAATCTGTGATGGTACCCCTTTGGAATATGCCAAAAATTTACCCAGAATAAATCAGCTCAAATTGGTACTTAATGGACTCAATCATCGTTGGAAAATAACCTCAGACCGAATCTGTGATCTGTAGCCTTCAATGTCCAAAGAAAATGGACTTTCGTTGCCCAAAAAATTACAAAAATGTCATACAAAAATAAACTGGCCTAAAATCGGTGCTTTATGGACTTATCATCCGTGGAGAATAGGATCAATAGAATTCATTACCGGTGGTGAATTGCCTCGGCCTGATTCCGTGATCTGTAGCCTCAAGAATCGAAATAAAATGGCATTTCGGATAAATCGCCTCAAATCTGTGATGGTACCCCTTTGGAATCTGCCAAAAATTGACCCGGAATAAATCCGCCCAAATCGGTGTTTAATGCACTCAATCATCGTTGGAGAATAGCCTTAGGCTGAATCCGTGATCTGTAGCCTGCAATATCCAAAGTGAATGGCCTTTCGTCGCCCAAAATGTTACGAAAATGCTATCTGAAAATAAATTCGGCCAAATCGGTGCTTAATGGACTTATCATTCGTGGAGAATAACATCAATAGACTTCATTATCGGTGGAGAATAGCCTTGGCTTGATTCCGTGATCTGTAGCCTCCAGAATCAAAACAAAATGGCATTTCGGATAAATCGCCCGAAATCTGTGATGGTACCCCTTTGGAATCTGCCAAAAATTGACCCGGAATAAATCCGCCCAAATCGTTGCTTAATGGACTCAATCATCGTTGGAGAATAGTCTCAGACTGAATCCGTGATCTGTAGCCTTCATATCCAAAGAAAATGGCCTCTTATCGCCTAAAAAATTACAAAAATGCAACACAAGAATAAATTGGACCAAATCGGTGCTTAATGTACTTTTCATCCGTGGAGAATAGGATCAATAAACTTCATTATCGGTGGAGAATAGCCTCGGCCTGATTCCGTGTTCTGTAGCCTCCAGAATGGAAAGAAAAAGGCATTTCGGATAAATCGCACAAAATCTGTGATGGTACCCCTTTCGAATCTGCCAAAAATTGACCCGGAATAAATTCGCCCAAATCAGTGCTTATTGGACTCAATAATCGTTGGAGAAAAGCCTCAGGCCGAATCCGTGATCTGTAGCCTTCAATATCAAAAGAAAATGGCATTTTGTCGCCCAAAAAATTACGAAAATGCCATCCAAAAATAAATTGGCCCGAATTGGTGCTTAATGGACTTATCATCCGTGGAGAATAACATCGAATAGACTTCATTATCAGTTGAGAATAGCCTCGGCTTGATTCCATGATCTGTAGCCTCCAGAATCGAAACAAAGTGGCATTTCAGATAAATCGCCTGAAATCTATGATGGTACCGCTTTGGAATCTGCCAAAAATTGACCCTGAATAAATCCGCCCAAATCGGTCCTTAATGGATTCAATCATCGTTGGAGAATAGCCTCAGGCTGAATCCTTGATCTGTAACCTTCATATCCAAAGAAAATGGCCTCTCATCGCCTAAAAAATTATGAAAATGCTATCCGAAAATAAATTGGACTAAATCGGTGCATAAGGGACTTATCATCCGTGGAGAATAGGATCAATAAACTTAATTCTCGGTGGAGAATAGCCTCGACCTGATTCCGTGTGCTGTAGCCTTCAGAATTGAAAGAAAATGGCATTTCGGATAAATCGCCCGAAAACTGTGATGGTACCCCATTGGAATCTGCCAAAAATTGACGCGGAATAAATCCACCCAAATCAGTGCTTATTAGACTCAATCATCGTTAGAGAATAGCCTCAGGCCGAATCCGTGATCTGTATCCTTCAATATCCAAAGAAAATGGCCTTTCGTGGCCCAAAAAATTACAAAAATGTCATCCGAAAATAAATTGGCCCAAATCGGTGCTTAATGGACTTATCATCCGTGGAGAATAGGATTAATAAACTTTATTATCGGTGGAGAATAGCCTCGGCCTGATTCCGTGTTCTGTAGCCTCCAGAATCCAAAGAAAATGGCATTTCGGATAAATCGCCCGAAATCTGTGATGGTACCGCTTTGAAATCTGCCAAAAATTGACCCGGAATAAATCCGCCCAAATCGGTGCTTAATGGACTCAATCGTCGTTGGAGAATAGCCTCAGGCTGAATCCGTGATCTGTAACCTTCATATCCAAAGAAAATGGCCTCTCATCGCCTAAAAAATTATGAAAATGTCATCCGAAAATAAATTGGACCAAATCGGTGCTTAATTGACTTATCATCCGTGGAGAATAGGATTAATAAACTTTATTATCGGTGGAGAATATTCTCGGCCTCATTCCGTGTTCTGTAGCCTACAGAATCGAATGAAAATGGCATTTCAGATAAATCGCCCGAAATCTGTGATGGTAACCAATTGGATTCTGTCAAAAATTGACCCAGAATAAATCCGCCCAAATCAGTGCTTATTGGACTAAATCATCGTTGGAGAATAGCCTCAGGTCGAATCCGTGTTCTGTAGCCTTCAATATCAAAAGAAAATGGCATTTCGTTGTCCAAATAATTACGAAAATGCCAACCGAAAATAAATTGGCCAAATTGGGGCTTAATGGACTTACCATCCGTGAAGAATAGGATCAATTGACTTCATTATCGGTGGAGAATAGCCTTGACATGATTCCGTGTTCTGTAGCTTCCTAAATCGAAAGAAAATGGCATTTCAGATAAATAGCCTGAAATCTGTGTTGGTACCCCTTTGGAATCTGCCAAAAATTGGCCCCGAATAAATCCGCCCAAATCGGTGCTTAATGGATTCAATCATCGTTAAAGAATAGCCTTAGGCCGAATTCGTTATCTATAGCCTTCAATATCAAAATAAAATGGCATTTTGACGCCCAAAAAATTACAAAAATATCATCCGAAAATAAATTGGCCCAAATCTGTGCTTAATGGACTTATCATCCATGGAGAATAGGATCAATAGACTTCATTATCGGTTGTGAATTGCCTCGTCCTGATTCCGTGATCTGTAGCCTCCAGAATCGTAATAAAATGGCATTTCGGATAAATTGCCTGAAATCTGTGATGGTACCCCTATGGAATCTGCCAAAACTTGACTTGAAATAAATCCCCCCAAAACGGTGCTTAATGAACTTAATCATCGTTGGAGAATAGCCTCAGGCCGAATCTATGATTTGTATCTTTCAATATCCAATGAAAATGGCTTTTCGTCGCCCAAAAAATTACAAAAATGTCATCCAAAAATAAATTGCCCCAAATCGGTGCTTAATGGACTTATCATCCGTGGAGAATTGGATCAATAGACTTCATTAACGATGGAGAATAGCCTCAGCCTGATTCCTTGATCTGTAGCCTCTAGAATCAAAAGAAAATGGCATTTCGGATAAATCGCCTTAAATCTATGATGGTACCCCTTTAGAATCTGCCAAAAATTGACCCTGAATAAATCCGCCTAAATCGGTGCTTAATGGACTCAATCATCGTTGGAGAATAGCCTCAGGCTGAATCCGTGATCTGTACCCTTCAATATCCAAAGTAAATGGCCTTTCGTCGCCCAAAAAGTTACGAAAATGCTATTAGAAAATAAATTCGCCCAAATCGGTGATTAATGGATTTATCATCCGTGGAGAATAACATCGAATAGACTTCATTATCGGTGGAGAATAGCCTCGGCTTGATTCCATGATCTGTAGCCTCCAGAATCGAAACAAAGTGGCATTTCAGATAAATCGCCCGAAATCTGTGATGGTACCGCTTTGAAATATGCCAAAAATAAACCCGGAATAAATCCGCCCAAATCGGTGCTTAATGGACTCAATCGTCGTTGGAGAATAGCCTCAGGCTGAATCCGTGATCTGTAACCTTCATATCCAAAGAAAATGGCCTCTCATAGCCTAAAAAATTATGAAAATGCCATCCGAAAATAAATTGGACTAAATCGGTGGTTCATTGACTTATCATCCGTGGAGAATAGGATCAATAGACTTCACTATCGGTGGAGAATAGCCTCGGCCTCATTCCGTGTTCTGTAGCCTCCAGAATCGAATGAAAATGGCATTTCAGATAAATCGCCCGAAATCTGTGATGGTAACGAATTGGAATCTGTCAAAAATTGACCCCGAATAAATCCGCCCAAATCAGTGCTTATGGACTCAATCATCGTTGGAGAATAGCCTCAGGCCGAATCCGTGATCTGTAGCATTCAATATCAAAAGAAAAAGGCATTTTGTCCCCCCAAAAAATTATGAAAATGCCATCCGTAAATAAATTGGCCCAAATTGGTGCTTAATGGACTTATCATCCGTGGAGAATAGGATCAATAGACTTCATTATCGGTGGAGAATAGCCTCGACCTGATTCAGTGTTCTATAGCCTCCAAAATCGAAAGAAAATAGAATTTCAGATAAATCACCTGAAATCTGTCACGGTACCCCGTTGGAATCTGCCAAAAATTAAACCGGAATAAATCCGCACAAATCGGTGCTTAATGGACTCAATCATCGTTAGAGAATAGCCTCAGGCCGAATAATTGATCTGTAGCCTTCAATATAAAAAGAAATGGCATTTCGTCGCCCAAAAAATTACGAAAATGCTATCCGAAAATAAATTCGCCCAAATCGGTGCTTAATGGACTTATCATCCGTGGAGAATAACATCAATAGACTTCATTATCGGTGGAGAATAGCCTTGGCTTAATTCCGTGATCTGTAGCCTCCAGAATCGAAACAAAATGGCATTTCGGATAAATCGCCCGAAATTTGTGATGGTACCCCTTTGGAATCGGCCAAAAATTGACCCGGAATAAATACGTCCAAATCAGTGCTTAATGGACTCAATCATCGTTGGAGAATAGCCTCAGGATGAATCCGTGATCTGTAGCCTTCATATCCAAAGAAAATAGACTCTCATTGCCTAAAAAATTACGAAAATGCCATCCAAAAATAAATTGGACTAAATCGGTGCTTAATGGACTTATCATCCGTAGAGAATAGGATCAGTAAACTTCATTATCGGTGGAGAATAGCCTCGACCGGATTCCGTGTTCTGTAGCCTCCAGAATCGAAAGAAAATGGCAATTCGAATAAATCGCTTGAAATATGTGATGGTACCCCTTTGGAATCTGCCAAAAATTGAAACGTAATAAATTTGCCAAAATCGATACTTAATGGACTCAATTATCGTTAGAGAATAGCCTCTGGTCGAATTATCGATCTGTAGCCTTCAATATCAAAAGAAATGGCATTTCGTTGCCCAAAGAATTACGAAAATGCAATCCGAAAATAAATTCGCCCAAATCGGTGCTTAATGGACTTATCATCCGTGGAGAAAAACATCAATAGACTTCATTATCGGTGGAGAATAGCCTTTGCTTGATTCCGTGATCTGTAGCCTCCAGAATCGAAACAAAATGGCATTGCGGATAAATCGCCCGAAATCTGTGATGGTACCCCTTTGCAATCTGCCAAAAATTGAACCGGAATATATCCGTCCAAATCGGTGCTTAATGGACTCGATCATCGTTGGAGAATAGTCTTAGGCTGAATCCGTGATCTGTAGCCTTCATATCCAAAGAAAATGGCCTCTCATCGCCTAAAAAATTACGAAAATGCCATCCAAAAATAAATTGGACTAAATCGGTGCTTAATGGACTTATCATCAGTGGAGAATAGGATCAATAAACTTCATCATCGGTTGAGAATAGCCTCGACCTGATTTCGTGTTCTGTATCCTCCAGAATCGAAAGAAAATGGCATTTCAGATAAATCGCCTGAAATATGTGATGGTACCCCTTTGGAATCTGCCAAAAATTGACCCGGAATAAATCTGCCAAAATTGGCGCTTAATGGACTCAATTATCTTTAGAGAATAGCCTCAGGCCGAATTATTGATCTGTAGCCTTCAATATCAAAAGAAAATGGCATTTCGTCGTCCAAAAAAATACGAAAATGTCATCCAAAAATAAATTGGCTCAAATCAGTGCTTAATAGACTTATCATCTGTGGAGAATAGGATCAATAGACATCATTATCGGTGGAGAATAGCCTCGGTCTGTTTCTGTGATTTGTAGCTTCCACAATCGAAAGAAAATGGCATTTCAGATAAATCGCCCGAAATTTGTGATGGTACCCCTTTGGAATATGCTAAAAATTGACACGGAATAATTTCGCCCAAATCGGTGGTTAATGGACTCAATCATCGTTGGAGAATAGCCTCAGGCATAATCCGTGATCTGTAGTCTTCAATATCCAAAGAAAAGGGTGTTTCGTCGCCCAAAAAATTACGAAAATGCCATTCGAATAAAATTGGCCAAAATCGGTGCTTAATGGACTAATCATGCGAGGAGAATAGGATCAATAGACATCATTATCGGTGGAGAATAGCCTCGACTTTATTCTGTGATCTGTAGCCTCCAGAATTGAAAGAAATTGCATTTCGGAAAAATCGCCCGAATTCTGTGATGGTACCCCTTTAGAATCTGCAAAAAATTGACGCGAATAAATCCGCCCAAATCGGTGCTTATTTGACTCAATCATCATTGGAGAATAGCCTCAGGCCGAATCTGTGATATGTAGCCTTTAATATCAAAAGAAAATGGCATTTCGTCGCCCAAAAAATTACGAAAAATGCCATAAAAAAAAAAAATTGGCCCAAATTGGTGCTTAATGGACTTATCATCCGTGGAGAATAGGATCAATAGACTTCATTATCGGTTGGGAATTGCCTCGGCCTGATTCCGTGATCTGTAGCCTCTCGAATCGAAATAAAATGGCATTTCGGATAAATTGCCTGAAATCTGTGATGGTACCCCTTTGGAATCTGCCAAAAATTGACCCGAAATAATTCCCCCCAAATCGGTGCTTAATGAACTTAATCATCGTTGGAGAATAGCCTCAGGCCGAATCTATGATTTGTATCTTTCAATATCCAAAGAAAATGGTCTTTCGTCGCCCAAAAAATTACGAAAATGCCATCCAAAAATAAATTGCCCCAAATCGGTGCTTAATGGACTTATCATCGTTTGAGAATAGCCTCAGGCATAATCCGTGATCTGTAGTCTTCAATATCCAAAGAAAATGGTCTTTCGTCGCCCAAAAAATTACGAAAATGCCATTCGAATAAAATTGGCCAAAATCGGTGCTTAATGGACTTATCATGTGACGAGAATAGGATCAATAGACATCAATATCGGTGGAGAATAGCCTCGACCTTATTCTCTGATCTGTAGCCCCCAGAATCGAAAGAAAATCGGATTTCAGAAAAATCGCCCGAAATTCGTGATGGTACCCCTTTAGTATCTGCCAAAAATTGACCCGGAATAAATGCGCCCAAATCTGTGCTTATTTGACTCATTCATCGTTGGAGAATAGCTGCAGCCCGAATCCGTGATCTGTATCCTTCAATATCAAAAGAAAATGGCATTTCGTCGCCCAAAAAATTTCGAAAAATGCCATCCGAAAATAAATTGGCCCAAATTGGTGCTTAATGAACTTATCATCCGTGGAGAATAGGATCAATAGACTTCATTATCGGTTGTGAATTTCCTCGGCCTGATTCCATGATCTGTAGCCTCTAGAATCGAAATAAAATGGTATTTCGGATAAATTGCCTGAAATCTGTGATGGTACCCCTTTGGAATCTGCCAAAAATTGACCAGGAATAAATCAGCCCAAATCGGTGCTTAATGGACACAATCATCGTTTGAGAATAGCCTCTGGGCGAATATGTGATCTATAGCTTTCAATATCCACAGAAAATAGCCTTTTGTCTCCCAAAAAATTACAAAAATGCCATTCGAAAATAAATTGGCCCAAATCATTGCTTAATGGACTTATCATCCGTGGAGAATAGAATCAGTAGACTTCATTATCGATGGAGAATAGCCTCGACCTGATTGTGTGTTATGTAGCTTCCTAAATCGAAAGAAAATGGAATTTCGGATAAATCGCCCGAAATCTGTGATGGTACCCTTTTGGAATCTGCCAAAAATTGACCCGGAATAAATCCGCCCAAATCAGTGCTTATTGGACTCAATCATCGTTAAAGAATAGCCTCAGGCCGAATCCGTGATCTGTAGCCTTCAATATCAAAAGAAAACGGCATTTCGTCACCCAAAATATTACGAAAATGCCATCCGAAAATAAATTGACCCAAATTGGTGCTTAATGGACTTATCATCCGTGAAGAATAGGATCAATAGACTTCATTATCGGTGGAGAATATCCTCGACCTAATTCCGTGTTATGTAGCTTCCTAAATCGAAAGAAAATGGCATTTCGGATAAATCGCCTGAAATCTGTGATGGTACCCCTTTGGACTCTGCCAAAAATTGACCCAGAATAAATCCGCCCAAATCGATGCTTAATGGATTCAATCATCGTTAAAGAATAGCCACAGGCCGAATTCGTGATCTATAGCCTTCAATATCAAAAGAAAATGGCATTTCGTCGCCCAAAAAATTACGAAAATGTCCAGCGAAAATAAATTGGTCCAACTCGGTGCTTAATGGACTTATCATCCGTGAAGAATAGGATCAATAGACTTCATTATTGGTGGAGAATAGCCTTGGCCTGTTTCCGAAATCTGTGATGGTACCCTTTGGAATCTGCCAAAAATTGACCCGGAACAAATCCGCCCAAATCAATGCTATTTGGACTAAATCATCGTTGGAGAATAGCCTCAGGTCGAATCCGTGATCTGTAGCCTTCAATATCAAAAGAAAATGGCATTTCGTTGTCCAAATAATTACGAAAATGCCAACTGAAAATAAATTGGCCAAATTTGTGCTTAATGGACTTATCATACGTGGAGAATAGGATCAATTGACTTCATTATCGGTGGAGAATAGCCTCGACCTCATTCAGTGTTCTGTAGCTTCCTAAACCGAAAGAAAATGGCATTTCAGATAAATCGCCTGAAATCTGTGATGGTACCCCTTTGGAATCTGCCAAAAATTGGCCCGGAATAAATCCGCCCAAATCGGTGCTTAATGGATTCAATCATCGTTAAAGAATAGCCTTAGGCCGAATTCGTGATCTATAGCCTTCAATATCAAAATAAAATGGCATTTTGTCGCCCAAAAAATTACGAAAATGTCATCCGAAAATAAATTGGCCCAAATCTGTACTTAATAGACTTATCATCCGTGGAGAATAGGATCAATAGACTTCATTATCGAGTGTGAATTGCCTCGGCCTTTGGGATAAATTGGCATTTGGGATAAATTGGCATTCCGTGATCTGTAGCCTCCAGAATCGAAATAAAATGGCATTTGGGATAAATTGCCTGAAATCTGTGATGGTACCACTTTGGAATCTGCCAAAAATTGACCCGAAATAAATCCCCCCAAATCGGTGCTTATTGAACTTAATCATCGTTGGAGAATAGCCTCAGGGCGAATCTATGATTTGTATCTTTCAATATCCAAAGAAAATGGCCTTTCGTCGCCCAAAAAATTACGAAAATGCCATCCAAAAATAAATTGCCCCAAATCAGTGCTTAATGGACTCATCATCCGTGGAGAATTTGATCAATAGACTTCATTATCGATGGAGAATTACCTTAGCCTGATTCCGTGATCTGTAGCCTCTAGAATCGAAAGAAAATGGCATTTCGGATAAATCGCCTGAAATCTATGATGGTACCCCTTTGGAATCTGCCAAAAATTGACCAGGAATAAATCCGCCCAAATCGGTGCTTAATGGACTCAATCATCGTTGGAGAATAGCCTCAGGCTGAATCCGTGATCTGTAGCCTTCAATATCCAAAGTAAATGGCCTTTCGTCGCCCAAAAAGTTACGAAAATGCTATCATAAAATAAATTCGCCCAAATCGGTGCTTAATTGACTTATCATCTGTGGAGAATAACATTGAATAGACTTCATTATCGGTGGAGAATAGCCTCGGCTTGATTCCATGATCTGTAGCCTCCAGAATCGAAACAAAGTGGCATTTCGGATAAATCGCCCGATATCTGTGATGGTGCCGCTTTGGAATCTGCCAAAAATTGACCCCGAATAAATCCGCCCAAATCGGTGCTTAATGGACGCAATCATCGTTTGAGAATAGCCTCGGGCAGAATCCGTGATCTGTAGTCTTCAATATCCAAAGAAAATGGTCTTTCGTCGCCCAAAAAATTACGAAAATGCCATTAGAATAAAATTGGCCAAAATCGGTGCTTAATGGACTTATCATGTGAGGAGAATAGGATCAATAGACATCATTATCGGTGGAGAATAGCCTCGACCTTATTCTGTGATCTGTAGCCTCCAGAATCGAAAGAAAATTGCATTTCGGAAAATTCGCCCGAAATCTGTGATGGTACCCCTTTAGATACTACCAAAAATTGACCCGGAATAAATCCGCCCAAATCGGTGCTTATTTGACTCAATCATCGTTGGAGAATACCCTCAGGCCGAATCCGTGATCTGTAGCCTTCAATATCAAAAGAAAATGGCATTTCGTCGCCCACAAAATTACGAAAAATGCCATCCGAAAATAAATTGGCCCAAATTGGTGCTTAATGGACTTATCATCCGTGGAGAATAGGATCAATAGACTTCATTATCGGTTGTGAATTGCCTCAGCCTGATTCCATGATCTGTAGCCTCCAGAATCGAAATAAAATGGTATTTAGGATAAATTGCCTGAAATCTGTGATGTACCCCTTTGGAATCTGCCAAAAATTGACCAGGAATAAATCCGCCCAAATCGGTGCTTAATGGACTCAATCATCGTTTGAGAATAGCCTCAGGCCGAATCTGTGATCTATAGCCTTCAATATCCAAAGAAAATGGCCTTTCGTCTCCCAAAAAATTACAAAAATGACATCCAAAAATAAATTGGCCCAAATCATTGCTTAATGGACTTATCATCCGTGGAGAATAGAATCAGTAGATTTCATTATCAGTGGAGAATAGCCTCGACATGATTCCGTGTTATGTAGCTTCGTAAATCGAAAGAAAATGGAATTTCATATAAATCGCACGAAATCAGTGATGGTATCCCTTTGGAATCTGCCAAAAATTGACCCGGAAACCCGGAATAAATCCGCTCAAATCAGTGCTTTTTGGACTCAATCATCGTTAAAGAATAGCCTCAGGCCGAATTCGTGATCTGTAGCCTTCAATATGAAAAGAAAATGGCATTTCGTCACCCAAAATATTACGAAAATGCCATCCGAAAATAAATTGACCCAAATTGGTGCTTAATGGACTTATCATCCGTGAAGAATAGGATCAATAGACTTCATTATCGGTGGTGAATAGCCTCGACCTAATTCCGTGTTATGTAGCTTCCTAAATCGAAAGATCATGGCATTTCGGATAAATCGCCCGAAATCTGTGATGGTACCCCTTTGGAATCTGCCAAAAATTGACCCGGAATAAATCCGCCCAAATCAGTGCTTATTGGACGCAATCATCGTTGGAGAATAGCCTCAGGCCGAATCCGTGATCTGTAGCCTTCAATATTGAAAGAAAATGGCATTTCGTCGCCCAAAAAATTACGAAAATGCCATCCAAAAATAAATTGGCCCAAATTGGTGCTTAATGGACTTATCATCCGTGGAGGATAGGATCAATAGACTTCATTATCGGTGGAGAATATCCTCGACCTGATTCCGGGTTATGTAGCTTCCTAAATCGAAAGAAAATGGCATTTCGGATAAATCGAACGAAATCTGTGATGGTACCCCTTTGGACTCTGCCAAAAATTGACCCAGAATAAATCCGCCCAAATCGATGCTTAATGGATTCAATCATCGTTGAAGAATAGCCTCAGGCTGAATTCGTGATCTATAGCCTTCAATATCAAAAGAAAATGGCATTTTGTCGCCCATATAATTACGAAAATGTCATCCGAAAATAAATTGGCCCAAATCGGTGCTTAGTGGACTTATCATCCGTGAAGAATAGGATCAACATTATCGGTGGAGAATAGCCTTGGCCTGTTTCCGTGATCTGTAGCCTCCATAATCGAAAGAAAATAGCATTTCGGATAAATCGCCCGAAATCTGTGATGGTACCCCTTTGGAATCTGCCAAAAATTGACGCGGAACAAATCCGCCCAAATCAATGCTAATTGGACTAAATCATCGTTGGAGAATAGCCTCAAGTAGAATCCGTGATCTGTAGCCATCAATATCAATAGAAAATGGCATTTCGTTGTCCAAATAATTACGAAAATGCCAACCGAAAATAAATTGGCCAAATTGGTGCTTAATGGACTTATCATCCGTGGAGAATAGGATCAATTGACTTCATTATCGGTGGAGAATAGCCTCGACCTGATTCCGTGTTCTGTAGCTTCCTAAATCGAAAGAAAATGGCATTTCGGATAAATCGCCCGAAATCTGTGATTGTACCCCTTTGGAATTTGCCAAAAATTGGCCTGGAAGAAATCCGCCCAAATCAGTGCTTATTGGACTCAATCATCGTTGGAGAATAGCCTCAGGCCGAATCCGTGATCTGTAGCCTTCAATATTGAAAGAAAATGGCATTTCGTCGCCCAAAAAATTACGAAAATGCCATCCAAAAATAAATTTGCCCAAATTGGTGCTTAATGGACTTATCATCTGTGGAGAATAGGATCAATAGACTTCATTATCGTCGGAGAATATCCTAGACCTGATTCCGTGTTATGTAGCTTCCTAAATCGAAAGAAAATGGCATTTCGGATAAATCGCCTGAAATCTGTGATGGTACCCCTTTGGACTCTGCCAAAAATTGACCCAGAATAAATCCGCCCAAATCGATGCTTAATGGATTCAATCATCGTTAAAGAATAGCCTCAGGCCGAATTGGTGATCTATAGCCTTCAGTATCAAAAGAAAATGGCATTTTGTCACCCAAAAAATTACGAAAATGTCATCCGAAAATAAATTGGCCCAAATCGGTGCTTAATGGACTTATCATCTGTGAAGAATAGGATCAATAGACTTCATCATCGGTGGTGAATAGCCTTGGCCTGTTTCCGTGATCTGTAGCCTCCATAATCGAAAGAAAATAGCATTTCGGATAAATCGCCCGAAATCTGTGATGGTACCCCTTTGGAATCTGCCAAAAATTGACCCGGAACAAATCCACCCAAATCAATGCTAATTGGACTAAATCATCGTTGGAGAATAGCTTCAGGTCAAATCCGTGATCTGTAGCCTTCAATATCAAAAGAAAATGGCATTTCGTTGTCCAAATAATTACGAAAATGCCAACCGAAAATTAATTGGCCAAATTGCTTCTTAATGGACTTATCATCCGTGGAGAATAGGATCAATTGACTTCATTATCGGTGGAGAATACCATCGACCTGATTCCGTGTTCTGTAGCTTCCTAAATCGAATGAAAATGGCATTTCGGATAAATCGCCTAAAATCTGTGATGGTACGTACCCCTTTGGAATCTGCCAAAAATTGGGCCGGAATAAATCCGCCCAAATCGGTGCTTAATGGATTCAATCATCGTTAAAGAATAGCATTAGGCTGAATTCGTGATCTATAGCCTTCAATATCAAAATAAAATGGCATTTTGTCGCCCAAAAAATTACGAAAATGTCATCCGAAAATAAATTGGCCCAAATCTGTGCAGAATGGACTTATCATTCGTGGAGAATAGGATCAATAGACTTCATTATCGGTTGTGAATTGCCTCGGCCTGATTCCGTGATCTGTAGCCTCCAGAATCGAAATAAAATGGCATTTCGGATAAATTGCCTGAAATCAGTGATGGTACCCCTTTGGAATCTGCCAAAAATTGACCCGAAATAAATCCCCCCAAATCGGTGCTTAATGAACTTAATCATCGTTGGAGAATAGCCTCAAGCCGAATCTATGATTTGTATCTTTCAATATCCAAAGAAAATGGCCTTTCGTCGCCAAAAAAATTACGAAAATGCCATCCAAAAATAAATTGCCCCAAATCGGTGCTTAATGGACTTATCATCCGTGGAGAATTGGATCAATAGACTTCATTATCGATGGAAAATAGCCTCAGCCTGATGCCGTGATCTGTAGCCTCTAGAATCGAAAGAAAATGGCATTTCGGATAAATCGCCTGAAATCTATGATGGTACCTGATAATCGGCTTTAATATATCGGATTTGTGAATTTTATGTGACTATCTCATGGTATGTGTAAGCCGATTGGTGCTATTTTAGGGAGAATTAATCCGTAATGGTTGGAAAGCCATTACCATTTTGTGTTGGAGTTCTGGTGTGTGTTTAGGTGAAAAGATGGATAAAATGGCAGCACTAGAACTTCCGAAGCAGGAGATGGCGGGAGGAATTGGATCCATGTTTCTTCCACAACAAGTAATTGGGCCAAGCCCAATTGATGGAGGCAATTAACTGTTACGGGCTGGCGGCTTGCAATTGGGCCAGGGGAACTAATTGTGGGCGGACTATCATTTGGAGGGAGGAAAGAATATTGGGCCAAGGTTTTGGTGGAATTGGGATGGAATTCTCCAAAAAGAAAGGAAGCAGGCGGAATTATTATTCTGGGGAGGAGAAGGAATTCTGCCAGGGGTTTCTTTTTGGGCTAGAGCGGAATTCTTTGGGGAACAGAATCTCTTTTGAGAGAAATAAAAAGGCATCAGGCGCAGCCTTGGACCGGGGATTATGGTGGAAGGGCGAATTAATTGTGGAGAAAGAAAGGAAGCGGCGCAGCAGGGCAGCAGGCAATCAGTCGATTTCCATCGGCGATTGAGTTTTTTCAAGGCTAGAGCTGAGTTCAACGAGAGCGATTAGTTGGTTTGATTTTCTAAACTGAACTAGTTGTGTATTGTTGATTTAGAACATGATGAACAAAACCCTATCGATTTATCTTAATTTCGTCATGAACTAAACCCCAATTTCTGGGGGAAACACCATAGGATGTAGCTATTTCTTGATTTGATGGATTGATTTATGATTCTTTTCTTCCAATCTCTATTGCATGAAATTGCTTAATGCTTTGTGTTGACTGGCCACCAATACATCGATTTGTAGTTAATTAGGTTATTAGCGACAGTGAAACCCTAATAACTGAACCTATTTCATGTGACATAGTAACTTATCGAAGCGACAGTGGATTAAATAAGGTGCTATGCGGTCTTAAATAGGATATCGATCTTCAGGCTAAATAATTAGGTCATTGAGCTACGACAGTAGGATTTGATTTAATTGTTTAGTACGTAGTAATTCCCGACAGGGATAGCTAGCACATTCGTGATATCCTGGCTGTAGAGAGTTGGATTAAATTGATTGGAGTATGTGAATTAATCTGGATAGGATAGGTAGTGAATCCCGGTGTTTCTCCCAGAGCTTTCTCCCATTGATTTTCTCCCGACAGTTTTCATTTAGTTAATTTGTTTATTTTATTTTGCTAGTAGTTAATAATCTCATTAAACCATTTTCACCTATAGTTTGCTCTATTAAATCGGTAAATCTTAAGGTTGTACCAGTCCCTAAGAGACGATACCCGGACTTTCCGGTTTTACTACAAGATAGGAATTGAAGCTATACGCTTTTGACCTATCAGTACCCCTTTGGTATCTGCCAAAAAATGACCCGGAATAAATCCGCTCAAATCGGTGCTTATGGACTCAATCATTGTTGGAGAATAGCCTCAGGCAGAATCCGTGATCTGTAGTCTTCAATATCCAAAGAAAATGGTCTTTCGTCGCCCAAAAAATTACAAAAATGCCATCCAAAAATAAATTGGACTAAATCAGTGCTTAATCGACTTATCATTTGTGGAGAATAGGATCAATAAACATCATTATCGGTGGAGAATAGCCTCGACCTGATTCCTTGTTCTGTAGCCTCCAGAATCGAAAGAAAATGGCATTTCGGATAAATCGCCTGAAATCTGTGATGGTACCCCTTTGGAATCTGCCAAAAATTGATCCGTAATAAATCTGCCAAAATCGATGCTTAATGGACTCAATTATTGTTAGAGAATAGCCTCAGGCTGAATCCGTGAACTGTAGCCTTCATATCCAAAGAAAATGGCCTCTCATCGCATAAAAAATTATGAAAATGCTATCCGAAAATAAATTCCCCCAAATCGGTGCTTAATGGACTTATCATCCGTGGAGAATAACATCAATAGACTTCATTATCGGTGGAGAATAGCCTTGGTTTGATTCCGTGATTTGTAGCCTCCAAAAGCGAAACAAAATGGCATTGCGGATAAATCGCCCGAAATCTATGATGGTACCCCCTTTGCAATCTGCCAAAAATTGACCCGGAATATATCCTTTCAAATCGGTGCTTAATGGACTCAATCATCGTTGGAGAATAGCCTCAGGCTGAATCCGTGAACTGTAGCCTTCATATCCAAAGAAAATGGCCTCCCTCTCGTCGCATAAAAAATTACGAAAATGCCATCCAAAAATAAATTGGAATAAATCGGTGCTTAATGGACTTATCATCCGTGGAGAATAGGATCATTAAACTTCATCATCGGTGGAGAATAGCCTCGACCTGATTCCCTGTTCTGTAGCCTCCAGAATCGAAAGAAAATGGCATTTCGGATAAATCACCTGAAATCTGTGATGGTACCCCTTTGGAATCTACCAAAAATTGACCCGGAATAAATCTGCCAAAATTGGAGCTTAATGGACTCAATTATCTTTAGAGAATAGCCTCAGGCAGAATTATTGATCTGTAGCCTTCAATATCAAAATAAAATGGCATTTCGTCGTCCAAAAAATTACGAAAATGTCATCCGAAAATAAATTGGCTCAAATCGGTGGTTAATGGACTTATCATCCGTGGAGAATAGGATCAATAGACTTCATTATCGGTGGACAATAGCCTCGGCTTTATTCCATGATCTGTAGCCTCCAGAATCGAAACAAAGTGTCATTTCGGATAAATCGCCCGAAATCTGAGATGGTACCGCTTTAGAATCTGCCAAAAATTGACCCGGAATATATCCGCCCAAATCGGTGCTTAATGGACTCAATCATCGTTTGAGAATAGCCTAGGCACAATCCGTGATCTGTAGTCTTCAATATCCAAAGAAAATGGTCTTTCGTCGCCCAAAAAATTACGAAAATGCCATTCGAATAAAATTGGCCAAAATCGGTGCTTAATGGACTTATCATGTGAGGAGAATAGGATCAATAGACATCATTATCGGTGGAGAATAGCCTCGACCTTATTCTGTGATCTGTAGCCTCCAAAATCGAAAGAAAATTGCATTTCGGAAAAATCGTCGGAAATCTGTGATGGTACCCCTTTAGGATCTGCCAAAAATTGACCCGGAATAAATCCGCCCAAATCGGTGCTTATTTGACTCAATCATCGTTGTAGAATAGCCTCAGGCCGAATTCGTGATCTGTAGCCTTCAATATCAAAAGAAAATGGCATTTCGTCGCCCAAAAAATTACGAAAAATGCCATCCGAAAATAAATAGGCCCAAATTGGTGTTTAATGGACTTATCATCCGTGGAGAATAGGATCAATAGACTTCATTATCGGTTTTGAATAGCCTCGGCCTGATTCCATGATCTGTAGCCTCCAGAATCGAAATAAAATGGTATTTCGGATAAATTGCCTGAAATCTGTGATGGTGCCCCTTTGGAAAATGCCAAAAATTGACCAGGAATAAATCCGCCCAAATCCGTGCTTAATGGACTCAATCATCGTTTGAGAATGACCTCAGGGCGAATCCGTGATCTGTAGCCTTCAATATCAAAAGAAAATGGCCTTTCGTCGCCCAAAAAATTACGAAAATTCCATCCGAAATTAAATTGGCCCAAATTGGTGCTTAATTGAGTTATCTTCCGTGGAGAATAGGAACAATAGTCTTCATTATCGGTGGAGAATAGCCTCGTCCTTATTCCGAGATCTGTAGCTTCAGAATCGAAATAAAATGGCATTTCAAAAAATAGCCCGAAATCTGTAATGGTACCCCTTTCGAATCTGCCAAAAACTGACCCAGAATAAATCCGCCCAAATCGGTGCTTAATGGATTCAATCATCGTTGGAGAATAGCCTCAAGCCGAATCCGTGATATGTAGCCTTCAATATCCAAAGAAAATGGCCTTTCGTTGCACAAAAAATTACGAAAATGTCATCTGAAAATAAATTGGCCCAAATCGGTGCTTAATGGACTTATCATCCGTGGAGAATAGGATCAATAAACTTCATTATCGGTGGATAACAGCCTCGGCCTGATTTCATGTTCTGTAGCCTCTAGAATCGAAAGAAATCGCATTTAGGATAAATCGCCTGAAATCTGTGATGGTACCCCTTTAGAATCTGCCTAAAATTGACCCAAATAAATCCGCCCAAATCGGTGCTTAATGTCTCAATCATCATTTGAGAATACCCTCAGGCCGAATCCGAGATCTGTAGCCTTCAATATCCAAAGAAAATGGTCTTTCGTCGCCTAAAAAATTACGAAAAGGCCATCTGAAAATAAATTGGCCCAAATCGGTGCTTAATGGACTTATCATCCCTGGAGATTAGGATCAATAGTTTTCATTATCGGTGGAGAATAGCCTCGGCCTTAATATGTGATCTGTAGCCTCAAGAATCGAAAAAAATGGCATTTCGGATAAATCGCATGAAATCTGTGATGGTACCCCTTTGGAATAGGCCAAAAATTGACCCGGAATAAATCCGCCCAAATCGGTGCTTAATGTACTCAATCATCGTTTGAGAATAGCATCAGGCCGAATCCGTGATCTGTAGCCTTCAATATCCAAAGAAAATGGCCTTTCGTCGCCCAAAAAATTACGAAAATGACATCGGAAAATAAATTGGCCCAAATCGGTACTTATCATCCATGGAGAATAGGATCAATAGACTTAATTATAGGTGGAGAATAGCCTCGTACTTATTCCGTGATCTGTAGCCTCCAAAATCGAAAGAAAATGGCATTTTCGGATTAATCGCCCGAAATCTGTGATGGTACCCATTTGGAATCTGCCAAAAATTGACCCAGAATAATTCCGACCAAATCGGTGCTTAATGGACTCAATCATCGTTGGAGAATAGCCTCAGGCAGAATCCGTGATCTGTAGTCTTCAATATCCAAAGAAAATGGTCTTTCGTCGGCCAAAAAATTACGAAAATGCCATTCGATAAAAATTGGCCCAAATCGGTGCTTAATGGACTTATCATGCATGGAGAATAGGATCAATAGACATCATTATCGGTGGAGAATAGCCTCGAAAGAAAATTGCATTTATGAATAACGCCCGAAATCTGTGATGGTACCCCTTTGGAATCTGCCAAAAATTGACCCGGAAAAAATCCTCCCAAATGCGTGCTTATTGGACTCAATCATCGTTGGAGAATAGCCTCAGGCCGAATCTGTGATCTGTAGCCTTCAATATCAAAAGAAAAATGGCATTTCGTCGCCCAAAATATTACGAAAATGCCATCCGAAAATAAATGGCCCAAATTTGTGCTTAATGGACTTATCATCCGTGGAGAATAGGATCAATAGACTTCATTATCGGTGGAGAATAGCCTCGGCCTGATTTCGTGCTCTGTAGCCACCTCAATTGAAAGAAAATGCCATTTCGGATAAATCGCCCGAAATTTGTGATAGTACCCCTTTACCATCTTCCAAAAATTGACCCGGAATAAATCCGCCCAAATCGGTGCTTAATGGACTCAATCATCGTTTGAGATTAGCCTCAGGCCGAATCTGTGATCTGTAGCCTTCAATATCCAAAGAAAATGGCCTTTCGTCACCCAAAAAATTACGAAAATGCCATCCGAAAATAAATTAGCCCAAATCGGTGTTTAATGGACTTATCATCCGTGGAGAATAGAATCAAGAGACTTCATTATCGGTGCAGAATAGCCTAGACCCTATTCCGTGATATGTAGCCTCCAGAATCGAAAGAAAATGGCATTTCGGATAAATCGCCCGAATTTTGTTATGGTACCCCTTTGGAATCTCCCAAAAATGACCATGAATAAATCCGCCCAAATCTGCTTATTGAACTCAATCATTGTTGGAGAATAGCCTCAGGCCGAATCCATGATCTGTAGGCTTCAATATACAAAGAAAATGGCCTTTCGTCGCCCAAAAAATTACGAAAATGCCATCCGAAAATAAATGGGCCCAAATCGGTGCTTAATGGATTTATCATCCGTGGAGAATAGGATCAATAGACTTCATTATCGGTGTAGAATAGCCTCGGCCTGATTCTGTGTTCTGTAGCCTCCAAAATAGAAAGAAATGGCATTTTGGATAAATCGCCCGAAATCTGTGATGGTACCCCTTTGGAATCTGCCACAAATTGACCCGGAATAAATCCTCCAAAATCGGTGCTTAATGGCCTCAATTGTCGTTGGAGAATAGCCTCAGGGGGAATACGTGATCTGTAGCCTTCAATATCCAAAGAAAATGGCCTTTCGTCGCACAAAAAATTTCGAAAATGCCATCCGAAAATTAATTGGCTCAAATCGGTGCTTAATGGACTTATCATCCGTGGAGAATATGATCAATAGACTTAATTATCGGTGGAGAATAGCCTCGGCCTAATTCCGTGTTCTGTAGCCTCCAGAATCGAAAGAAAATGGCATTTCGGATAAATTGCCTGAAATCTGTGATGGTACCCCTTTTGAATCTGCCAAAAATTGACCCTGAATAAATCCGCCCAAATTAGTGCTTATTGGACTCAATCATTTTTGTAGAATAGCCTCAGGGCGAATCCGTGATGAGTAGCCTTCAATATCAAAAGAAAATGGCATTTCATCGTCCAAAAATTACGAAAATGTCATCCGAAAATAAATTGGCCCAAATAGGTGCTTAATGAACTTATCATCCGTGGAGAATAAGATCAATAGACTTCATTATCGGTGGAGAATAGCCTCTGCCTAATTCCATGATCTGTAGCCTCCATAATCGAAAGGAAATGGCATTTGAGATAAATCGCCCGAAATTTGTGATGGTACCACTTTGGAATCTGTCAAAAATTGACCCGGAATAAATCCTCCCAAATCGGTGCTTAATGGACTCAATCAATGTTGGAGAATAGACTCAGGCCGAATCCGTGATCTGTAGCATTCAATATTTGAAGAAAATGGACTTTCGTCGCTCAAAAAATTATGAAGATGCCATCCGAAAAACTTTTGGCCCAAATCGGTGCTTAATGGACTTATCATCCATGGAGAAAGGATCAATAAACTTCATTATCGGTGGAGAATAGCCTCAGCCTGATTCTGTGATGGTACGCCTTTGGAATCTGCCACAAATTGACCCGAAATAAATCCGCCAAAATCGGTGCTTGATAGAATCAATCGTCGTTGGAGAATAGCCTCAGGGCGAATCCGTGATCTGTAGCCTTCAATATCCAAAGAAAATGGACTTTCGTCGCCCAAAAAATTAAGAAAATGCCATCCGAAAAATAAATTGGCCCAAATCGGTGCGTAATGGACTTATCATCCATGGAGAAAGGATCAATAAACTTCATTATCGGTGGAGAATAGCCTCAGCCTGATTCCGTGTTTGGTAGCCTCCAGAATCGAAATAAAATGGCATTTCGGATAAATCGCCCGAAATCTGTGATGGTACCCCTTTCGAATCTGCATAAAACTAACCCGGAATAAATCCGCCCAAATTGGTGCTTAATGGACTCAATCATCGTTGGAGAATAGCCTCAAGCCGAATCCGTGATATCTACCCTTCAATATCCAAAGAAAATGGCCTCTCGTCGCCCAAAAAATTACGAAAATGCCATCCAAAAATAAATTGGCCCAAATCGGTGCTTAATGGACTTATCATCTATGGAGAATAGGATCAATAAACTTCATTATCGGTGGATAATAGCCTCGGCCTGATTCCATGTTCTGTAGCCTCCAGAATCAAAAGAAAATGACATTTCGGATAAATCGCGCGTAATCTGTGATGGTACCCCTTTGGAATCTGCCAAAAATTGACCCGGAATAATTCCGCCCAAATCGGTGCTTAATGTCTCAATCATCATTTGAGAATAGCTTCAGGCCGAATCCGTTATCTGTAGCCTTCAATATCCAAAGAAAATGGCCTTTCGTTACCCAAAAAATTACGAAAATGCCATCCGATAATAAATTGTCCAAATCGGTGCTTAATAGACTTATCATTTGTCGAGAATAGGATCAATAGACTTCATTATTGGCGGGGAATAACCTCGGCCTGATTCCGTGTTTTGTAGCCTCCATAATCGAAAGAAAATGGCATTTCGGATTAATCCGCCAAAATCTGTGATGGTAGCCCTTTGGAATCTGCCAAAAATTGACCCGGAATAACTCCGCCCAAATCGGTGCTTAATGGACACAATCATCATTTAAGAATAGCCTCAGGCCGAATCTGTGATCTGTAGCCTTCAATATCAAAGAAAATGGCCTTTCGTTGCTTAAAAATTATGAAAATGCCATCCGAAAATAAATTGGCCCAAATCGGTGATTAATGGACTTATCATCCATGGAGAATAGGATCAATAGACTTCATTAACGGTGGAGAATAGCCACGGCCTGATTTCGTGTTTTGTAGCCTCCAGAATAAAAAGAAAATTGCATTTCGGATAAATCGCACGAAATCTGTGATGGTACCCCTTTGGAATCTGCCAAAAATTAACCAAGAATAAATCCGCCCTAATCGGTGCTTAATGGACTCAATCATCATTTGATAATAGCCTCAGGCCGAATCCGTGATCTGTAACCTTCAATAGCCAAAGAAAATGGCCTTTCGTCGCCCAAAAAATTACGAAAATGACATCCAAAAATAAATTGGCCCAAATCGGTGCTTAATGGAGTTATCATCCGTGGAGAATAGGATCAATAGACTTCATTATCGGTGGAGAATAGCCTCGGCCTGATTCCGTGATCTGTAGCCTCCAGAATCGAAAGAAAATGGCATTTCGGAAAAATCGCCTAAAATCTCTGATGGTACCCTTTGGAATCTGCCAAAATTTGACCCGGAATAAATCCGCCCAAATCGGTTCTTAATGGAATCAATAATTATTTGAGAATAGCCTCAGGCCGAATCCCTGATCTGTAGCCTTCAATATCCAAAGAAAATGGCCTTTCGTTACCCAAAAAATTACGAAAATGCCATCCGAAAATAAAATGGCCAAATCGGTGCTTAATAGACTTATCATTTATGGAGAATAGGATCAATAGGCTTCATTATTGGTGGGGAATAGCCTCGGCCTGATTCCGTGTTCTGTAGCCTCCCGAATCGAAAGAAAATGGCATTTCGGATAAATCCCCCGAAATCTGTGATGGTACCCCTTTGGAATCTCCCAAAAATTGACCCGGTATAAATCCGCCCAAATCGGTTCTTTATGGAATCAATCATCATTTGAGAATAGCCTCAGGCTGAATCCATGATCTGTAGCCTTCAATATCCAAAGAAAATGGCCTTTCGTTACCCAAAAAATTACGAAAATGCCATCCGAAAATAAATTGGCCAAATCGGTGCTTAATAGACTTATCATTTGTGGAGAATAGGATCAATAGGCTTCATTATTGGTGGAGAATAGCCTCGACCTGATTCCGTGTTCTGTAGCCTCCTGAATCGAAAGAAAATGGTATTTCGGAAAAATCGCCTGAAATCTATGATTGTACCCCTTTGGAATCTGCCAAAAATTGACCCGGAATAAATCTGCCCAAATCGGTTCTTAATGGAATCAATCATCTGTTGAGAATAGCCTCAGGCCGAATCCATGATCTGTAGCCTTCAATATCCAAAGAAAATGGCCTTTCCTTACCCAAAAAATTACGAAAATGCCATCCGAAAATAAATTGGCCAAATCGGTGCTTAATAAACTTATCATTTGTGGAGAATAGGATCAATAGGCTTCATTATTGGTGGAGAATAGCCTCGACCTGATTCCGTGTTCTGTAGCCTCCAGAATCGAAAGAAAATGGCATTTCGGATAAATCCCCCGAAATCTGGGATGGTACCCCTTTGGAATCTGCCAAAAATTGACCCGGAATAAATTCGCCCAAATCGGTGCTTATTGGACTCAATCATCATTTAAGAATAACCTCAGGCCGAATCCGTGATCTGTAGCCTTCAATATCCAAAGAAAATGGCCTTTCGTCGCCCAAAAATTTATGAAAATGCCATCCGAAAATAAATTGGCCCAAATCGTTGCTTAATGGACTTATCATCCGTGGAGAATAGGATCAATAGACTTCATTATCGGTGCCTCGGCCTGATTCCCTTATCTGTAGCCTCCATAATCGAAAAAATGGCATTTCGGATAATCTCCTGAAATCTGTGATGTTACCCCTTTGGAATCTGCCAAAAATTGACCCGGAATAAATCCGCCAAAATTGGTGCTTAATGGATTCAATCATCGTTGGAGAATAGCTACAGACCGAATCCGTGATATGTAGCCTTCAATATCAAAAGAAAATTTCCTTTCCTCGCTCAAAAAGTACGAAATTGCCATCCGAATATAAATTGGCCAAAATCGGTGCTTAATGGGACTTATCATCCGTGGAGAATAGGATCAATAGACTTCATTATCGGTGGAACATAGTCTCGGCCTTATTCCGTGATATGTAGCCTCCAAAATCGAATGAAAATGGCTTCGGATAAATCGCCCGAAATGTGTGATGGAAACCTTTGGAATCTGCCAAAAATTGACCCGGAATAATTCAGCCCAAATCGGAGCTTAATGGACTCTATCGTCGTTGGAGAATAGCCTCAGTCCGAATCCATGATCTGTATCCTTCAATATCCAAAGAAAATGGCCTTTCATCGCCTTAAAAGTTCGAAAATGCCATCCGAAAATAAATTGGCCCAAATCGGTGCTTAATGGACTTATCATTCATGGAGAATAGGAACAATATACTTCATTACCGGTGGAGAATAGCCTCGGCCTTATTCCGTGATATGTAGCCTCCAAAATCGAATGAAAAAGGCATTTCGGATAAATCCCCCGAAATCTGAGATGGTACCCCTTTGGAATCTGCCAAAAATTGACCCGGAATAAATCCGCCCAAATCGGTGCTTAATTGACTCAATCATCATTTAAGAATAGCCTCAGGCCGAATTCGTCATCTGTAGCATTCAATATCCAAAGAAAATAGCCTTTCGTCGCCCAAAAAATTACGAAAATGGCATCCGAAAATAAATTAGCCCAAATCGGTGCTTAATGGACTTATCATCCATGGAGAATAGGATCAATATACTTCATTATCGGTGGAGAATATCCTTGGCCTTGTTCCATGATCTGTAGCCTCCAGAATCAAATGAAAATGGCATTTCGGATTAATCTCCCGAAATCTGTGATGCTACCCCTTTTGAATCTGCCAAAAATTGACCGGGAACAATTCCTTCCAAATTGGTGCTTAATGGACTCAATCATCGTTAAAGAATATCCTCAGGCCGAATACGTGATCTGTAGCCTTCAATATCCTAAGAAAATGTCCTTTCTTCGCCCAAAAAATTACGAAAATGTCATCCGAAAATAAATTGGCCCAAATCGTTGCTTAATGGACTTGTCATCCGTGGAGAATAGGATCAATAGACTTCATTATCGGTGCCTCGTCCTGTTTCCCTGATCTGTAGCCTCCAGAATCGTATGAAAATGGCATTTCGGATAAATCGCCCAAAATCGGTGATGGTACCCCTTTCGAATCTGCCAAAAATTGACCTGGAATAAATCTGCCCAAATTGGTGCTTAATGGACTCAATCATCGTTGGAGAATAGGCTCAGGCCGAATTCGTGATTTGTAGATTTCAATATCCGAAGAAAATGGACTTTCGTCGCCCAAAAAATTATGAAAATGTCATCCGAAAATAAATTGGCCCAAATAGGTGCTTAATGGACTTATCATCCGTGGAGAATAGGATCAATAGACTTCATTATCGGTGGAGAATAACCTCGGACAGATTCTGTGATCTGTAGCCTCCTGAATCGGAAGAAAATGGCATTTCGGATAAATAGCTCGAAATATGTGATGATACCGCTTTGGAATCTTCCAAAAATTAACTCGGAATAAATCTGCCTAAATCGGTGCTTAATGGACTCATTCATCGTTTGAGAATATCTTCAGGCCGAATTCGTGATCTGTAGAATTCAATATCCAAAGCAAATGGCCTTTCGTCGCCAAAAAAATTATGAAAATGTCATCCGAAAATAAATTGGCCTAAATCGGTGTTTAATGGACTTATCATCTGTGGAGAATAGGATCAATAGACTTCATTATCGGTGGAGAATAGCCTCGGCATTATTCCGTGATCTGTAGCCTCCAAAATCGAAAGAAAATGGCATTTTAGATTAATCGCTCAATATATGTGATGGTGCCCCTTTAGAATCTGCCAAAAATTAACCCGGAATAATTTCGGCCAAATGGGTGCTTAATGGACTCAATCATCGTTAGAGAATAGCCTCAGGCCGAATCCGTGATCTGTAGCCTTCAATATCCAAAGAAAATGGCCTTTCGTAGCCCAAAAAGTACAAAAATGTCATCCGAAAATTAACTGGCTCAAATCGGTGCTTAATGGACTTATCATCCATAGAGAATAGGATCAATAGACTTCATTATCAGTGGAGAATAGCCTCGGCCTGATTCCCTGATCTGTAGCCTCCATAATCTGAAAAATGGCATTTCGGATAAATCGCCCGAAATCTATGATGCTACCCCTTTGAAATCTGCCAAAAATTGACTTGGAATAAATCCGCCGTAATCAGTGCTTAATGGAATCAATCATCGTTGGAGAATAGCCTCAGTGCAAATCTGTGATCTGTAGCTTTCAATATCCAAAGAAAATGGTATTTCGTCGCCCAAAAAATTACGAAAATTCCATCCGAAAATAAATTGGCCCAAACCGGTGCTTAATGGACTTATCATCTGTGGAGAATAGGATCAATAGACTTCATTATCAGTGGAGAATAGCCTCGGCCTTATTCCGTGATCTGTAGCCTCCAAAATTGAATGAAAATGGCATTTTGGATAAATCACCTGAAATGTGTGATGGAACCCCTTTGGAATCTGCAAAAAAAACTAACCTGGAATAATTCCGCCCAAATCGGTGCTTAATGGACTTTATCATCGTTGGAGAATAGTCTCAGGCCGAA